TGACGCACTCTTGTTTTCACTTGAAACCATTAAGTGCCCCATCACTGCACAAACGCTGTCCATGTTTATACATGGATTTAATGATTTTCCTTGGTATTCCGTAATCCGTACCACCTCGTGATCTCCCATAAACTGTCCCGATGTATCGAATCAAAACAAGCCTTCTGGAAGTCGATGAAATTGACATATTTGCCACGTAATATGGATTGTTCCATTATGTTTCTCAAGATGAAGATCTGCTCCATGATGTGTTCGTTCCAGTCTGGAAAACCTGCTTGTGGCGTCGGAGATTCTTGTCAATACGTGTCTTATCCTGTTAAGTGATGATTCTTCTCAGCATTTTACTATATTGTTAATATAGTTTCCGCTGACATTATAGAGACATCAATAGATAATTAAACTGCATGACATCATACACAATATTTGGAACAATGAAACCTTATTAAGTGACTGGGAAAAGAGTTGAGCTACCAAAGAAAGGTGACTTAACTGATTGCATTCATACTTAATGATAACAAAAATATAAAATGCGGATGTTTTTCAAAGCGAAAAACTTGAATCTGGTTTCCATCCGCACGGTTGTGGACTTCGAAGCAATCGCCGCTTCAGTCATTATTGGTTGCATTGCCCGGTCGGTCTCCTCCCACAATAAAGTACATATTGTCAAGCATTGCTAAATCTCAACATGTTACTATTTCCACTGAATTAGAAAATTGAACTCGTGCACTCAGCTGACTGCAGCTATATAAGGTCAGCTGGCAGGTTTGACTGCTTTCTACAAGTCAAATGTAACTTATAGAGTGTTTTCTGAGTGCAGGACTATACCCCCTTTTATTCATTTATTTGTTCATTCATATATTCCTTTAATCGCGTCTTCATTTCTTCATTTCAATGAAAATCCCACTCGCATTTTGCTATCCGGCCGTGTATAATACTCACGCGTTAATTAACCTATACTCAAGCGCATTTCTTAAATTCTCCATAGCCAATTTAAAGACGTCACTGTGTTTCATCCATCACTGTACAAAAAGATAACCAGTGTCCGATCTTCCCCTATCAACGATCTTTGGTTATGGGAGTGCATAGTGCTTAATCTGCTTTTTACCTAGCCAACGCTAGGGGCGCCCTTCCCCAAGAGCAACTGCTCCCTGTTTCACCCTTTTTTTTTCTAGTACGTGTAATATCGAAGACTGATAATATCAAATATTGGAATAAAAAACCTAAAATTTAAACTTTGATTGAACATAATTTAGCTTTGTATTATTGTATGGGTACTGAAAATTTAAAAACATCGCGCTAACACATTGAACATCGCATATACATGTACATGTAGCCTACATGTATTAAAAAAACAAACATTGAATAGTTCAACGTCTACACGCCTAAAACTTAAAGGAAAGGTAAAATATCGCTGATGGACAAACATTTTTATTATTTATTTTAGCCATGAACAGCTGATGCCTCAACTTCAAGCTCAGTTCAGCCTTCATAATGCCTCACTAAAATAAACATGGACATTTTTACAAATACATCCGGCCCCCCAAATAACTAAACCTCTCAAATGACTTAGGGTGAAATAATTTGAGGTATAATAACTAAGCAAAAATCATCAACTGAGCAAGAAATTCCGAAGCCGTGGGGCATAAACCCCAACTGAATCCCAATCTGCAACGAAGCCGGTATTTAACAATGGCACAGTGGTGGAAGGACATTGCGCAATCTAACGATGACGTCACGGATACGCATGATCGTGCTTGCCGTTCTAAATCCAGAGCACAAAGATTCCGGTTGAGTTTACGTTCCACTTTCGCTCGTACACCGACGGATGCCTTTTACTGAGCATGCAAGTGCCCCTTTGTGGTGATGCCCCAGTTTGAAAACCGTTCCGCCGCCGCTGCCTTAAGAAGTACAGTATATCAAGCAGTGTCAGATAATAATAATCACCCATAGAAACATTCAAGTTGGAATTTATCTTGGCATTCCACAAGAACAAAATGGTGAGAAATCAGTTGGAGATGGGTAATAAGAACGAATGTTACTTAACCACGACCGTTCACATCCGGATTTTCGTATACCCGTATGGTCTCCTTGTTCGATCACGTTTGTTTTCACGTCGCGCACTTGCGCGAGAACAAAAATGATAACGGCGTGAACATTACGTACCACATCCGATGGGTTCTAGATTTAGTCGGGCTTGCTTGAATAAAGTTTTTATCAACAGTCATTTTAAATTTGTTTGTAAATGAGTATTAGTCTTTCAAGTTTATTTCAAAAAAAAAAAGTGTCCCAAAATACATCTTATAGTCTCCTCTTTAAGTTTAAATTTGTACCTAATGATCGCCACAACATTATTTCCTAAATTTTCATCTTTGTACGAGTGCTCCGAGTTAGTCTTAGATTTTCGGAATTGAGATTTGTGGCACGATATTTCTCTTTCACGTCATCAGCGATTTATCAGTTTCCATAAATTGAGATGCTTTTAACAATTTTACGAAGGCCTTTTCCGAGGATGAGTTTCTTAAGAAATCAATGTTCCAAAAGCAATTTTAGGCTTACATGTATATGATTTTATCTATTTCAATTTTAATGTTAAAATAATGTTTTATTGTATTATTGCTCCTACTAAGACCCATGGGAGATCAGTTCTGATAAAAGGACTGAATGGGCCAACCAGTATAAAGAAGAAATGAATAGATAAATGTTTGAAACTGAACTTCGACTTTTACACGCTAATTTTCATATTCGAGGGTCCGCAAGCGCGCCACCAGGGGTCAACTTTCAGGCTCAAGTATTGTTGATGTACCCTAACGTGGCGCGGCCCCTAACGTGGCGCACTTTGATTTTTCGCCTGTAGCGCCTAGCTAGAGCAAAAGTTTTAACTGAAATTTCACAGAAAGTGAAATTTCATCAAGTTATAAACACTCCCGTTCATAAATCGCGAATTTATTTACCCGCTACAAAGTTAAAAGAAAAACTTATTTTGGCGTGATTTTCCGTTTTTATTTTCAAGTGCAAAGTGAACCCTTTGAAAATGCCCCGAAAAATAAGAAAATAATTGTGTGACAAACATCTGGCTGGGTATGTAAGTAGAGATAATAATGATTTATCAGAATTTATCAAGTTTTCAGAAATTCTTAAATGTTAATTTGGAATTTTCCGAGATTTATTTAAGTGCGCCACGTTAGGGAACACTCCGCCAAATTGTGCCCAATTTCCGGACGCCACCGTTTTTTAATTTCGGCTTAAATTTTATGAAACAGAAATTGTTCACAGAGGTTAAACAGCAAGCATTAATAAGGTAAAAGTACCAGTATTTCACTGCATGAATTTGAGGTTTGTCAACAAAGAGGTTTGGCAACACTACACGAGGAAATTTGGGTATGCTTCGAAGTGCGCCACGTTAGGGAACACGACTATAGTACGTCAACCAGTCTGCTCGCAAAATGGATCTTTTTTGTGCCCAAAACTGGCAGCACTTGCAAAATGTAGTTTTTTGTTGGAACAAAACATACAAATTGACTCGTTGAAGTCTATTTTATTTTTTTATTAATACCAAAATAAATTCCAATTTGTTGAAGAGCACGCGGGGAATCAATTTTAATACTTCTAACTTGAAAGAGAGTATCATACCAAAATGTAGCCTGCCTGCGATTTATTGAGGAGTATACGATCAAGTACCCATGATTGAGCCTCACAACGTATAATTTGGGAAGTGGAAAAGGTTTCACTGTTATATTCCATGTCACCGTTGTATGCAAAATACAGGGTGAGTAATAAAAAAAAACGATACCCAAATGGCAGGACCAATTTTTGAAAGAAGTTTTGCCAGTAGCACTTTCAAAATCTGGGATATGAAAGCCCGATCAATGAGCTTTCTTTTAGTACAAGAATCATTCAAATCACTCATGTATTTTTTTATGTTGAACCTATAATCACTGAACTGACGCTTATGTTTTCACAGGCCCGTTGTTGGGGCCGGGGGAAAAACAAGACTAGTGAACCAGCGCACATTATACCTGCTGGATTTTCAACGGCATCGACTGGAGTCTGCGACTTGCAGCCTGCGCATGATGATCAGCGCCGACCTTGGTGACGTACGCAGTCTGTGGCCGTGATATGTTGCACAATTCATGGAAACACATGCGCCTGTATGCGACGTGACGCATGATACGCGTACGTGTACGTAAAGCCATCTCTATCTGCCTTTTCTAAACGAATACCGTCTGTCAGACGACATTTGTTTTTGGCAGAAGGACTTGAAAATCCAACCGCCAAGATGGTAAGACAGCATCATCCTTCAATCTTTCATGATCTATTTTCAACATCTATCAAAGGAGATTATTGATCCCAATTTGAAAAGGATTTTGGTCGGAAAGATATGAAAAATGTGGATTTTGTACGAGAATAGGTGTTACCAAAAAGTACGTGGCATCCGGCCGGTCCGTTCCGTTGAACGTTAGTCATCCCAGTTTGGCAGTTATAGATCGCGACAACGTGATCACAATATGTCCATATTGTTATCATATTTGACCATTAATGACAAATTGTGTGAAATTATCGTTTAAATATCTAAATATTAGTGTGATTTGAAGTAGATAAAACCAGTTTTTACGTAGTCAGTGATGTGTGACGGCGGTGATTGTTAAACATGTTAAATAAATGTTGTCCACGAGTTTTCCCGATGCAGCCAACATGGCCAAGAAGTCTGGGGGACCAGCTGTTCACACAGTGCTAGTGCTAGTGCATGGTTTTTCTGAATTTCATGTTTTAAAAATCGTCCAGAATAATTTAATTACTATTGTCGATGTCATTTCTGTCAACATTGTGTATCTTACTAGCTTTCAAGACAAGGTTTCATGTCTTTTCATAGAAAAACTAGGCCTAGTTTCACTTGAGCCTAGATTTGGTCAACATGGTCAAGTTGGTGTGGGCGACCATGTTTTGGAATTTGCAGCATGAATGCTTGGGTTTGAATCGGGCATTGTCAGGCAATTTATCTAGTCTGACATTGTCTGACATGTCTGAGTAGGCCTAAAACAAGCACTCTTCGCCTTTCTCAACATTTGCCAATTTGGTCGTGGTCTGGCCGATAGTTTTTAGTAGAATCTGAGGGCAAATGAGTCCTGAGCTGCAATAACAAATCATCGCACACTCATCGTCGCCGACAAAAACAGTGTTGGCTGATTTAAATCACGTTGATTGAAATCAGATTTAAATTGCGATTGAAATCAAGTGATTAAAAAAAAATCACTGATTTAAATCAGCTGTTCGAAAGAATGATGCATCCTGACGCCACGTTTTTTATCAATTATCTCAGTGAAGGTACTTAAAGTCATTGCAAAATGACATGAATCTGAGACTGAGAAACATGTCCAACTTTGAAAATACTCTCAACCCTCCATAGACTTTGTTACACATTGAAAGAAGTGGTGCTGGATACTACATTTTTTCCCCCAGTTATTTTGTAAAAATCTTATTTTTGGCAAAACTAAAGTGATAATTTTAATCATTTCAATCAACTGATTTCACTTGATTACAAGTGTATTAGATGTTTTTAATACATTCAAACACACCTTCATCAGCATCGACTCAATTTACATGTAGGTTTTGCATAATTACCCAAATTCATTGTTTTGAATAAAGGCAAGATTTGAGTCTTAATGTTTTTCTTCAAATAATTGTGTAGTCAGCACATCCACTTTTGCTTTAAACACTCCGTGATCTGTTAAAAGTAATAATATGAATCATTTTCGCTGGTGTAGGTTTACTTAGACCATCTAAAAAGGTGTATTAAAATCTCATATTGATAGTCTCACTGATTCCTAACCAATGATGATGATAATAATCAATGATAATTGGGAATTTTCGTCAGAAAATGTCTGAATACCGAATTTAGTTTTGTGGAAGGTATTATTGGAGCCTGAAGAAATACTTGTTGATTTGTGTAAAGGTGGATGGGAAGATGTAGACAAACTTTGAAACAAATCAATATTTTAAAACATGATCAATAAAAATAAGTGATTTAAATTAAGCAAATCTGATATAAATTTTAAAATTATCAGATTTTTATTATTAAAGAAAAAGATAAATAATAAAAAAATCACCAATCCTACGGTGGTCCTATCAGAGTTTATCCCCCCCCCCCAAAGCAAAAACCCCAGAGTGCCAAATATCCATTAGAGATCGAAAATCAGATGGTGGTAGGTACATTGTACATGTACATATGTGTATGTATATTTACAGTTAACCACTCGTCGTGTTTGCAGTTGCCATCTTGATGTTGGTTGTGATTCAAATTCAAGTTGCGATGCATCAAGTTGCGATGCATCATCTTAGATACCTAACTTTGGTCCGACCATTTTCTAAGCAGGGGAGATTATCTCCATTTCAGTGCGGGCCAGACTTGCATGTAAAGGGCCAGACTTGCATCATGGTGAAGTTTATGCAATCCTATTACCCTAACCCCTTGAGCACTTTTACTAGAAGTATCCTGAATCCGCCAAAATCCACCAACTTCTTTTGTGTCCTGAGTCCCATCAGAATCTACCAATGAGTCCATCAGAATCCACCAGTGTAGTACATACCTCGTACACACCAAACATATAGCCAAGGAGTTAACTGTTGAGATCCTGAATCCATCAAAGTCCCCACAAATCATTTTGGATTGTAGACCTTTATTTCAAACACATTTTCAAGTTGTTCACTTACCGTCATGTCAATTATGCTAATTAAGATGCAATGTTAATGCAAAATGACCTAATTAAATATCTCATAAATTTATGCAACATGCTATGACCGTGCAACTTGGTATAAACATCAGTTGTATAGAAACATTTAATTTAAGCAATATTTTGTATCATTTCACACAGTCTTAATCAAATTCTCATTAACATAGAACAAATGAGAAAAATAAAGTGGACAGCCAAATAGTTAAGACATTTCCCCTCACTGTCGTAGTTTTGTTCTTGAAATAAGATCAAAAATAACGTATTTATGGCGGTTTGAGTTTCCAGAGACTCCAAAGACAAAACTCTCAAACAAAAATTGAATAAAGTACATAAAAAGTGCCAGGTTTGAAATATTTCGGAGCGACCATGTCAACAAATCATCTATTAGTCATTTGGAATGACTCAAGTGTCTGCACTTTTACAATGGAGAATCACTACATAAAAGTTGGCCTGTCTTTACAAAATCTTTTTCGGTCAACTACATGTACCTACATTTGTGGTTGTGTAAAGGTGACTGGATGAAAGTGGAACAATTTTAAATTAATGTTAAGCAAATATAAACAATCTCCATACAAACTGAGGAAAATGTTCCGGCTTTTTAAGTAGTGCGTGTAATTTTTTCAGGTGAACTTCACAATAGACCAGATTCGGGCCATTATGGACAAAAAGGCCAACATCAGGAACATGTCCGTCATTGCCCATGTGGACCACGGCAAGTCGACCCTTACTGATTCCTTAGTCAGCAAAGCCGGCATTATCGCCGGTGCCAGGGCAGGTGAAGCTCGTTTTACTGATACACGTAAAGACGAGCAGGAAAGATGCATCACCATCAAATCCACGTGAGTATAGTCAACTGAGGGTGTTTCTTTTATTTATTTTTTACAAGTACACATGCGCCGTGGGCTTCAGTAAATTATTGAGTTCTGTCAAAACTTTCTAGTATCTTTTTACTATTTTTTTTTGGCCTCATTATTATGATAAGTATTTACACTCTTATCGTTTTGTTTTCTGTCGTTCAGTGCCATCTCCTTGTACTACGAATTGGCGGAAGCCGATATGCAGTACATCACCCAGGAAAAGGATGGCAATGGCTTTCTGATCAATCTGATTGACTCTCCTGGCCACGTGGACTTCTCCTCCGAAGTGACTGCTGCTCTGCGTGTGACTGACGGTGCACTGGTTGTTGTAGATTGCGTCAGTGGTACGTCGAATTACACTTGGGAATGGAGCATGTGCCATTTGTTAAAAATTGGATGTTGTGGTCACATTATGCCAACTTTCAGCAAATGGTTCTCTTATGGCACTGCATGTATATCTCTTGAAATATGAATGGTTTAAAAGTGTTGACATAAACTGTTTAATTGACCTATCGCCGTTTGCGAGTTGGCCACGCCCCTTAGACAACCCTGTGTAATTTTGGTACGCTGAGTTTTGTTTGTCTCAGATGTTGCGCGTTCCGCGTCCATTTGTAAATCATATCATTGGCCTACCGCGATAGGTCAATTAATAATTAATGTGGACCAAATAACATACACAAGATGCTTAAATGTTTGGGTTGCTGGGCGGTATGTCGTTATGGGCACATGGTCTATAGGGCTTTGCATATTTGAATAATTTAGTATTTTGTTTTTTTTCCAACTTTGACTTAATCATCTTTTATTTCTTGACTTGATTGTGCCCTACAAAATCCCCTGGAACTCTTCGATTTAAATATTTTCAAATTCCAAAACTGATAAACTTACAAAGCATTTTCAAAAAGAAAAAGTTTCAGGATTTCGTCTATATGGGTGTATTTAGCCTGTGTGTTATCAGTTCATATGATTGGTCTGGCTGTTTATGGCTCACTTTGCTGTGTGACTTGTCTATCAGTTATTCTCTTTCTCAAAGACAAAGAATTTAACACACAAAAAATTGATGGTTTATTTAAAAGTTTACCTCTGAACCCTGAAACGCTTGCAGGTGTGTGTGTTCAGACCGAGACTGTTTTGCGTCAGGCCATCGCCGAGCGGATCAAGCCCGTGGTGTTCATGAACAAAATGGACCGGGCCCTGCTGGAATTGCAGTTGGAAATGGAAGACCTGTACCAGACTTTCCAGCGTATTGTAGAGAGCATCAACGTGATTGTAGCCACTTACGCAGATGAGGAGGGACCCATGGGAGATATCCAGGTTACAAATCTTGAATGACTTTATGGATCAACCTTCACATTTTGGGTCCAAAGTGCAATGTTTATCCTGGCCCTGTTACCTCTGAAATTGTTTAAAAATTCTTCAAAACTTTTTTGGGGTTGGGTAGATCAATTGCGTAGTCACTGTGGGAGAAAGAATGCATTAAGGAGTACATCTATAAGTTGCAAAATGTAACAGACAGGAAAAAAAGGGATCCCAGATTTATAGAATGACTCACCTATAAACTCCCAAAGTTCCTATTTTGGAATGATCAGAAATAAGTTAAATTGATGGATTTTAAAAAAAGTTTTAAAGGACTTTATGTTGTTTGGACATCAACTATATGGACTATTTTATTTGTCCGTAAACAAAATATTTGAAGAAGTTGTACATTCTTGAGTGAAGCAAACGGTTTTTTTCTAGCTTCAGTGAAATGATAGGACGATACTACGTCTACCAGAATCCTGTTTGTGAAAATGTCTGTGTTGTCTCTGTTGTGGCCTAATAATCAAATACTTATTGGAGTTCTATAAAAGCGATTTTTTTTTTAAAAGAATTTTCTCAGTAATTCATCTAGTTTTGCCTGAAACACTGTTTTGCACTTCTGGTTGAATGTTATTTTGATTTGATTGTCACCTTCCCGTTAATCAGGTTTATCCATACAAGGGCACAGTAGGCTTCGGCTCTGGCCTGCATGGCTGGGCCTTCACTCTCAAACAGTTTGCTGAGATCTATGCCGCCAAGTTCAAGATCGAACCGGCCAAGTTGATGAAGCGTCTTTGGGGCGATCAGTTCTTCAACCCTAAAGAGAAGAAGTGGAACAAAATCGGCGGGGAGGGTTACGTCCGAGGCTTCAATCAGTTTGTGCTGGATCCCATCTACAAGGTAGGCATGATGACTGTTATTGCCTCCGGACCAACTACCAAGCTTTCTACTCAAAGAGCACCACTGAAGAAATCCCTGCCTCTTTTTTTTTTTTTTTAAAATAAAGAAGACTCAACGCCGCGTCCAATATTTCTTCTTTGTTGCAATCTTCTGAGTACAGTGTGTCCCAGAAAATGCAGGCCCGGACAAATCAGCGGCCATGTCTAAAGAAATATTCATGTGAGACTAAATTTAGTTTGTGTTTTTTTCCATGCTGTTGATGTTGTTCATTGCCTGTGGAATAAATAAACTGTTTGAATACTTTTAAAGCCATGACTAGAAACGTTAGAGCTCCATAAAAAGCAAACTTTACACTTTTAAACGGCATTAGCTTGTGCTGGTGAAGAGGGGAAGACCATGAACCTGTATCACACACGAACACATTTCACATGCAAACAAGAAGAGACTGTCCTTATTTCGTAACAAATTTACACAGTTTCCAGTCATGGCTTTAAACGTTTTCAATCAGTTCAGTCTATTTTTCCACAGGCAATAAACATCATCAACAGCATGAAAAAAACACAAACAAAATTTAGTCTCATATGAATATTTGTTTAGATATGGCTGATGCTGATTTCTGGGACACTCTTGTACAGCTTTCGTAGTAGTTTGGCCCATACCCACCATTATGCCAAACTCAAAGGCCCTGCTTTGTTTACCATACATCAGTGAGCTGAAAACCAAAATTGAAGGGAAAAAATAACATGCATTTATGTCAGTGGCATTGCATTTAGTAAGTCATTATTGAACTTAAATGTAGTGTCATGGATTGTATGCGTGCTGTTGTTTACGAGCTTTTATTTTGTTTCACCTCGATTCCACTTTGTAGATTAGAGTGACACGTATTTATGAAGATGCCCTCTAACCCTAACTCACTAGCTTCTTTTACTAGGAAATGGATGAATTCCATCAAAATCCATCAATCACTGTGTGTCTGATACAAAACTGTACATGACATAATGGAATCCATCACTGACGCACTGGTTGACATTCATGGACTTGCTACACATGGCTTTTATCACAATAGCAGTACAGGAAGCTAGGCAAAAATCAATCGGATACCCCTAGCACTGCTTCAGGCCATTAGGCCCAAGTCCATCATACTCCATCAATATTTAGTCACGGCAGGCCTTCTGGACCAAGTCCCCCAAAATCCACCAAAATGGGGGATGGATGTTGATGGAGTTGGGGTGGTTAGGGTTAAACAAGCTCACTTGGACAATGTTGTCTGGTTTAGTTTAAGTAGAAACTGGTTTCTCCTGGCTGATTTTCTTTAACCCTTTAGCAGTTGTATTAAATTGTATTACATTATATGTACTCCTTCAGGAATCAATAAAACTGTAGAATGCTGGGATTGGATTCAAACGGTATGAGGAGATACAGGCAGGGTGATTTTTGGCAGTGCAAGGGCTAAGGGGTAAAAAAAAAAAAAATTCCCAAAACGAATAAAATGAGAAGCCTGCCGAATTAGTTAAGTTTGAAATTAAGTCCAGTTGTTATTTTAGGGGCTTAGGAAACCTGATCAATACATAACCCGACCCCTTGTCTTCTGGCAGGTCTTCGACGCCATCATGAAATTCAATAAAGATGCGACTCAAAAACTTCTAGACAAACTTAACATCAAACTCTCGACTGAAGCCAAAGAAAAAGAGGGCAAGCCCTTGATGAAGGAAGTGATGCGCAAGTGGCTGCCGGCCGGTGAGGCCCTGCTGCAGATGATCACCATTCATCTACCATCGCCAGTCACCTCGCAAAGGTACCGCATGGAGTTGCTGTACGAAGGCCCGCATGATGACCCTTGTGCCTTGGGTAAGTGCTCAGCTGAAAATTATTGATTGAATTTTTTGGTAATCCCTCTTGCCACCAGTAACCCCACATATTCATCACGACCAGGGTTTCGAATCCTGGCCGCAGATCACATGTGAGTAGAGTTGTGCGTTGGTTCTCTCCTGTGCCATGAGGGTTTTTTCTCCGGGCCCTCCGGTTTTCCTCCCTCCGGAGAAATCTAACACTTTCGATCTCAGGCTGTGCTCCGTGATCATATATGGGTCGATGTGGCCGGCAGCCATAGGCGCCTTTACGTGCCAGCGGCCCGACCACATTGTAGCCGCGTCCTTTGCAGTTCAGCATACCAGCTGCGAGTAAGGATGATTAGCCTCCCAAATTATTATTATTATTATTATTATATTCCATCATATTCTGCACCCAGGACGGTTTTGGGTTTTTAGGTGGTTGAAGTGTTTTTGTGCCATTCTGTACCTCATAAAGATGGGGTGCACTTTTGCAGATTTAAATCTGATGTCCAGGATGTTGTAAAAGTGGATGCACTCCTTCATTAAATGCTTCCGCCACAAGTGATTATGATCCGCAAAACCACCTCCTTAACGATACTTGAATGGCAAATTACAAAGTTCAAAAGTAACAGGGACAGGAAAACTGTCACACTTTGGACCTATTATTTAAAGAACAACCCATTTTGGAATATTTGATCCTGGTGTTAGTGAAATTTGGATCGATTTGTCAAAGTGTCCCCTAAATCCATTGTAATCCCTGATTCCCAGCACTAACACAGGGGACATAATAGATGCACTCTGCTCCATTGTAATACTGGCCTTCACTTGGGATAATGGCACATTTATTAAGATTCAGAACTCGTAGCATTTTGTTTGCAAAACTTAAGTAATGAAGTTGGTAAGCTTATGGATTTGTGTGTGTGTGTGTGTAGGTATCAAGACCTGTGATCCCACTGCGCCTCTGATGATGTACATCTCGAAAATGGTACCGACTACGGATAAGGGCCGCTTCTACGCATTTGGCCGGGTCTTTTCAGGTAGAGCCTGCACGGGCCAGAAGGTACGCATCATGGGACCTCACTACGTACCTGGCAAGAAGGAAGACCTGTACCAAAAAAGCATCCAGAGGTGAGATATGGGTCTTGTTTAACCCTACACCCCCATATCAGGTACTCCCCCCCCCCATATCAGGTATCAACTCTCCCCCCCCCCCCCTTTTCTGGCACCCTGGTAAATGCAACGAAATCCAACACAGCTCATATAAGAACCCTGCTAAATGCAACAGTGGATTGTGTTGCATTCAGGGGTGAGATATGGGTCTTGTTTAACCCTACACCCCCCATATCAGGTACTCCCCCCCCCCCCATATCAGGTATTCAACCCCCCCCCCCCCCTTTCTGGCACCCTGGTAAATGCAACGAAATCCGACACAGCTCATATTTATAAGAACCTTGCTAAATGCAACATTGTAACAGATGTACTAGCTGTGCTGTTCGAGTTTCACCCTGAAAAATAGATTTGAAATTGCTATTGTTCTGGACATACAAAACATTTCTTGCTTGAATATATATATGTTTATTTTTGAAGAGACATATACATGGCGTATCACAAAGGTTTCATGCCAAGTTGGAATAAAGTATCAATGTACACAATCACATTATTGTGTTGCATTAGCACAACAGGTAATGCACAACTGCTTTTCATATCTATAAAAGGTGTATCCGCACATTTTTAAAAAAACAAACCTGACATTTGTATGTCATACTCAGGACTATTCTGATGATGGGACGTTACATCGAGCCCATTGAGGATGTACCCTGTGGTAACATTGTCGGCCTTGTCGGTGTTGACCAGTATCTGGTGAAGACTGGAACCATCTCCACATACGATCAAGCTCACAACATGAAGGCAAGTGCAATTTGCATTTTGAGGATTTAAGTCAGGAAAATGCCAGCCAAGGCAAAGCCAAAGGTGTCGTGGCTTTCTTGTGGGCGCCATCCTATTTAAAATGTTGACATTAGAGTACAGAAGAATTTTTCTTTAGCCCTTACCTCACCTTAACCCTAACCCTGCCAGACGCAACACAGTGCATCAGGTGGAAAAGAACTGGTGCACTTTGATGCATTCAGCTGCCAACACCAGTGCAAGAATGGCCAGCTCTGAAACAATGAGAGCTAAGTCCCACTGAACAATGCCACAGTTGTATCCTGCTGCGTGCAGTGACCACAGACTCTGAGGCAGTGTGGCCTTGAGACTTTTCAAGATCCATGTAGCAAGACCCAGATGGATCTTGCTACACTGGGCAGGCTTGTCACTTAGTCAAGTGTTGCATATTGCTGTGCTTGGCAGGGTTCTAGCAAACATACCCTGGAGGGTTAGGGTTAAGCTACAAAATACTACTAGTAGTAAACTGTAGTATGCAGTACTTCAGCATATAAGTGGGCGCAGAACTCAAAAGTATTTTCTGGTGTTTGGTACCTGCAAACATATTTTTTGTAGTACTTTGTAGTATGTGGTACTTTATACCCCAAATGAATGGGTTTTTTTCGGGGTTAGGGTTAACGAAAACAGTAAGGTCCACATTGGTGCTTTATTTTGATTGCATGTATTTTTTTTGGCTATTAAGTTGCATTGTCTGCCTAGCCTGTTACTTAAAATTCACGCCTGGCAATTTTATGTACATATACATCAAGAAATAAGCCTTAAGTCACATACTGTGGGTGGCTTGAGTGGCTAGTGCTAGTGAGGAGGATAAAGATTAATGAAGTTTTAATAGCAGTCTGTATTTTCATTACTTAAATCAGTATCCCCCATATTCCTAAATGTTGTATAAATTTAAAGCTCTTGTTCTGCAGAATTGAGAAATAAATATATCTCCATTAAAAAAAAAAAAAACCTGACTTAAAGCTCATTCTGTGGTGGCAGGCCACAAACATTTGAACAATTATTTGATCCTTATCTAATTGGTGACCAGGTCATGAAGTTTTCCGTAAGTCCCGTGGTACGTGTTGCAGTAGAGGCCAAAGACCCATCTCAGCTGCCTAAACTGGTGGAAGGATTGAAGCGTCTGTCCAAGTCGGATCCCATGGTGCAGTGCATCATTGAGGAGTCTGGGGAGCACATCGTGGCCGGAGCCGGAGAACTCCACTTGGAGATCTGCCTCAAGGATCTGGAAGAGGACCATGCCTGTATCCCACTTAAGGTACGATCAAGGATTCAGCGCCCCGACTAGTCTTGGACTATATTTCAATAATACCGTATAGTGACAAAAGAATTTTGGTACTGAACATTACCGGATGATGTTGTCAAAATACCAAAAATTATGAAATTCTGACAACCCTCTTAAATGTGGCCAGGGGTGTGCAAAAGCCATTTAAAAAAAGGTGACGGAAATGACTTGGCAATATCTGCACTATGGTATATGTATGTATGTATACATGTATATGATATGGAAAACTGTTATCACGGTATCTTGATAAGGTGAAAATTGTGCTTACTGGTCTTCCGGTAAGGTTCTGTCCATGGTGCCTGTTTCCCTAACACAATATGTCTAATTCGAATTTTGATAACATAATTGTCCTCCCAGAAAAAGTACCCTATAATACCGAATACCGCTATATTCTGGATGGAGATCGGGAGCTTAGGATTAAATATGTACTGTTTATGCTCTTGAACAAGTTTGACGTTTTCTCCGGATGAATTTTGACCCAAGAGTCTCTTATTTAAAAAAAAAAAAAAGAAGGCTTTTTTGTGTTTTCATCTGTAACCCTCTGAAAAATAGGCTTGCATTTTGGGTTTCTTTTTTAGCACAAATAGATCCACCTTGCAGGTAGACTGGCACATTGATGATGTTCCTTTTTTTAAATTCATTTTAGAAATGAATTCAAATTAATGAAACGAAGAGCTTTTATAGTACCGTGAAATGATAGGAAGATGGGTGACAGGATGCATTTGAAGAGTGTAGTGTCATGTGAGTTTAAGATGAAAAAGTGGGAGGATTGGATGGCTGTGAGGGCCATGTTGTTGATGGTAATGCACACTGCACAGACCTATATTTTCAGTGAGATGACTGACCAGTGTATTGACACTTTGCTTCTAAGATGCATAAAAGTGTAGGAATGTGTCTTGGAAAGCCTTAATGTTGTCGTGGAAGAGTCATGGAATTTAATTTAAAGATTTATGAGAGAACTCTGCACTTAATTTTGGCAGGATGGCATATTTAAATTCTTTTATTTGTACTTGCAATTTGATTTAATTATTTTTTTTTCTTTACAGAAATCTCTGCCAGTGGTTTCCTACAGAGAAACTGTAGAGACGGCGTCTGATAGAATGTGTCTTTCCAAGTCTCCCAACAAGCACAACCGCCTGTTCTTGACAGCTGTCAACTTTCCCGATGGCCTTGCAGAAGACATTGAAAAGGTATGTTTATAAAATTCAGTGTAAGAGTGTCCTGGCTTATATAAATCCTCTTTGATTTTCCTCAAATACACATAGATGTGATCTGGGATAATGCCTTTTTTTAAAAGCCCAAACTAAGCCCCTTTCAAGAACTTATCACAAGGTTTGTGATATTTTGAAATTGTTCAAACTGGGCCGTTCCAATCATCTTGTTCATACTTGGCTTCTCTAATAGCCTCATCCTGTCAGTAAAATAGAGTGAATTCTACTTATTATCTAACACAACTTAACTGAAAAAAAGTGGTACTTGTTTGCTTTTAACCCGTTAGAGGCCACACTTTCCTCGGCATATTTTTGGGAAAGGCTATGTGTCCAAAGCCTTTCCCAATTGGGGCAGATTTTGTAACTTTCATTTTTATTTTCTTATGTGTCGTCAAACCAACAAAGATTATATGTAAGTGGTATGTGCTTTGAAAGATCTTGACCTGAACTATCAACTTTCATGTGTCGTTTTAGTAGAAACAGTTGAAAACACTGGGCGCCTCGAGTCGCTATGGTTGTTATACCAAGCCCTTCAGGTGCTCTGGTTGAACAAGGGTTAAGCCTAAAGCGGCCCTCCATTTAAATTCCGAAGTCTCATTTTTTTGTCTGTTCAAACTCCATCAGGATGAGATCACACCCAGGACTGACGCTAAAGTGCGTGGTCGCTTTCTGGCTGACAAGTACGAATATGAAGTGAACGAGGCCAGGAAGATCTGGTGCTTTGGGCCGGAGGGCACGGGGCCAAATCTACTGATTGATACCACCAAGGGAGTGCAGTATCTGAATGAGATCAAAGATAGCATGGTGGCTGGCTTCCAATGGGCAACCAAAGAGGTATGCACAACAACAGTAGGACTTGCACTAAAAAAAAGTACAATGGGCTGCACGCAGAAAAGAAAATTTAGTGTAGAAGTTCCTGTTTAGAGTCAATGCTTGGTGTAATGGTACAAAAAAAGTATAGACAATTGTAATACGGTGCAATTGCAATTGTAATACGGTGTTAATGTTACATTCTACTGTACCTTGATTTTGCTTGGGTACAATGTTGTCCCCCTTTTTTTGTATTTCAATAAATTTGAATGAAACCCCTTTGATGAATGAAACTCTCTCGTGATTTTCGCATGACTGGGCAAACAATTTGGTCCTTGGGAGAGCCAAGTCAATAAACAATGTGGCAATGAGGGGGTTTACCAAATTTGAATTAAATGTTTGCAATTGACAGGGAGTTTTGTGTGACGAAAATGTGCGGGCAGTACGCTTCAATATCCACGACGTGACCCTGCATGCTGACGCCATCCATCGCGGTGGTGGCCAGATTATTCCGACTACCAGACGTGTTCTCTATGCCTGCATGATGACAGCAAATCCTCGCATCATGGAACCTGTCTATCTGGTGGAAATCCAGGTAGGTCCAAGTATCTGGTGGTGATTTACAGCAGAGTTGTACAAGTGCTTTCCATGACTATAAGCACATTAATGCATTACTCAAGGGTTTTTGTTGTGAAAACGGACATAAGCCAAATGCAATAGCCTCCAAAACAGTAGAGAATTGGTTCTTCTGCCTGTACCTCTTAAAAAGTTTCAAATTCCAGCGGGAGAACAGTTCCATGAGTTGGAGTATGAGTACATTCTCATGAGTACGAGTATGAGTAGGACAAATGTTCTTGAGTACGAGTAAGAGTTCTTCAACACTGATTTACAGTATATAAAAATAACTGCTTTGAATGGTCAAGCAGTCCACATCCACCGATTCAGCTAATGAGTGCGAGAGATACTGGATTAATTAAACCAATATCCAGTATGAAATGAGTCGCTATTCACTTGCATTTCTCCAAGCTAGCCCATCATGAATTGTTTTGGACACAACTCTGTATGTGCATATACACGGACCTCTGGTTGGTATTTTAATTCGTGTAGTACATGTTCAGAGCGGGGCTGCTTTTGTTTCTCTTTCACTGTGCACAGAAAAATAGTAAAAACGGGATATCATGTGATGTGCTTTTGGCCAATCATGAGAGAGAATCTGTGGGTGAGGTGTTTTAAGCCGTTAGTCTCTGGTACCACCCCAAAAAGCCCTGCCTGTTACTCCTTATACCGCTCCAAACCACACCAGCACAAACATGGTAGTTCTCTTAATGGTGGTGTTGATCTGATCAGGACTGCCTTGTTTAAATGCGCGTGATTAAAGATGACAACAATGCTTGGCTTGTTTTCACCTGTACCTAGTGCCCAGAACAAGCAGTTGGTGGCATCTACGGTGTCCTGACTCGCAGACGTGGCCATGTATTTGAAGAGGGCAAGGTCGCCGGAACACCCATGTTCATGGTCAAGGCATATTTGCCTGTCAACGAGTCATTCGGTACGTATATATTTATTACCTGAAGCACATTTTCAATATCGCAGTTTGCTTCATGAAGAAATTTTCTTTAAAGTTGCATTCCTCATGCTGTTCTAGAGTTTTCATCCCAAAAAATAGACTCCTTTTCTTAATTGTTATCTTTCTAGCAATACAAAAGTTTTTCACTTAAAAAGTGAGACATCAACTTAAAAAAAAATTGGTACATAGTTATTTACTGAATGATTACTTTACACTTTCAAATTAGTGGCTGCCACTCAAGAGTTCTATTCTTGCAGGGTACGCTGGTCAGTACCTATAATGTGTGGAGCGGGAGTCGGTCTGCTCGCAAAGCAGATCTGTTGGTGCCCAAAACAAAAAAGCTTTTTTTTCCAGAGGTTTGCAGACAAATTCGTTGAAGAGCACGGGGAATGCAACTAACATTTTTGTTACGAGTGCTGAAAGTGAGCCTTTGGTTCGGGTTTGGCTCAGCAATGTTTATTGGTTCGGTTCATGTTCGGCAACAAATTAGAGTGGCATGAAAGAGTTGCTGTGGGAGTAAAGCTGTTTATCGTCTTTGTGCATTACAAACATCTTTTAGGAGCCCTTTGTGGGACCCAGTCCCGTGCCAGAATAAACCTGGCCACGCCACACTACCTGTGTTTGACACTGCGAATGAACAAAATATTGTTGTTTTGACGTGCTTGAAGTGCCAATGTTTCGGAGAGTTGAATTGCATACGTGAAAAACACGTCCTTATTGTCCATTTTGTCTGATGACCAAAAAGGCGTGTCAACAACATCTTGAGGTCAAAAACTATCAGAAAATTACTCCTTTTGTATTTCTGTTTTTCGAGGGTGATTGAGAGTGCAGGAAGCATTGTCAAACCAATTTTTTTTCTGCTTTTGACGCGATGTCATCAGCAAATGTTTGGCTTAGCACATAGACTGATTCCTGCCAAATAAAGATGATCAATTGGAACGGTATCAGGACCGGGAACCAGCTAAATCGGCAATCGCGTGTTGACACTGGGAACTGTGTTTTTAACAGCAGTTTTTAACGATCTAAAACTGAAGATTTCAGCTAGTAATGACACAATTAGTGGGAGTGGTCAAATTGCATTTTCTTTTTCTTGTAGGCTTCACTGCTGATCTGCGCTCCAACACTGGCGGACAAGCCTTCCCCCAGTGTGTGTTTGACCATTGGCAGATCATGCCTGGGGATCCCTATGACGTTGCTTCCAAGCCCGGGGTTGTTGTCACCGTTACGCGCAAACGCAAGGGCCTATCAGAGGTACCTCCTCCTCTGGATAAATACTTGGACAAGATGTAGAGCTTGGTAGTGACACAGGAAAACAGAGGGGCTAAAACCAGACATTTGAGGGGTACCAGGATAAATAGATTCCTGGCTGATTGTATTTAATGGCGTATACTTGATCACTTTAAAAAAAAAAAACCTGTTCAACTGTAAAGTATCATGTAACGATACACAAATGTATGCCACTTCATTCATTCGTGACCCTTTAATCTAAAATTTTGAAGGAATTTTTTTTTTGTCAATCTAGATAACTTGTATAATTTCTTGTAATATTAATGATATTCAATGTTCATAACGTGTGAAGGAGTAATCATAACTGGCATTATCTATAGGGAGTTTTACGCATTTAAAGAATTGGAATCAAATCTAATTCAAGTCTGATTTAATCTTTTAAACTGATTTTCAAGAAAAATAATTCATAAACCATCAGTTCACAATCTTAAGGCATGATGTAAGAAAGCGTCTTTAAGTTCAAAGTTTTCATGAGATGGAGTCATATTGGATTGGGGTTTTGTTTGGTTTTGGGGTTTTTGTGTCTGCATCCGAAGATATTGACATAAGTTATGTGAGAACCGTTTTAAGTTGTTGAATCTGTCGCATGTCGCCGATAACAAACTGTACAGGTATGCCTAAAATATGGCAAGTCTTCACTTGTTTTGTTTTTTTGGTTTCATACTAAAACTATTCTTTAAAAAGGATGCAGATGTTCAAATTATGTAGCAACAATATACATTGTACAAGTATAATGCTTCAGTTATTTAGCGAGAGATAAATTATAACTGGTTTGCCCTCTGAAAACACCGGCCCTTGTAGTTGAGAGACTGCATTTCCCTGTTGTGAAAGGATTAAACAGCGTAATAAATTGGAAGCTACTTGGAAGGAAATATCACGTGAAGGATGAAACATGTACTAGGCACTAGACTGGTTTGGAATCGCATTCATACGGAAGGCAAAGCGACCCGAGAATGTTGTTGTCCTGGTCTGTAATGGAGAATGCCTTACTGGTGATGGTTAAGCGTAAACTTGTTGAAGGCGTGCATAGCGGTTGGCTTAATATATTAAAATCTGTGAAGCTTCTCTACAAATCTATGACATGTATTTGTGTGTGTTTTGCTTGAATGTCTGTCCAAGTTGAACTTGTATGGGGGTGGGGGTGTAAGAGGAAGGTTTTTTTTTTTGGGGGGGGCGTGGTTTTCATTTCGTTTTTAAATGGATTTCGCCCAGACACAAGTACACCGGCACCCAGCACAATTTGAGACAGCGGTACCCCCATTGTCCTAACATTCCCCTAAATATCTCAATATTGGGGCCAAAAATAGCAGTAGAAGGCGTACATGTATCTGTTCACATTGGAATTGTGAGAGATGACAGGTACAAGGAAAGCCGGAGTCGGGTAGGGGTTCCAAACCCCAGAAATTAAACAAAGGACTGCAGGGGAGATTGTTTTGGGATCGACGGGATCGGGACATTAATTTTTGCTTCATTGCCAAATAAGCAATCATCATACTTAGGGAGGGGGGGGGGGGGCTGCACCTCAAAACCTGTGTCACGTTCCTCCACCCTTGTGTCTCCAGGTCAGAAAGGGGTTGTCCCAGAAACTGAGGCACCCCGAAACTGTCCCCCCCCCCCCCCCCCCCCCCCAAACAGTTTACAGCTGTACTAGCAGATGGCTGCTATGCAGATGGTCTCACTAATATCGGAGATTTTTGATGTGGGGAATAAAATTAAGTCACATTGGGATGTATCATAACGAGATACACGTGTATAAGATATTTTAGGGGGAGCCAAACCTTGGGTTGAGGATGTAGGAGAAACATCTAGGATACAATTTCTACATGTAGGTTAAAAGAAATCATGGTATGCCGCTGGACCCTCAATAATACTAGAAATGTTCTTTTCCGCACCCGTTGACAACTAAACAATCTTCCCTTTCTCTTTGAAGAAATGTCTTTTGATTGTCTACAAGTAAATTTTAACCATCATGAGATATGCATTTTTGTTTCCAAAAATTCCTTGGCCTGGGCGGATTTCATCGTGTCTAGATGTACATTTGCAATCGGTAGAGGGCGCCATTCATCATGCACACATTGTTAGTAACTTCCACGGCCACATGCGTTGCATTTTACTTAGCGCATGCATAGCTAGCTCAGCTCTGATCAACTGAACACGTGGATACCGCCCCTGGCCTGTAATACCAGCAGTATCTTTTGTGAAGACAGCCATGGAGGAATCTTCAACCATTTTACACGTTTTAAGAGATTTTACGCAAAATAGTAACTCTCCGGAGAACTTCATCGGGTAAGTTACTGCCAACAATGCCATGGCCATACTGCTGTGCTGGGAAAGAATGTTGCATCCTGACGCGTAGTGGCCTATTTACTGGACTGCCTCCGTAAACATAGGCATGATAGGCCACACATCCACATGTACAAAAACGTGTCGCACTTTGCCAAATTTTGATTTTCGCATTTAGGCTTAGTTTGTAGGGGTTTTTTTTGCTTTAGAAGCATACTCACCCTCTTTATAGGCTAATCAGAAAGTGCTGCCTTTTTCAGATGTCTAATTTTTGTGAAATTTCATGTTGAAATTTTGATACGCAAACGTGTCAAAATGCATCTGGAAATTTCACGAAAAATATACATCTGGGTACAACTATAGAATGCAGGGCCACTTTACTCTACATCCGCGCCTCCGTACGGCTGCGTGGAGGCGTGGAACCGCAGTCGACCTACCTCTGAAAATCGATTGCGCCCTCTATCGGTGCGCGTCTCTGCGACTCCGCGACTCCGCGCCTCCACCACTGAGAGACAGTGCCCCGTCGCCCTCCCCCCCCCTTCCTAATTTGCGCGCCCAATTAAAGCGACTCTGCGACTCCCCGACTCCGCGCCTCCGCGACTCCAGACAGTGCCCCGTCGCCCTCCCCCCCCCTTCCTAATTGGCCCGCCCAATTAAAGTGACTCTGCGACTCCCCGACTCCGCGCATCCGCGACTCCAGACAGTGCCCCGTCGCCCTCCCCCCCCTTCCTAATTGGCCCGCCCAATTAAAGTGACTCTGCGACTCCCCGACTCCGCGCCTCCGCGACTCCAGACAGTGCCCCGTCGCCCTCCCCCCCCCCCTTCCTAATTGGCCCGCCCAATTAAAGTGACTCTGCGACTCCCCGACTCCGCGCCTCCGCGACTCCAGACAGTGCCCCGTCGCCCTCCCCCCCCTTCCTAATTTGCGCGCCCAATTAAAGCGACTCTGCGACTCCCCGACTCCGCGCCTCCGCGACTCCAGACAGTGCCCCGTCGCCCTCCCCCCCTTCCTAATTGGCCCGCCCAATTAAAGTGACTCTGCGACTCCCCGACTCCGCGCCTCCGCGACTCCAGACAGTGCCCCGTCGCCCTCCCCCCCCTTCCTAATTGGCCCGCCCAATTAAAGTGACTCTGCGACTCCCCGACTCCGCGCCTCCGCGACTCCAGACAGTGCCCCGTCGCCCTCCCCCCCCTTCCTAATTGGCCTGCCCAATTAAAGTGACTCTGCGACTCCCCGACTCCGCGCCTCCGCGACTCCAGACAGTGCCCCGTCGCCCTCCCCCCCTTCCTAATTGGCCCGCCCATTTAAAATGGATATGGATGCTTCGTTCTCAAAAAGATTCCGCCGAGAATTGCGCCCTCTATCGGTACGCGTCTCTGCGACTCCGCGCCTCCGCCACTCCAGTGCCCCGCGTCTCCGCGATTCTGCGACTCCAAGACTCCGCGCCTCCGCCGCTCCAGACAGTGCCCCCAACACATTTACAAGCACGCCCTCCCTTCCGATCCTTCATGAGAAGCTTTGAAGACAAGTGCAGTGCATTCCTTCGCTGTACTTAGCACTTTTTTGCAGGTTTGCATATCTATTACTCCTATTCCATCCACGCCTCCAGGCAAAATAAAAAACCTTGCTTCGGCGTGGCCCTGCATTCTATAGTTGCTCCTACATCTGTAAAATTCATTTTGGAAAATTTGACAGCCATTTGCAAAAGTCATTTTTTAACTGAACAAGTAAAAAAGGGAAGTGTCCTATAAAAACTCCACGATGCATTAATGTATGTATCACTGTAAACACTGTCATTGTCACGCCCCAACTATCGCATCGGTCCCAACTATAGTTGGGACTGTCCCAACTATAGTTGGGCCTGTCCCAACTGTAGTTCCACAGTTGGGCTGGCCCAACTATAGTTGTGACGGTCCCAACTGTAAGTTCCATTGTTGGGCTGGCCCATCTATAGTTGGGCCACTCCGATCTTTTTATTTTGCGGTGTCCCAACTATAGTTTACATTGATGTACAACCATAAAACGTTCCCTACAGCTCTGATACACGTCTGACTTTACTGGGGACCACTGAAATTAGCTATTGATGGGGCGAATCTATAGTTGGGCCACCCCAATCTTTTTATTTTGCGGTCCCAACTATAGTGTACATTGTTGTACGATTATAAAACATTCCCTACAACTCTTATACACATCTGACTTTACTGGGGACCAATGAAATGATCTATGGGTGGGGACCATCTGTAGTTGGGCCACCGCAATATTTTTATTTGGCAGTCCCAACTATAGTTTACATTGATGTACGACTATAAAACATTCTCTACAGCTCTGCTTACATGTCCGACTTGGGACCTTTGACATTAGCTATGGGTGGGGCCCATCTATAGTTGGCCGGCCATGGCAATCTTTGGCAATCTTTGAATTTTGCAAAATGTTGCTGGATAATAAAACCCAGCAGCTGGACAACTCATCCAACTAGGCAGTACCACGTGACCGGCCAGCCTTGCGGCATGCATGCACGACGAATACGCGGCGCTGGCACCGTGTATTCGTCGTGGAACATTTAATCCAACAAGATCTATCAAGCATGAAGCATCCGGCGCAACTCCAGTCCTAACTATAGTTGGGCCGACCCAACTGCCTCACTATAGTTGGGACAGTCCCAACTATAGTTAGGACCGATGCGATAGTTGGGGCGTGACATCATCATGTATTTGTATGGTCATGATGACTGTGTCTTCATCATTTTCCAATTTCCCGTATACTGCAGTGCTCAGTCACATCTTGAGAAGCCGTTCACTGAATGCACCAAGAGGCTGTTTGATCTTGGCAGTGACTGCCACACCATCAAACCACCATCCCCAGCAGATGGACTAACGGAGCTAATCATTGAAGGGTTGGACGGCGAACAAATATGGGAGGAATTAGAACTAACAAACAGACCGCTCCTCAAGCACACAATGCGCGATGTGGCAAAGTTATTGACAAGTTGCACTGGTGTCTCATTGATTAGAACAAGAACTAAGGAGGAAAAAACGAGTAAAACAAAAGAGAATGTTGAATCTGACGAGGATCAATTTGAGCAGGGATATGATGGTAGTCAAGATCTCTTCGCCGATTCCGAAGATGTCGCTGGCTCAAGTTCGAACTCGTCAGATCCAGACTCTGAAACAAACTTTGACTTCGAGGACTTGGAATCACGGTCAAAGAAAACCGCCCCAAAATCATCGAAAAAAGCAGTACAACCCCGTGGCAGGCCCTCCGTGGTGGATGACCGATTCTTCAAACTGTCCGAGATGGAGCGATTTCTGGAGATGGAAGATGCCAAAGAGGATAGGCGGAGACACAGGGAGGAAACTAGGGGTGGTGATGCGGAGGGGGAAGATCCAGATGAAGACACGGATTCCGAGTCGGTTGATCTGTTCGATGACTTGCCTTCCGATGAAGAGAGTGATGTTGAAGAAAGTCAGGTAGGGTTTTGTGCTAGCCCCACGTGTCTCAAATACTGGACTTCCTCGGTATTAAGAGCCACACAGCGATGCATGCTAAATTTCCTGAAAAGTTGTTTTTCCTGAATTTGAAATCTAGACTGTGTTCTCGCTTCATACTCGTGGTCGTGTGCATTGAACTCATGATCTTGTGAGCAAATCTGCAGGTAGTGGGTTCGAGTCCAGCCTGGGGTTGTGGTGCGTGTGTCCTTGGGCAAGGCACTTTGTCACTCACTGCTTCTCCCCACCCAGGAGTAAATGGGTACCTGTGAGGGCAGTGATGGTTATTGTGATTGATTTAGCTGATTGCATCAATATGGCAGCATCGAGCTTTATCCGGTTTGTTAGTGTGACGTCAGCTTAATTCAACCATGTGTACTTCACACGGTATAGCATAGCACGAATGGAACCGAAAGTTAACATACCTCGAGCGTTTATCCAATGGGCGCTAGTAATCAGTGGTACACGCGAGTGTATGACATTTTAACTAACAAACCGCATACTCCCTAAGGGAGCTGAGATGGTCTTTGGAATGTGTTCATTGGCCTAGTGAGCAGGGGTGATAATATTGTACCGTGTTTGGTTGATACACAAATATGAGTTATTAGTGACTTAACTGATTTGATAAGTAACCAGGAACTACTTATCCTGTAATATTCAGGGGAGATTTTGAGAGCGTTTGTCTGGAATAACTTCAGGATTTTCATGGGTCGTGCATCTTTGACATTTTGATTTTCCCTGGTTATTCACCAGGTATTAGCTTCCATAGCGAATATCGAGTAAAAAAAAAAAAGTCTAGATTTTGAATTCAGGAAACAGAACTGTTCAGGAAATGCATCATTGTGTGGCTCTGAATACCACCAGAGTCCAGTATTTGAGACACATTTATGGGGCTCATATTGAGTAGAGTTCTTTGTTGATATGTTGATTCTCTCCTGTGCCACAAGGGTTTTTCTCCGGGCTCTTCGGTTTTCCTCCCTCCACAAAAATCAACACTTTCAATCTGGCTGTACTCAGTGGTAATACATGGGTGGTATGGCGTCTGCCTAAGGTGCCTTTACATGCCATTGGCTGTACTAAGTTGTAGCTGCATCCTTCGCAATTCAGCTTCTGCTGCGACTAAGGACAAATATTTATTTATAAAAAAAAAGAGAAAGTGCTAAAAACCCTGGGTAACATTTGTGATGCGATCAAGCTACATGAGTCGTTTGTCGACCCTGGTCAAATTTTTTTTATTACAGATTTGAAAAGAGCACAATCTCAGCATTACTGCTATGAAAACCGCATGCTGATACCATCTGTAGTTCAAAAATTATGGAAGTGGGAACACCAAGAGATGTGATGAAGTGATGTGATGAAGTGGCCCTATTTTGGCCTGTATCTCCAAATAAAAATTCCCGACAAACGACTCATTTAGCTTGATCGCATCACATTTGTAGAAAAGTCGTGACACTGACAGTTTAATACATACATGTACCGGTACATGTGTTTGCAAGCAATTTTCACTTCTTCCTATACATGTACAAATGTATGCATTCCATAACAAAGGATTCTTTGCATAGAAGGTTATTACATATTTTTTTTGCACTTGGCGCAGTCAGCACAGAAAGGTGTTCCTGAGTGCTACTGAAAAAGTAATAGTTTATGTAAATATTGAAGTTTCTTTTACACGAAATACATATGTACATGCATTTCACAGGAGAAAAGTGCAAGGAGCATGCATTACAGCGACTACTTTGAGAGTGATAATCGGAAGAAACTGTCCGCAAAAAAGAAGAGCGTCAGATTTGAGGAGTTTGATGAGGAAGACGAGGATGAAGAAACTGGCGATGATGACGATGATGATTCACGGAAGATAAAAAGGTTGGTGTTGTCGGAAAGTGAAAGGCAACTGGGGTACAAACTTACAAGAATATATGTTTATGTCATTCTATAAACTTAGGATTCAAAGGTGACTTTTTGTCCTGTACCTGTTTCCGTAGAACTTCATGATTTATCTTTCATTAACCCTCACCTTAACATGGACTAATCATATAGATTATTTATGTAAAATTATTGCGAGAAACATAGGTGTCATCAACAAGATCAAATATTTTATCCCTCCCACAATTTTAGTTTCCCTGTATAATACATTAATATTGTCGTACCTTAATAATGGTATTCTAGCCTGGGGAGCATGTTCCCTCGGTAATCTCAATAGGCTTTTCCTTTCACAAAAACGGGCTCTTCGAATAATTAATTTTACTGATTTTAATGCCCATACTGATCCCCTATTTTTCAAACATAAACTTTTGAAAGTTAAAGATATTTATTTCCACCAGCTTGGGTCTCTAATGTATCAATCTGCTTCTGGCACCTCACCATCTTCCATTTCTTCAATTTTTACCCGGAATTTTGATGTTCATTCCCATTATACTCGTCAAGTCTCTAATTTTCATCTCCCATTGACTCGCACAACTTTAGCCCAAAAAACTATTAGATATGAGGGACCCAGGCTGTGGAACTCCTTTACCAAGAACCTGAAAACATCCAAAAATGTGTCTACTTTCAAACGGAAATATAAATCGACCGTGTTGTATAATTATTATGATCCCGTGTAACCCATTAACTTCGAGATTGCTCGTGCAACAAATCTTATCCTGCTTGTTAACTGGCATGTAAAGTTTGTGTATTGTCCTTGTCTATTGTCTGTCCTGTGTCTTATGTATTAAAAGCAACTTTAAATTTGTATACAAGGGGCCTACGATTACAAGCTTAGCTTCTTAGTAGGTTCCTCTACAGTCTCACTATCTGTTTATATAGTATCTTTTGTATTAATTACGATCATTAAAAATGTGGCACTGTGGAAAATAAATGAACAATGAACAATGAACAATGAACAATGAACCTTCCCAAATCCTCCAAAATTCTTTTTGCAAATGAAGGATTTTGCAGGATTGAGGCAACATGTATGTGGAAAAAATGTGCGGCTGATTTTGGAGGGTGTACTGTGTCAAGGTCTGGGCCAGATCTTGTGATGTTTATGCTCAGCCGTGCCTAGATTATACTTTAAATCCTCAGCACTGCTCCAGGATGAAACTGGCTCTGTCTCATAATATTGACAGCGATTGCTGGAGGATTTTGCAGAATTGAGGCTGTGTGCAATTTTCTCTTAGAGGCAGTTGGAGGATTTTGCAAGATTGAGGTTGTATCATGGCAAAAATGCCTAGGGATTTTTTATTTTTTTTTTTTAATCATCGATGTCAGATGTAACAGGGACAGGAAAAAAAGTGGACTTCAAATTTATAGAACACCCAAGGGGTGCAATTTCGCCTCAGATGCCATTTGCTCCTAAGGGAAAAAAGCTGTGGACTATATCACAACAGACAACAGTTGCTTTGTTGTGCCATGATTTCATTTTATTTTAACTTGCTGAGTCCTTAAGAAGTGACAAATAATTAATTACAATTGATAAAAGTGTCATTTTTGTCAAAGCAGGATTTTGTTTCGTTTTGACACCTCCAAGCATTTTAATTGAATAGTCCAATGCTTCGGTTGTTGGCGCATCTGCGTTGACACGAAAGGTCAGCACTAAAAAATATTACATAATACCTCGGTAAGGAAAACCAGACAAATGTTCCAGATATAAAAAGCCAGCTTTTGATGCCAAAAATGGGAAGTTTGTTTTTCACGAGTTGTATTATGTATAAAGTGATTTTACAATCTATTTCTGACAGTCGTAATGATGATGGCGATGATGTTGAAGAAGATGATGAAGATGATGAAGATGAAGAAGAAGAAGATGATGAAATTGAAGGCGAAGATCTGGCGGACATTCTCGGAGGCAGAGCCAACGAGAATCAATCATCCTTCGAGAAGAGACAGGAAAAGGTATTGGTTTTCTTGTTTTAAGAAATAAGTGCAGGGAAATGTTCAAGCACATTCTGGAGTTTTGTTGAGTTGTATTGCACATACACCCTAACCCCTTTGAGTGATTTACTGGGAACGTTCCCCACTCTTACGAAATCCAACACCATGGGAACTCAACACCCAAACTGTTGGACTCTGATTGTAGTGGTATACCTGACTCCAATGTAAAGCATAATCAGTTTACTTGTGCAGTACTCACTCCAATAGATTCCAACAAAACAAGCAGTTGGAATTTGAAGGGTTGGGGGTGGTTAAGGTTAACCCTAACCTTTCCAAATCCTCAAAATTCCTCTTGTCAAAACAGAGGATTTTGCAGGATTGAGGCTATATGGCAATAATGTGTTGCTGATTTTGTAGGATGCACTGTGACAATGTCTTGGGCTGGACCTTGTGTTGTTTATGCTCAGCCGTGCATATAAATTTAGGCCTAGATTATATATGTTCTTGAAATCCTCTGCACTGCTCCAGGATGAAACTGGCTCTGCCTCAACATAGTGAAAGTGATTGCTGGAGGATTTTGCAGAATTGAGGCTGTGTGCAATTTTTACACGGTGGCAGTTCCAGGATTTTGCAGGATTAACCCTAACTCCCTAGCGTCTTTTACTAGGAACTGGACCAAGTCCATCAAAATCCATCAATCACTGTGCGTCCAATATAAAACTTTACATGACATAATGGAATCCACCACTGACGCACTGGTTGATATTCATGGACTTGCTACACATGGCTTTTATCACAATAGCAGTACAGGAAGCTAGGCAAAATCAATCGGATACCCCTAGCACTGCTTCAGGCCATTAGGCCCAAGTCCATCATACTCCATCAATATTTAGTCATGCCAGGCCTTCTGGACCAAGTCGCCCAAAAAACACCAAAATGGGGGATGGATTTTGATGGAGTTGGGGTGGTTAGGGTTAAGGTTGCATCCTAGCAAAAATGCCTAGGGGGTTTGGGTTAAGGTACACTTTCAATTGTGGGGTTAATGTAATATCACACAGAACCGTATAGTAATTTCAAAATTCATCTGTTCCGGCATAACTGTCAATAAATGCAAGTATCAACTATCTTTTCTTTCAAACTTTTACATCGTTTGATTTACCATCAATTTCCTTTAAATGTAATTGACACCATTTCGAGACATTCACAAATCAGACTAACAAAATATCATGACATGTCCTTCTTGCATAACTGTCAATAAATGCAAGTTTCAACTATCTTTTCTTTCAGATTTTACATCGTTTGATTTACCATCATAATCCTTTAAATGTAATTGACACCATTTCCAAACATTCACAAATCAGACTAACAAAATATCATGACATGTCCTTCTTGCATAACTGTCAATAAATGCAAGTTTCAACTATCTTTTCTTTCAAACTTTTACATTGTTTGATTTACCATCATAATCCTTTAAATGTAGTTGACACCATTTCCAAACATTCACAAATCAGACTAACAAAATATCATGATATGTCCTTCTTGATTGCACATGTAAGTAATACATGTTTTCTCTTTAAGGTACGATATCCATTGAGCTGGAATTTGAACATTTTAGTTTTTTAATAATCTGCTTCGGGTTTATTGTGTTGTTGTCCCTTGAAACGGCCAAAAAAAACCCCCCAAAATAACTGCAAGTGAACCACTATTTTCCTATATATGTACATGTGCAGTGTATTTACTTCAAGTATTTCACATGCATAAATATAAGTGCTAATTACATTTTGAAGCATACGTTTTTATTTTTATTTGTTTACTCAGAAAAAAAGTGTCAGGAGCTAGATTTGAACCTGCAGCCTCTATTTTTCTTATCAACCAAATTTCTTATTTTGATTTTCAAATTTGAAGCTCAAGCGAAAAATAGAGGCACTGGAAGAGGCCAACATTAGTCAGAAACCATGGCAACTGTCTGGGGAAGCCAAAGCCACCAAGAGGCCAGAGAACAGCCTGTTGGAGGAGAATGTGGACTTTGAAGTCACCAGCAAACCAGGTATTTGCATTCCGAATCATGGATACCCCAGAACTGAGGAGTTTGTAGTATTGATGCAGATACTGTATGCACAACTTATAGTATCTGAATCTACACGAACCTGTAGTGTCTTTGTGTAAGTGCCGTGTGCCGTCACCAGTGTGTGAAAGTGCCCCCCTCCCCTCCCCAGTGACCTCCCCGAACCTTTTCCTTGTAAAGATTGAGAGGGCATTTGGGCATGAAGTCCTACCATTTTGGTGGACCTTTTCACTCTACATTTTCAACATACAAAATGTGCATCACATTTTAAGTGGGATCATTTGTTTCCATGCACACAGCCCCCGTGATCACCGAGGAAACCACGCAAGCCTTGGAGGATATCATCCACCAGCGAGTCTTGGACCACGCGTGGGACGACGTGGAGAGAAAACAGCGTCAGATTGAAGCACCGTACGAGTTCAAGAAACGCATCACGCTGGATCAGGAGAAGAGTAAACAAAGCTTGGCTGAGATTTATGAGCAAGAGTATCTGAAACAATCTGAGGTAGGTTGCATAAGATATGCAATTTTGTCACGCATTGGGTCTTAATCCAGTGGGAGGGGTGTCGGGGGGGGGGGGGGGGGGAGTTGGGGAGGGGTGGTTAAGGGTCGGAAGGAATACTTCCTCTCCTTTACTTTTTGACTTTGGATGGGTGCATTGTGCGATAATATTTCCCCAGATTTTTATGATGAACTTGTACAAATATGCCTTTGTTTTAAATTAGAATTTAAAGACTGATTCCAAACAGGGAATGGAATGTCTGAAGACTCCTTTACTTGATTTTTGACACCTGTGAAATTGGTAATTGGCATTGGAAACCTTTTTTTACTTTGGCAGTGCTTGGGAATTTTTGATATTGGTGGAAAAACATGTGCATATTTGTGCTTAGAACCATTTGACCATTGACTTTCATTTATGAATGATTCTCATCGATACTTGATGACAAGATTTGTTACATTTATTTAGATGTGTTTTTATTTATTTTATCTCATACATGTTTATATCCGTTTTATCTTAAAGGACATTGACCAAAGCAATGGAGAGTAAATAAAGCCAGCCAGAGCCTGACAGCATATATCCAGAAGAAACGGTGTCTCTCCACTCCGACTGGCTTGAACATGAAATTAAACTTAAAATCGCAAAGTATATCCAGGACATATTGAGCCCAAAGATACGAGTGAAAACTTAAAGACGCAAATGAAAATGGTTGATTTTTTTTTTTTTTTACTCTTTGCAGCAGGAGAAAGAAGAAGAAGAGAACCCAGCTCACGCTGAGATCAAGACCACAATGGACGCACTGTTTGTCAAATTAGACGCTCTCTCCAACTTCCACTACATGCCCAAACCGGTAAAGTCATATTTTGTGCAGCAGTCACTTCTTTGAACTTCTTGCATGAACATCAGTTCACCACTCACAAGGGACACTACTGGGTTCATAGTCTCTCAGCACGATGAAATATCACTATCAGAGCTCACAGACATAATTTATGCAAATGAGCCAACTGGCGAACACTGCCGTTCATTTCGTGGCATCACACTGGTGCGGAAGAAACCAGTGCATTGATAAGGGATTCCACTGATTCACATGCTTCTCATTGGTTAAAAACAGTCACATGATGTACTATGACATCATTTTCCCATTCCCTATAATCAATACTGTAGATTCCTGTTTGCTGTTTTGAAACATGCACCTGTGGCAGCCACTGGCCTAGTGGCTGCAGCCACTCCCCATAGACTTGTGTGCTGTTGCCAGCCGTAGCCATGTGATTTGGACACGGCTTTTCTCTGGTATGCCATCCCTGACCTATGATAATTTCTAACTTTTTATCACAGGTGCTACCGGAAGTGAAGATTGTGAGGAACGTGCCGTCTATTTCCATGGAGGAAGTCACCCCAGTAACGGCGACAGACGCTTCGCTAATGGCTCCCGAGGAAATCCAGGTACTGCTTGTTGTGTAAAGGCTGGCTCATACTTACTGTCATAATAATAATAAAAATAGCTCAAAATTTATAAGGCCAAAAAAAAAAGTCTCTGGTTTCTGGTATGGAGCTTGCCCAAAAAGTGGTGCGGCGACGCTGCTTTTTTTTTTTTTTTACCTGTCTTTTTTGCTTCAAATGTCGGCTGATGACTGCAAATGGTGCCCGACTAAACTTAGTGCAAATATATGGGAGTCCGGAGAAGCCACATAAAGCTTATTCTCGATCATAACCCCATCTAAAAACACGTTAAAATTGTGCAGCAGCAGGATTCCAGTCAAACCAGTGAGTTTGGCGGTTTTGAGACATCATCTTTTATTGAAAAAATACCTTTTTCAATTTGCCGATGCGCATTGCTACGGCGACGCGCGCGCATACCAGAAACCGGAGACTTTTTTTTTTGGCCTAACATGCCTTTTTTTCTGGAAGCCATTCAAAAAACGCAAGTCTAAATGTAAAAAAAAAAAACCCTCAGTTTTGGCAAAAGCCAGCATAAAGAGATGTGTTTCGAGTGTCTGTGTGAAAAGCGCGATGTTTTCTGTGTCTCTGAGATCATGTGGCGAGCAGTTCCAAAGTCGAGGTGCAACATTTTGAAAGGCTCTGTCACCATAACTGGCAAGACGAGCTCTGGGAGTTGAAAGAAGGCCAGATGACCTTAAGCCAGTACAAAGCTGTAGTAGGTTTTGTACGTAGGGTGGGTGCAGAGCTGTCAAGTGCTCTGAATGTGAGGATAATGATCGGGTATTCTGTATTGAACCGGCAGTCATAGCAGCTCAACAAATCATCATGTCTCTCTGTTTAGTAGCCAACGTTGACATTGTCTATTGCTCCTACATATTTGGACCGATTTCAACCAAACTTTGTCAAAAGTATCAGCAGCCCAGCCTCAACATGTCACATGACCAAACTGGGGTCAAAGGTCATCATGGGGTCACTGGGGTCAAAACCCTGATATTTGTTTTACCCAAAATACTACTTCCAGAAATTACATGGCACAATCACATGACTCGTGCATGAACACAAATTCATTGGCCCGCAGCTTCCAAGATCCGATCGAGCTTGTTGTATTATAACAATTATTTTCAATCTTTTTAAAATATATACATGCACAATTTGTGTTTAATAATGCAATGCCAATTTTCTGTTACTAAAAATGTATTGTTTTATGTCATCGCATGCCTTGTTTACCTTAAAGCTTTTTTTTCCCCAGAAATTATATTTCATTTGTTTTTTCATACAGGAAAAATCAAAATCTGAGCTCAAGGGTGACACCGAGAGGACGTCAACGGACAGAAAACAAGCGTTGCGTGAGAAGAACAAGCGTCAAAGGGTACGGGCCAAGGAAAGGCTCATGAAACAAAGAGCCGTTGAGAAGCTGAAACCAGGAATGGGCAACAAGTACAGTATGAAGGGCGCCCTCCAGAGACTAGAACAGGACAGCAAACTGCCTTCCAGCAAAACCACAATCATCAAGGTATAGTTGTAAGCAGTATTGGTGGGAGTGCAATAGAGCAATTAATTTGCTAATTTGGTTATTTTGCTAATGCTAATTTACATTTTCATGGGCAAAAGTGTGATGTCATTTCAGGCAAAAACATCAATGTTACAGCTAGTTTCAGCACCAAAAGTTGCCAGAATTTAGGATATTTCACTCTCATGAATTTCTTTTCTTTAGTAATTCGTTTATATGTCAGTGCAAGGCAGTAAGCCAGTGAGCAAACATTTCCCACAAAGGTCTTAATGAACACCTATTTGGGTTCGCAATTTGAACAGAAAACACCTAAAATGAACAGTGTCTTTGTGAAATGACATCACAGCAACAGCGCCCTCAGTTGTCCAGAAAAGCATGAACAATTTGAAATGTTTAAAGAAGTGTACTCTTCAATAAAATTAACCAAAAAGGATGCCAAATAGTTGTCATGCACTTAAGAGGATTAGAAAGTTGCACAAGATATCTCCTTCATATGTGAAATATTCACTTCATGGGCCCTTTGAGAGTTTGAAGTGTTGCGCACTATTTTGATACAAAGGTAAGAGTGCATTGGGCATTTTTCAGGATGTAGTATCCCTTTAACACGTCTTGTGTATGTGTTAGTTCAAAGGTTAACCCTTGATTTTTTTTTTTGGGCACATTCTAGAGTTTTCTTTTGTACACACAGTTTTCATAGTGCATTCTCCATGCTTTCACATGAAGTTACAAGCTAGAATCAATAATAGTATTTTATAATAGTTAGTAATCATCATCAAGAACATTGTCGAGTTCATTTCAGGTGATTTTCGTGGCGTGTTTGATTGTTCATTGACGGAAATTTTAGTTGTTTTGACTCCCCACTGGAGTTTCAACCAACTGGCCTCATGTTATTGGTGTGATCGGTTCGCCCCATTCTGCATAACTTCTGCTCAGTTTTGGCTGCCTGTACATGTACATATAACTCCAGGACCGAACTTATGCATTAAAGTTGGTAGAACACTTATCCAAAATCTACACATTTGTTAACTTTAAAGTTGATCGGATTGAAAAACAGTTCCCAAAGTAGCTTGTAGAATGGAAACGTGTACAAAACCTATGGACGAAAAGTGGAAAAAGGGAAAAAAAAAAAAAAAAAGGGGAAAAATCTGAACAAAAACAAAAGCTGTTCCCAATGGTGTAGAATTGTTCCTGTCATGTTGTGTTCCTTCTCCTTTTCTCAGGATGACAAGAGAGAGAAGGCGCTCAAATCCTCCAAGTCGTTCTTCGGTCGTTTACAAGACGAGGTGACGTCAGAACTGCGTGGTGTGAAGACAAAGAAGAAACTCCAGAAGCAGCCAATGTCCAGCAAGAAACTCAAGTTGTGAGGCCCTTAGCTCCTATAGACTCTGTGTACATGTACCCCCTCAACAATTACAAATAGCTAGAGAGTTTGGGGACACCACTGGAACAGCCTTTTGCACGAATTATCGTCGCAACCTGACGCTCACGCAAAGATGCTATTAGTGGGGCAGATAGGGAAACATTTTGGGGGAATTGTGCCTTTGATGATACAAGCATGGCATTTGGCACAGTCAGCTAGAATATGTCACGTGAAAGAAATCTGGCTATAGGGCCATCGCAGATTTGTCCTTTGAAAAAAATATTGGTAGAAAAACAAGCAATTTTCAACATTTTCAAAATGGCTGCCACTCTGACTGTGTGCCCAATTTCATGCTCGTTTCATGAAAGGCACAATCCCATCACCTATCTGCCGTTCTATAGGGTACTTTCAGAATAAACCAGTATAATAATAAAAATAATAATATGGGAGGCTAATCATCCTTATTCGCAGCTGCGAAGCTGAATTGCAAAGGACGCGGCTACAACGTGTTCGTGCCGAATGTATGTAAAGGCGCCGTCGGCAGGTAGCCATACGACCCATGTATGACCACAGACCACAGCCAAAGATCAAATGTGTTTGATTTTTGCGGAGGGAGGAAAACCGGAGAGCCCGGAGAAAAATCCTCATGGCACAGGAGAGAATCAACACACAACTCCACTTACATATGGTCTGAGCCGGGAATCAAACCAATGATTACTGGTAGCAGGGTTTTGACCAAGTTATTTGATTAAGTTCAGAGTTTACTGCATGCCACATAACTGATACTGTTTTCATCGTGAGCACTTATATCGTTTTGTATTCCTCAATTTGTGAAATGATAAAACTTCAATAAAAGAAAAAGACAAAAAATCAGGATTTGAGAAATCATCTTTAATTTAATCAGATTTTTTACAATGCTGCAGCAGCAGAAGAAAAAAAACCAGTACATGCATATTTAGCGGAAAAAGTAGCAATCTATGCAAACATGATATATTTAACTGCACCAGAAAAAACACAGAAAGAAAAATTGAATGAATAGTACTACTAATTGCACTGGAAGTAGACGGTTGCCAATGACAGGCCCTGATTAAGTTTCTTGTGAAACTGCAGGATTTGGCAACACTTTTCCCCCATAAAAATGAACGCCTAAAAAATGTTTTAATGTGCACATGTTTGTGATCACATTTTTGTGCTATACTGTAGTGCAAAACTCTCATCCGTCCTAATGGGTAATATTCAACACTCTGATGACGGCGTTTATGGAGTGTAATTTTCAATTTTCTCATTAAAACTGCCATTTGAAGCAACAAAAAATTGAGTAAAAAAAAAAGCCCATTGACCCTAACCAACCCTCAACCCTTCAAAATCCAACTGCATGTTTTGTTGGAATCTGTTGGAGTGAGTTTTGCACTACCTAATAAACTGGTTATGCTTTACATGGGATCAGGCATACCACCATAATCAGAGTTCAACAGTTTGGGTGTTAAGTTTACCATATGGTGTTGAGTTTACCATATGGTGTTGGGTTTACCATATGGTGTTGGATTTTGCAAGAGTGAGGAAGATTCCTAGTAAATCACTCAAGGGGGTTAGGGTTAAGTCCCCTGAAAAGAAAAGCTCTTTCTCTTAAAAACCAATTACTTAATTTAAAGCCATTTTGTAAACTTGCAACATTTACATGTTCATCATGTATATTTTCAGTTATTTCAATGCATGTATACTCATTAAATTCTTTGATTCAAAGTATGGTATGAAAGTGGAAAAACAAAAGGGAGTCTTGTATATTTTATCTGATGATAATTTGTATAAGCCTTTTGAATCGTGCTCATTCAAAAAAAAAAGAAGCTTACACTACATGTTGATCCTCACAATTTGGAAGTCTGGTGAAATAAAATGCAATTGGCGATACATACCGCGATTCCAGAGTCATCTTTTAACTTGTTTCAAGATAAATGTACCTAGCCTTTAACAAAATACAAATTCTCCAGCTTACTCGAATATCTCAGTAAAGATTTTGTAAATTAGTAAAAAACAAAGAAGAAACAACAATCAGTTAACGTTGACTTCATTATGCCAGCAAAATTAGATTCCCCCCTTAAATATGCAAAGAAGCGACATGTCTTAGTACAAATTATTTGAAGTACTACGCAGCAAGCACAATGAAGTATGATAAAAGTACCATGATTTGCATAAGCATAATAATACCCATAGTCATAAATACAAAGCTAAAATATATACTACTTGAAATATCAAATATAACTTTCACCTATTATGCCGAGTACAATATATCCCTTCAGCCATTACATGGCCAAATATCTCCAATGGTTACCTCAAAAGGCGCCATTTAAATAACCAGAATAGTTAGTCAAACTTTCTTTCAAAGAATTGAACCATAAGGCCAAAAAAAAAAAGTCTCCGGTTTCTGGTATGCGCGCGCGTCGCCGTAGCCATGCGCGTCGGCAAAATGAAACAGTTTTTTTTCCAATAAAAGATGTCTCAAAACCGCCAAACTCACTGGTTTGACTGGAATCCTGCTGCTGCACAGTTTTAACGTGTTTTTAGATAGGGTTTTGATCGCTTTATGTGGCCTTTTTGGACTCCCAATCCCATAAATTTGCACTAAGTTTAGTCGGGCACCATTTGCAGTCATCAGCCGACATTTGAAGCAAAAAAAAAAAACAGGTAAAAAAAAAAGCCGCGTCGCCGCACCACTTTTTGGGCAAGCTCCATACCAGAAACCGGAGACTTTTTTTTTTTGGCCTAACATATTACTAGTGGCTTTGTTATTTGATACATCTGGGTATTTTTATTTTCAATCTGTTAAACTCCTAGTAAACATCTTATTGAGAGCTTAGTTCTTGCATTAACTTGTGTTTGTGTTTTTTTCTTTTGAGGTGCTGACATTTTACACGAATGAAAATTGTAAGATTTTCCATTAAAATTCCAGAAAATTCTAAAATAAGAGTAAAAGGAGAACTGTTTACATGAATGAGGTTTTGGGTTCATCGGGGACAAAATGGGTATTTTTTTTTTAAAGCGGCCCTTTTTTTTCGGGTTCATGAAAATGGTAAAAAGCAGGAAAATGTGTGGTTGGAGGTGCTGCCACTTTCATTTCCTTACAAACAAAAAACAAAAACAAAAAAACGGGGGAAACAATGTAAAAATGCTACTGGATACGCAACTGAATCCTACCCACTGGGAATTTGGTTATTCAGTTTCGTTGTTGATCCCCGTCTCTAACTCCTAGACCTGAACATGTCTTCAATGCCTTTTCTCCACGAATACCCGGTACAATAATGCATATGTGATTTGTGAAAACATTTCAAAAGGCGAAAATATTCATAATCAATCTTTTCTTTGATTCTCCACAAAAGCTAAGCCTATAGGACTGCCTCCACATTATTTTTTATAATTGCAAGCCATAAGCCTCTTGCCATAGACACGTGTGTATAGCAAGCCATAAGCCTCTTGCCATAGACACGTGTGTATAGCAAGCCATAAGCCTCTTGCCATAGACACGTGTGTATAGCAAGCCATAAGCCTCTTGTCATAGACACGTGTGTATAGCAAGCCATAGGCCTTTGGTCAAAGACATGTGTGTATAGCAAGCCATAGGCCTCTTGCCATAGACACGTGTGTATAGCAAGCCATAAGCCTCTTGCCATAGACACGTGTGTATAGCAAGCCATAAGCCTCTTGTCATAGACACGTGTGTATAGCAAGCCATAGGCCTTTGGTCAAAGACATGTGTGTATAGCAAGCCATAGGCCTCTTGCCATAGACACGTGTGTATAGCAAGCCATAGGCCTCTTGCCATAGACACGTGTGTATAGCAAGCCATAAGCCTCTTGCCATAGACACGTGTGTATAGCAAGCCATAAGCCTCTTGTCATAGACACGTGTGTATAGCAAGCCATAGGCCTCTGGTCATAGACATGTGTATAGCAAGCCATAAGCCTCTTGCCATAGACACGTGTGTATAGCAAGCCATAAGCCTCTTGTCATAGACACGTGTGTATAGCAAGCCATAAGCCTCTTGTCATAGACACGTGTGTATAGCAAGCCATAGGCCTCTGGTCATAGACACGTGTGTATAGCAAGCCATAAGCCTCTTGTCATAGACACGTGTGTATAGCAAGCCATAAGCCTCTGGTCATAGACACGTGTGTATAGCAAGCCATAAGCCTCTTGTCACAGACACGTGTGTATAGCAAGCCATAAGCCTCTTGTCATAGACACGTGTGTATAGCAAGCCATAAGCCTCTGGTCATAGACACGTGTGTATAGCAAGCCATAGGCCTCTTGTCATAGACACGTGTGTATAGCAAGCCATAAGCCTCTTGTCATAGACACGTGTGTATAGCAAGCCATAAGCCTCTTGTCATAGACACGTGTGTATAGCAAGCCATAAGCCTCTTGTCATAGACACGTGTGTAACTCTAAGTCATAGCCAAGTAATTTGGTTTTTGGCTTCAACTCTTTCGGGAACTAGATTTCAAAAACATCCACCTCAAATTTAATGATAACAACTTTAACATGGCTGAAATGCATATGGGAAAGACTATTTTCTTACATGTAATATTTTCATCTTGGAAATTATTTTCACAGATCACATCACAAACACTCACATACCAGAAATAAAGAACGAACATATTTAAATTATCATTGGAAGTCTGATTCGTTGCATACACAATAACCCTTCAATTATATCATATTTAATACATGTATGTATGCAAAGGGCCTTTCTGCGAATGTACACTTTGTTTCTTTTAGGGAATTTAAATAAAACAAGAGTTAAAGCCACGATTTGAAACTGCATAAATCAATGGCAAGTAAGAACAGGCAAGAATACACTCTAAAAGTCACTTCACCAACAACACATTTACTCCATACAACATTTTCTGAAACGAAAACTTCACTTGAAAATATGGCCCTTTGTTAGACTGGTCCCTGCCCCCCTATAATATGGGGACCGGTAGCTAGTTCCCATTTAAAGCCATTGACTGGATCACCTCTGCGCATGCGCAGCATTATTTTTGATTTTTGAAAACGATGTTCACACAGCTTTGCGCATGGATGACACCTGAACACATGGCTATCAAAACAAATGACTCTTAAAGGGAATGTACAACATTTGCTTTTGCTGCCCGTTTCAGAAATAAATGGATTGGAGGATAAGTATGTTACATGTACATAAAATATTGTTTAACTGACTTGTTTCATGTTTTGGGCTTGAATATGCTGGAAAAACCAAGAAAACCTATCATGTTCTTGTAGTCTGGTTCCATGACCCCACTTAAGATGAAACGAAGCAATTAATACACTTTGGGGAATTGTAAGGTCAGAGAATCAGTCTAGCAGGCTTGTACCCCTTCACAGGTGTGTGATCAATTGCAAAGAAAAGTCAGAATGACTAAATATGAAAAATTAAGAACAGTTTTTGAAAAAAGCCAGTTTTTTCCAACGCTGGTCGGCCGACCAGCGTTGGAAAAATACAGTTTTTCTTGAAAATGTCAGCCCGCCAGGAGCCACGATTTTAAAGGATGCTTTAGACTGTCATTCCCTAACAATTTAGTAAGGTATTTCGTGATAATTTGACCATTTCGTTTTTTGATGTTTGCAAATGTTGTATTTTCCCTTTAACACAACCAGTGGGCAAATTCACCACAGTGTCTGCACGAAGGCAATTTTTAAGCATTTGAACTGCATAGGTTTCAAATACTGAAAGGCAGTGCCACTCTCTTTATCGATAGTTGCCAGAGACACTTTCGAATTCAGCAAAAATCGAAGCTCATCACCACGCAAATTGCACATTACTGGTGGTCTTGTTGCCTCATGCAATAGGCTGGCTCCTTGCTAACATAATCCTTGTGATTTTGTGTTCGGGGGTGGGAATCAGACCTGGGCTAGTCCTGCATATAATTTGCATACATTAGGAGGAAAAGGAGAACCTCCTAATGTATTCAGGATTCATTGCTAGCTACCTGTCCCTATACATTCAAAATCCGAAGGAAAATGGAGGGACTAGGAACCAGTCTATCCCTTTGTAATCAGTCTTCCATTGTTTACAACTATAGATTACACAAAATATCAATTAGAAGCAATTAACCCAATTAAGCAAGTACTCTGCATAAGTGCTCATACAAAAATATGAACATATTTACATGCGTTTATCAACATCTAATTTTTGTATAGCTTCGCTGTGGTCTCATAAATCAAACAGTGAATACAGCACGTCCAACGCACTGATCTGTTTAAATGCCTGCATTTTTATTCTTCTTTAGTTATGCCCAGAAAAGACAATAAGTAAAATACATGATTACAGGATTCAGGATTAATAAGAACTACTTAAAGCTATAGTCCATCATTTGCAGCCATCCGAAAAAGTAACTGGCGTATTATTGTTGAAAAACATACTTGGTTGAAAGATAGTAAGGGGACTAAACTCCCTGTTAAATGATTCTTTCTGGCAAGCCATCATTTTGAAGTAATCAACGAAAGAAGGCCTTTCCAACGGTGCGTCTTAAGACGCACCGTAGAAAAATTTAAATTAGTAGTTCGTTTTGTTAATCGGCGCAGCGCACGCAAGCATTGGCACGACGCACAGGTGCGCGCGCGCGGTTGCTATAATTCGTTGGATCAGTGCGTGACATTGCGTATAGCTGCAATTCAAAACAATTCAAAACAATTCAAAACATGATTCAGCAACTTTTGATTTGAAATTGAGATCCTAGAATGCTGTTTTTCTCGGAATACACAGCTGAAGCCGAGCTGAAACTTCATCAGGTTAGTTGTTCAGTGTCCTTCATTAGATTTTGAACACTTTTGTTGCTTTTTGTTGGGATCGATAGTCCTCAATTCTCAATATTTTCAATACGTTGTAAATGCTTTCTGTCCTTTCACAGAGTCCTAGTACGTATTGCCCCTGACTGGATAAGCCTGGTCAGGACACAAAGTTAATGCAAATAAATATATTTAAAAAAATAGGATCGTTTACACATTGTAGGTTCTATACATGGCGCCCAAATGTACTGCATTGCCGTAAAATCTCGCAGGTTTTGAGGTCAATCTGCATGCTCTATTATGGGGTAATCCTATAGAAAAGCACTGCCCGGCTCTCTTCAGCCAACAACCAGGTTCCAATTTCATAGCGCTGCTAACAGAACTTCTGTCCAGTTCATAGAGACCCTTAAGCAGTAAGCTCAGCAAAAGTATGCTTAACCACAGAGGAAAAAGTACAACCGTTAGCACATCCACGCCATGAAATAGTGCTTAAGCAGCAGCATTTTCTGCTATGGCAAGCACAACTTTTCTGCTAACTGTTGAGCAGTGCTGTGATAGTGGGCCCAGGGCTTAGTCAAAGTGACAGTGTGTCAGTTATAAGTCAGTGAGATAGGTAGTACAAAGGAGACACTTGGGTGGCCCACTGGAACCAGCAACAATATAAGAAAATTGTTTATGATGAGTTTTTATCCAAGTTTGAAGGGTTCAAACTTAAAAGAACACGTGGATCATAATCGTCAGATTCCAACCACTAATAAAACAATTTGCACTTTTGCATGTCACAACCGCAACCTCCTAATGCTGCAAATAATGTAGTATAGACCAATACGGGGTCGCTATCACTTTGATCACGGAAGCCCTTTCACAGTGGCGATAGAATTGTGCTAGCTATTGTTCAGATCATCCATCATAGGGTAGTACTGTAGCTTTGAACAATAGTGTACACAATGTATTCACCATCGAAGAGGGCCTCGTGACTGGGTGTACAGTGATCGTGTACCTAGCTAGATTCGTCTATAAATGTATATTAGTACGTTTGGCATCATATCATTCAAACAAACAAGGATACTTTGCGGAGTCAAGAAAATGCTCCTTTTAAAGGTAGAGTGCATTATTTGCAGATATCCAAAAAGTACTGACAAAATTATTGTTGAAAAGCATACTTGGTTTAAAAACAGTAATGGCACTAACATGTACATGTAACTCCCTGTAAAATTATTCTTTCTGGCATGCTGTCATTTTGAAGAAAACAATAAAAGAAGGCAATTTCAAAGATGCGTCTAACGACGCATTTTTTGGAAATTTCCGTTTGAAGTTCGTTTTCAATTCAGCGAAGCTGTGAATGGGTGCGCGCGATCGTCGACACGACACACGTGCACAAACATGCACTCTTGTTTTACTATACTCTCAAGGACAATGCTTTGTGTTTCCCTTTGCCCCTATAATATAGCACTCTTCCATAGACTAAGCACACAAACTTACTACAGAGGACCGTTACCAACAAAAGACCCAACTCCCGAGGACTGAAAGGATCTGTTGTTCTCCCTTTGTGTGTCGGTCCTTGGGGGTTATGTAGAACATATACAACAAATGATATACTCTACCTTTAACAAAAACTGAAAAACTGAAATCGAGGCAATTTTTTTTCTTTCTTTTTTGGCTGAGGGAAAGTCAAAATCTGTCTGTTCTTCTCATTAAACTTCAAATGAATATAAGTTTTACTTAAATAGCTTATATCAATAATCTATGCTGCAAACAAACATATTTCGTTAAAAAGATCCAAAAGATCCAATATACAAATAGCGAGTCGTACTGCTTTTATCTTATACACTGTACTGATTTTTATATTTGAATATGCGGCCTTAAACACCAATTTTATGTACACAACTCCAAAACAAAAAAAAACACCCAAAAAGGAAAAACAATGTACTGTACACACTGTATCTTATTAATAATCAACAGTAATTGAATTTGTTTAAAATTGAAAGCAAGTTTCATACATTATAATTTCTTTCAAGTGACTTTGGTTTTGTACACCTTATTGGTTTGACTCCTAGTCTTTGTACTGACACAGATATCCTGTTACATTACCACTCTTGGTACCTTGTTGGTAATCTTCAATGTTATAGGCCTCATTAGAGGTGCACCTTCTTACGAAATAGCCAAAAATAGCATTTTGGGATTGTCAATACACCATTTTTTTTATATGATACTTCTAACTTGATTTTGTGGATATAAATGTTTGTGTTCCCTGAAATTCTTTCTTTAGATAATTACATGAAAAACTGCAACTTTCGAAAGTACATGAATTAGTTGATTGTAGTAGTATTACACTATACTTTCAACAATCCACGTATTATTGTTATGCGAGAAATGCCTTTGAGAGCCTTAGACAGTGTGAAGTCTCCCTGAAGTCATTTAATGAAACACTTATGACGGACTTAACTTGACAAATGAGAATTTGGTTTTTGTACTTTGAAAAATCCCACAGCATGTGGAAATCTGCTTTTTGGTACGTAAGGCATCGTATTGCAATAACTGCCCAATGAACTGCTGCTACATCAGATTCAAACCAGCCATCGGTTTCGGCTATTTTATACATAAGATGTAAGTTTTGAGAAAATTCTCTGTAACTTCATTTCCCATGGTTTTGAGATGCGGTGTACGTCATTGACTCCATACGGGCCTAGCTGGGTCAGAGGTCATGCTATGGAGGTCAAGGGTCATGGTGCACAGCAGTCGGCCATGGCTGCGATGATTTCCCTGGTGTACTTCTCTTGTGTTGTATCTACGGCTTGGTCACCGACTTTCCCGTCTTCGTAACTATAAAACAAGACCCCAAAAAACATCAGATGGGGTTTTCTTATACAAAATGGCAGTGTTGTAGACAAGTCCTCACAAGTCAGTGAAAAGTCAATCACAAGTCAATCACAAATCAGCGAAAAGTCCATCACAAGTCCATCACAAGTCAATCACAAGTCAATCACAAGTCAGTGAAAAGTCCATCACAAGTTAATCACAAGTCCATCACAAGTCAATCACAAATCAGTGAAAAGTCCATCACAAGTCCATTACAAGTCAATCACAAGTCAGTGAAAAGTCCATCACAAGTCAATCACAAATCAGTGAAAAGTCCATCACAAGTCAATCACAAATCCATCACAAGTCAATCAAAAGTCCATCATAACTCCATCACAAGTCCATCACAAGTCCATCACAAGTCAGTGAAAAGTCCATCACAAGTCAATCACAAATCAGTGAAAAGTCCATCACAAATCCATCACAAGTCAATCAAAAGTCCATCATAACTCCGTCACAAGTCCATCACAAGTCCATCACAAGTCAGTGAAAAGTCCATCACAAGTCAATCACAAATCAGTGAAAAGTCCATCACAAATCCATCACAAGTCCATCACAAGTCAATCACAAGTCAATCACAAGTCAGTGAAAAGTCCATCACAAGTTAATCACAAGTCCATCACAAGTCAATCACAAATCAGTGAAAAGTCCATCACAAGTCCATTACAAGTCAATCACAAGTCAGTGAAAAGTCCATCACAAGTCAATCACAAATCAGTGAAAAGTCCATCACAAGTCAATCACAAATCCATCACAAGTCAATCAAAAGTCCATCATAACTCCATCACAAGTCCATCACAAGTCCATCACAAGTCAGTGAAAAGTCCATCACAAGTCAATCACAAATCAGTGAAAAGTCCATCACAAATCCATCACAAGTCAATCAAAAGTCCATCATAACTCCATCACAAGTCCATCACAAGTCCATTACAAGTCAATCACAAGTCCATCACAAGTCAATCACAAGTCCATCACAAGTCCATCACAAGTCAATCACAAGTCCATCACGAGTCAATCACAAGTTCATCACAAGTCAATCACAAGTCCATCACAAGTCAATCACAAGTCCATCACAAGTCAATCACAAGTCCATCACAAGTCAATCACAAGTCCATCACAAGTCAATCACAAGTCCATCACAAGTCAATCAAAAGTCCTCACAAGTCCATCACAAGTCCATCACAAGTCATCCAGTCCCAAGTCAAGTCATAAGCTATTCCAATTATCCGTGATGAAGGCAGTCCTTTGTTATTGTTTGTCCCCTCTAGTGATCGAGCTTGTGATTTGACTTGTGATTTACTTGTGACTGGACTCGGTGATGAACTCGTGATTTCCTCATGTACCATATCAAAACTGTAATACGCCGGAATTCCTGTCAGAAAATTCTGTTCCCACTTTTTTGGGGGTCACAATTGATGTTAACTAACATAAACATCATTTAAATTTGTGACATCTGAAAATATGCAATCCATTTATGAAATAAGTTACCAGAATACACAATAATAAAAACAATTGGATGATTTTGTAAGAAGTGGGCCATACTTACACAAAGCACACAAAAAGACAACTCAATACATTTTCTTCTATTTTAGTTGTTAGATAAGTCTAGACTTACACAAAGAAGAATCTTGTGCAGACGAGGTCGGGGTTGGTGCAGACCCACACGTGGCCGTGCTTGGTGAGATCCTTGGAGTTCACCACTGCAGAAGCGAACGGACAATGTTCAGAAGCATTGAAGACCAAATTTTGTGATATTCTTATGTACTTTATATCTTTCAGAAAACAGAGTTTTGAATGGAAACCAGCCTCACTTAAACAATGTGGAAATCAAGTGAAAGTGTTTGACCTTTATAACCAGTTGCTTGCTTTTTTTTCTGTTGACTGAATTTGAATAGTCAGAGTGCTTGCTTAAAAATATAATCTGACTGTTGGTGACTAGCCTGTGTAAAAAGCATGGCAGGGGAATTGGATGGAATTTTTTGACTGTCTGTGACTGTTCAAACAATAAGAGGATTAATGAAACCAAAATGCAATACCTCAATGACATGGTACATTATAAGATTTATTCGGTACCCGCTGCTATGCACATCAGATTCGAACCAGCCAACCGATCCCGTAAGCTCGGTGGTCAAGTGGTAAGACATCTGCACTAGAAAGCAGGAGGTCATGGGTTCGAGTCCCACCCGAGTGATTTTTTCCAACTTTCACTCAGGAGGTAACACACTGAGTATACAGTGTTTAAACGTCGGTGAAGGACAGAACCTAATTTGATTGACATAGTACATGTAAAGCCATCAGTCTACCTACCTTCACATAGTGCAATACACGTCAAGTTCTTGCTTTGTAAGAACCTACAGGTAGACATCGGGGCATTCTGTTGCAAACAAACGCACACACCAAAGAAAAAAAGAAGACATTTTTAAGTGACTTATTTATTTTTTTGTCAATTTTTAGGGTTGTGCTCAAACCTATTCCAAGCTCGAAATTTTGTATAGTTTTTCTTTTGTCTGTGTCTGTATTTGAAACTGATGCATAAGTGAAGCAAAACACGCCCCAAATTGGAGTGCACAACCAGTAAATGAGAATTACATTTCTTTCTGCGCAAACATTGCGCGTGTGCACTTCCAATTTTTGTCATACACATGAAACTGCAGCTATACACGTAGGTATGCAACAGCATTTGTTGCACTCTCTTGATGCATTTAGAACCGAGATGACTGGGGAAATTCCATCCTGTCATTCTAAAGTTATACAATCGAGCACAATCATACAACATGCTTGTGCCAGCAAGGCATCCCACGAGATGGAATGAAGAGTTAGCGCTCTAGCATGGGTGTTGCGAGAGAGAGGGGGGGGGTGAGGGGTTGGCAATGGGGGGGGGGGAACACAGAAAATCCCCACCCCTCCCCCCAGGAAAAAAAAACAAAAAGAGGAACAAAAAGGAAATGAAAAAGGGGCAAAGTCAATATTATACTGTTAATTGGATGTCTATTTAACACCAAATAAATTGCTGAAAAGGGGGCCTAAAATGCAGCAGTTTAACAGTGTAAATATTAAATGTTATAATCATCAAGTGGATTTTAATTCTGATAAAATGTACAGTTAACTACAATAATTATATAAGAAATTACTCATCCAACTTTTTCGCTGTAGTAGAAATTGGCTTGAAACACCATGGTGTCGGACGTACTCAGAAAATCTATAATTTTTTGGGGTGTACTTTTCAAGTAAAAGTAACACCTGGACTTCATTTTTTGAAGTTTTAGCATTGAGGTTTATAATTTCTTGGAATTGCCCATTTGTAATTTTTGACCAAAGCGTCAAATGATGTCCAGTCCCCCCCTTCAATTTTGTTAATTGCCAGTGATTTCTTGCATCGCTTCTGGTGAGAGCTTTGCCGCTTCTAGAAAAAAATCCTGGCGAAGCCCATGTGCTCTATAGGCCATCAGCCTGGGGGTTTGGCTGGTATCAAATCAGGGCATAAATGATTATAGTACGCATGCGCAAGGTATACCGCCCCTAGAGTGGTAACAAGCATTTTGATGGACATTTTGAGAAAAAAAAGGGTGATAACACCCAAAAAGCTGCCACCGCTGCAATGCTATCACATATTTTCCAACTCTGGAGGTGTATACCTTGCCAAAAATCGCTATGATGATTATTCCCACTCATTTGATACCGGTGGCCAAAATTTTGGACCGAGGCTGATGGCCTACTAGCTCTATGGGCAAAACACACAGCGGCTGCTACTTACCCGGTTGACCTGCGAGTCGTTGTGTCCTGATTCTGCAGACAGCTTCTTGGCTTGCTTGTGGATGCCATGTCCCATGCCAGAGTAGCCAAACGACACGCTAGAGTGGGGACTGAGGTAGATACCTTTCCCGTACACAGCACCATGCATCTACAGGTCAACACAGAGCAGATTACAAACAGTGCAAGATTTGATAAGGAAATCCACACACTTCATGAGAGCAATGCACAATACAGAACGCCAGCTAGCAATTGCCTCAAAGAACACACTTTCCAACTTTGTCGTCCTATGGGCTCCGTGCGCCAAAAAGAGGGCGCCCTTTTTCCTAGCGACAACGTCCCATGGGCAGGACATTTCGCTGGTTGACGCGCACGGTTCCTTGTGTGTGACGCACGTACACCAGGGGATTTGTACTATGTACACACAGTGGCCGCACTTTGCGCTTCTCGGCAAAATTGCAGTCAGGCAAGATGGCGTCGGTCTGCCACCCCAACTGTACTTTCTTTGCCGGTGAGGGGGTACTTGTGAACAGTACTTGTGAACTGATAATATAGATTATCCCACACAAATATAAATAGACCTATCCATGAAGGCCCGGCCCCACAATTTATTGACCAATCACAGTGGTGCTCATATCCCACATGTGCATGAGAGTCCGACATGCACATACATGTTTGTGTGACATGCGAGAACGGGCTTTGACAAAAATGATTAAGGGGGGGGGGGTGTCCCCCCTCCCCTTATTACTTTTTGTCGGCAAAACAGTCCTGCTGTCGGCAAAATTGTGTGTATGTTAGCAAATGTGCCAGGATGAAGAGCGTCACCTATTGTCTGACAGTGTCCATGATCGTCCGCTTTGAACAGCGCACCCTATAGAAAGATGTTGTCCAGCCGCCCCCTTTTTTGTTGTTGATTTTATCGTGGCCATGTGACTGGATCAAAAATACTGTCTAGTAATCTACCCAAGTGTTGTTGCCAACATGCACAGTGGGCAGGTCTTACTGGATTGTCTGTTGGGGGGCACACAATTAGAAAACAGGTGTTTTTACACCCTCCCCCAAGGTTTTGTCACCTCTTCAGCTTAAAACCGCAAGCAACAGAAACACACAGCCCATAGATTTGCATGATGTGTAATTCTTCATTACCCCTTCTATGCAGGCATGCAACTTGGAATTTAGAGAAAACGAGGAAACTCCAAACCACACAAACTTTGTACAGTATTTTTCAATTTGTAATGGAATTCCTAATGGAATTTCTGTTTTAGCCTCTGAAGAAGAACTTGCTAAGTTCGCAACGTCAGGCCACATTAATTATTAGATTTATATATTTCAGGTCCATCCAGTCAGTAAGCAGTTTGCAGCAGTCTTACTTTTTTTCATGGAATTCCTAAGAAGTAAAAAATGAGGAAAACAGCAGATCCGAGGAAAAGTTGCATACCTGTGTAAGAAATCCAGCCTGAATTATTGTCAGGGCGAGAAAGATTCGGAATTTGTACATTAATTACACCTTAAGTAAACGTGGGCAGCTTTTTGTGTTTGATGTCTCATTAAAAATGGACTAATTTTTGTATTGCTAAAATATAGCAATTTTTTTTTATTGAAAATATATATTTTGGGGGGATGAAATGTGAACAAAGCACAGGGAGCGCAACCTAACTAAAATCTTCATTAATTTAAGAGTTGAGTACATATATAAACGGCCATTCATATGGACGATAATGTCCCTCTGTCATGTTTTCACCAATCATAAATGCGCCATGACTTCATAAGATTGGTAGTATTGGCTCATGTTGCAATGTTACACCTACCTGATGTTTAGTACCGGAAGCATTAATGAGACCATGTCTCAGGATGGAATGCCAGTTCTCTATATGGGAACCGCTGCAATGCAAACACAATGAGAAGAAGAAAAGTTAGGATAGTTTATGAGAATATGTTATGCTATACAACGCCTGAATAAATCCCAGTCATCTGATTGGTGGGTTGTTGATCACGTGACACTGAATTATTTCGTCACCGTTTTCACTAAGAGCCACATATGTCAATTTTAAAGAAAAAGCGTTTTCGAGATAATCACAAAAGAAGTTTCTCATATTTTAAAACTGCTAAAAATACCACTTTGCAACAACTTTGTGAAGCAAGGAAAACATCAGACTATTCTATGTGAGCTGAATTTTTACATGACCCCGGTAATAAGACTTAATTCAGCAGTTAATTGGTGAAAATTAATTAGTTAATTAATTGGTGAAAATGTAACAAAGATATGTGGCTCTTCGTGAAAACGCAAATCTCATTTGACCTAATTTTACGTATTTCCGTGCAATGGGTTTTGTACGCGTTCAAAGGGCCAAAATGTATGTGGCTCTTCGTGAAAACGCAAAATTCATTTATCGAGATTTTGGCCCCTTGCAACATTAATGTAACTTGGAAATTAATGATGTTTTGCTTATAGAAACATGTCAAAATGGTTAAGTATATTGTTTTAAAGCAAGATATTGAAAAAAATCAAAATCGAAAAAAATGGTAATTTTTGACATATGTGGCTCTTCGTGAAAATGGTGACAATTTGTCCCAACCCATGGTACTGCTGCACCGCAAAACTAAAAGTTCTACTCCATGGATAGAACTTCCATAGCATGGTCACAATATTGGTGGCTCTGACCAATCAGATGACGGGGATTTATTCAGGTGTTGTATAAAAGATATGATGTTTCACATTTGTTCAATGGTAAGAATAATTTCATTCGGTGACAGATGGAATGTTCCATTCCATTTGGCTTTGCCCCGTGAAAATGGAACATCCGTCTGTCACCTCATGAACTTATTCTTACCACTGCACTCATAAACATTCATTATTTGTATGATACTTTTGCAGGCATGCCTATTGCATGCCTGCTTTACACAACTTTACACAATAAAAATAGCCGGTTCAGTGATCTGAACCTTGACACGGGAATCACTGAACCGGCTATATTTATTGTGTAAAGTTGCCAGATCGAGGCTGTGCATGCCCATGGCGGAAGTGTGAAAAGAGCGAATTGACAAGAACATATCGCAGGGAAAAAAGTGGACTCAAGTTTTATACAATGACCCAAATATGGGTAGTATGATACGTTGAGATCTGCCATTTCAAACAATACCAACATTTAATCAACACTTGTGGTTTACCCAGTCAAAGTTTGTAAAAAAAAAAAAAAAAAAAGCGGCCAAAATGAAAATCCAATTTTCTCGAAAACAAATAGCACACGGGGATTAAAGAGCAAAGGTCGACAGTACTCACTGAAAGGCAAAGGTACTACCGCTGAGCATCTTGGCTTTCCTGAATGCAGCTTCTTTGGCTGGCGGACTGCTCAGGAGTAGAAACTGGTGGGGTGTGTGCATGAAGCGGATTTGCTGTCAAAAAAAAAAAAAATTCAAATGAACCACAAAGGGACTTGGCTTTTAACTAGCTCCCCTTGAATAAAGATATTGACGAATTGGGGAACCACCAACATAGGGCTGGAAAGCTCAGTTGATAGAGCACCAGAACGGCAATGCGGAGGTCACAGGTTCAAACCTCGCTCCAAGACCGAAATCAAATCAGGGTTCCCACAGAAATCTTAAAAATGAAATGCCTCGACTTTTCCAGGACAAAATTATGCTGTCTTGGCATCTCAAGAGCATATTTTCAAAACGTTAGCAAGTCATCAAACTGAGGCAGGGGACGCCACTCCCTTTCAGCCTTCCAGTTTGACCACCGAGCACCACAAAGCATCACAATGGTGCAATGAACGTTCAACAAGTATTGAACAGACATGCATAAAGAGGAAGTATAGGTAATTTGGAATGCAAACTGGAAGGCTGCCAAAGCCAAATATTACGCATCATTGTGTATGGGTTGTGCGGGATTCCATGACCTTTCACTTTTTGTTTGAATATCAACTTTTCGTGACTCCTTGCAAAATAACAATATTTCTTGAGTTTTCCATGACTTTCCATGATAGCTTTAAATTCCAGGATTTTCCAGGATTTTTCCATGAGTTTTCCATGTTATGGTTAGTGAAGTGTGTGTGTTGGCTCAAAAGCAACTTTTGCAGCCAATTCTTATTTCGATCTGCAATGAGTCATTTTTTATAAGTTTTTATTACATGTACATGTACGTTTTTTATTTACTTTATTGCGTGTGTGAATATTTTAAAGATTGCTTTATAAATATTTTTTTTGTTCAATTAAACAATCAATAATCTAGCATTTGTTGATCCTATCAAATGACCAAATATAGTTACACATACACACAGTTTGTCAAGAACACTCTGTTTCAACAATGAGCAAAAATGTCTCTGCAATGTTCTAAACTCGTCCATTATCAACAGGTTGACTGACAACTGACAGAGACTCTGGTGAGGACAAGAACAATGAGAATATCTTCATGATTTCTACAGCCTGTTGCTTTACAAGAAAAGGAAATGAACCAAAAAAATAGGCTTTTACCCTTCCTTCCGGGAGCTTGACAATGTGTGAACGATTACTGGAGATGATCCTATGATGGGAGAGAACACACAATTATTATGCAGTGACCAATGCTGTGTAATCAAATAGCTGTCCTGCACACGTCTTTGACAGCATCTGAATTAACTTGGCTACGGCTTTACAACACATGCTCCAATGGATGTGGCTCTAGCCACCTGTCATAGACAGGTGTAAGAAATAGCCACAGCCAGGTAGTTTGGACACAGTCTTTGCTTGGGCCACCTCGACCTTGATGTCAAAATTGTTGTTAGAGTGTTGCCACATTTTGAAGTGGTAAGTTTGTGGGTACACCATGGAACCGTGGTTCTAAAGGGTAATGATTTTGAGAACTGTGGAAACAGACTGTTGGAATATAATAAAATAATGCGGTGCCTATGTAGCGCTTTATACCAAAGATCTCAAAGCGCTTCGCAATGCCCCTGTTCATCAGGCCATGAGACCATTTTGTCTGCAGCAGCTCGAAATCAGCGCAATTTGGTCTCTACCTTCACAGGTACCCATTTATACTCCTGGGCGAAGAGACGCAATTGTAGTGAAGTGTCTTGCCCAAGAGCACAAGGACCATGTTTCCCGTCAGGGTTCGAACCTCCATATCACGGCACAAGTTGAACACCATAACCACTGGACCACGGTTCTCCACATAATTATACCCATGCAGCACAAGAGCAGGAGCCAAGATGGCTAGAAAATGCTGATAATTCTTTCCAAGTGTATAGTGTCATTTACTATAAAACAGACCAAACCTTAGGTTAAAGCATGTTTATTTTGTAAACCTCAAGTTTGTTTAAACATAACTATCTTAAAGGTAGAGTAGATCATTTGCAGCTATCCAAAAAGTAACCGACAAAATTATTGTTGAAAAGCTAACTCGGTTTAAAGATAGTAATGGGACTAAACTCCCTGTGAAATTATTCCTTCTGGCATGCTGTCATTTTGAAGAAAACAATAAAAGAAGGTCAATTGATGAGTCAAGTGACGCATTTTTGGAAATGTCCAATAGTAGTTGGTTTGTAATTGGGCGAATCCTTGAATGGGTGCACGCAAGCGGTGACACGAAGCACAGGTGCCTGGTTGATGTTATTCATAGATTCAGTGCGTAACAACGCGTAGCTGCAATCGAGATCCTAGAAAATTGTTTTCTTGGAATATACAGCATTCACAGAGCTAAAACTTCATCAGGTTAGTTGTATGTTCTGCACCTGTCTTAAGATGCTGAGCACTTTTGCTGCTTCAAATGAAACAAGTACACAACTGGGCAACTCCACGGTTACTAACGTTACGTTTTTGATGTACTTTTGAGATTCCTTGGGCCGTAATTACCATACTGAAAACATTTAACAACTGTTATCCCCATGCGATAGATAGAGTAAACCTAGACCTACCTAAGCACCAAAGATGACATCCAGAAAAATTTGTTATGTATGATAAACATGATGCACAAAATCGGATACTCACTTTACATTTTGAGTTCTTTGTAGTACAAAAATATTTTTTCGCTTTACGACACAATTTCTCCAAAAATGTTTGATAAAATTGGGTTTTCTTTGTTAATTTCTCATACTGGAATGTATAATCTGTAATAAAAATGTGAAACTCGGTTCAAATATAAAACTTTTTTTTTCTTAGCCACGTCCATCAAACCGTGGAATTGCCCAACTGACAAATGATCTACCCTACCTCTTAACAAGACTAGGCTTCTCTAGTCAAGTTGCACCTGAAAGTCTCAGTTTAGGACATTATACATTAGGAACTCAGTCAGTCAAAGGAAAATAGGCCATCCCTTCAGGTACCGCAACAATGTACCACTCGTACTCACCATTGCAGTAATGGATAAGCCAGTGCATCTTGTGCATCCATCCGTTTCTTGACGTCCGTGCAGCAACCAGCGGCTAACATCTCCCTGATGGAGATGAAGCTGTCAAGCGATTGTTGGATGCGTTCGTAATTCTTCTTCTGCAGAGAAGAGCAAGTGTGGATTCCAAACTTAACAATGATTTGAAAATATTTTTCTTGTCAGTAGTGTGATAAACGCATGGGAGGCAATTTGCGATAACCTGTATTTTATAGAACATGACTTTTAACTCATGTTCCAGATTGGCATTCCACAGTCTTGCCAAACTAAATTATTTGTCAAATTTGAATTACATTTTGATGTTTGAAACAGGAGGGACTATCCGCAAAAGAGCAACTGTTACAGTCGATTGAAATGAACCCAGAGTCCAGTCAATGAAAAAGGTGGTAGTTACATGAAGAGCTCACCTGTCTCGATTCAAAACTAATCTACACAAGGTCATAAGTTTTAGCTGAAGATGGTTTAAAAAAGCAAACCAGGACTCACTGTCGACTATAAAGTGGTATGTGACAAACTTTCTGACAGGGCAAAGCTCAGTCGGAAAGCCAGCTCGCCTTTCGGGCCGAGAGACGCCGTCACTAGAGACATTTGAGAGTCATCCATCGCCAGATATGACAGGGATCATGCATAGGAGGAGGAGCATTACTCATCAGTTTGATATCTTACACTCAATCCAGACTGGTGTTCCAGAGTTGCACTGAACCACATTATTCCAAAGATTTGAATTAAGTACATGAAAAGTTTGAAAACAGTTTAGGAGTGGACAAAATCACAAGATCAATAGTTACAGTCTTTCAGATTTACTCTAGAGACTAATCAGTGGAATATTAGTACCTAAAAATTCACTAATCTGAAACAAAAATGTGTTTGGATCGACCCGAGTTGCTCCTAAAACTGTTTGGTTTAGGGCGACTCAGGAACACCAGCCTGCAATAGGTATTACTAAGCTATGTTGTTACTGAACAATATTTTCTCATGTATGTCACCATAAACCGATTTCAGTTGTCTTAATGTCACACATCTTACCTTAGGCGTGAACGCTAATTCTTTCGGATTCCTGGGGTCCACCACCATAGGGTAAGGGTCAAAGATCAAGTGTCTGCGAGTGGACTTGATGGAGGAGGCCACCATGGCAACCATCAGGTCAACGACCTCAGCTCCCGAGGCAATGTTCTCGGCGGCGTCTTGCATGACGCCCAGCGTTTGGAAGGAGAAGACGCAGAGTTCCCGCTCACACACTGCAGGCTGAGTACATAATGGCAACCACATGAAGTCAGTCTTGGGAACTCAAATACTCATTCGCTGATTTTTTTTTAAAATGACATTTTATTTCACTTCATTATAAAGTTGAACAAAGATATTGACTGGAGTGGGGTTTGAACCTGCAACCTCCAGATTGCCGTTCAGGTGCTCTACCAACTGAGCTATCCAGCCCTGTGTTGGCGGTTCCCCAGTTTGTCAATATCTTTGTTCATGAGTTCTAGTCAGAAGCCATAAAGTAAATAAACGGGGATCACTCGGAGAGGATATGGCTTGTTTTTATAAATAATTGTAAAATACACGAAAAAGGGAAACTACGTAACTAGGGGTACTGTATTTTATATTTAAAAAGTTGGACAAAGAAATTTACTAGAGCAGGATTTGAATCTGCAATCCCTGAAATACCGTTCCAGTGCTCTACCAACTGAGCTATCCAGCCCTATGTTGGTGGTTCCACAGTTTGCCAATGTCTTTGTTCAAGTGCTCATTGAGGCAATTTACATACATTTAGTTCAGTTTCTCATAGGCCTGTTCAAAACACCATGCTCCTGCCACGCAGAACTCATGTGAGTGTGTGGTGCTCAGTAATGCTCAGTAATGGCTCGTACAATTGTGGTTTTCAGACAAGACAGTAGCCTGTTTATTCTCCCTTTGGTCAGCCCCTTGCATTTGTTATACATGTACGTCCTACCTTTAGCATAGCCCCATTCTGAAAGATGTGCTGCTCATCACACACGACACAGAATTCACTGAGTGTTGGGATACGATTCCTCAGGTAGATATAGAGCTGGACTAGGAAGCCGTGATCTAGGCTCGGTATCATCTTCGCATTCTTGCCATTCTGAAAACCAAGTCATTAGGACATAAGTTGTTATTAAAAATAGCCACTCATTGCACCACAGTGGCCTGACAAGACAGCGTAATGCAAAAGTGTATAAACTTGGGTGCTGGGACTGTGTAGCATCATGAGGATTTGCACAGCTTGTGTACAATTATAAAAAAGTGAAAGGTACATCACAGATCCAATCAATATTCTTGACTGCAGTAGCTCAATGCTAGTCTGAGAATCACCCGTTATCCACGGAGCCCAGTCTCCTGTCTAACGTTTGATATACATGTATCTAAGCATGCCTGACGTCGTTTCATTCCGAAATCTGGACTAAGATTGTGATTGGTCAATTTCGATGCCGTGTTTTTGTAATACAGCAACCTGTACAAAAATGCTACTCAGCGTGGGCGTGATGTTTACGCACGCGGGGAGCTCGAATAACCCGCGTATAGAAGGCACCTGCTGATTGGTCAGTTTCTCGAGGTCAAACGCAGTCTAGTTGCATAATTAATCACTATCTGTTTACGTGTAGTAGACCACGGCCGGATTCGTCAGGGCCAGGGTCTATTACATAGACTGGCCTCATGCTGCCTTGAGTCTTGGTAACAACTTCATGTGGCAAGATGCAGAGGCGTAACTGGGGTCTGTGTGTATTGCAAGGTGGTATTTAGGGACCTCGTTTTTAAAAGGGATAAGCTATTACCTTCCCCAAATTTGAGAGGGGGCACATTGGAGCACTGGCCTCAAGGGAGAGGGTGTGCATCCATGTTCCCTTCCCCTGAGTGATTACATGGTTTTTTTCCAGGAACTATTATTACATGTAGTAGGCTGGGTCCAAATTGGGTGTCTAAAAACAATGTCTGCTGGGGACACAAAAAATTCAGATGCAATCACACGGCCAGTTCATACCTAAAATGTAAGCGAATGCCAAGTGAACTTTTTGACAGAGTTTTACATTTTTTGAAGACTTTAACATAGACTTACTTGCGTAGCCGCTGGAATCAGGTGAAGCTCCTCCGTTCCAGGGGGAGTAACTGCCTGGCCGTTGACTGATGAACTCCTCTGCCACGGGAACAGCCGTTTGCTCAGTTTCTTCTGACTGCCCTGATCCGTAGATGCACTGCTTCCGCTAACAAAATTACAAAAAAATACTAATAAAATTATCATGTTGATAATTCCACAGTACAGCCATATTCACGATTGAGAAGATTGTGATTAATCTAAACAACAAATTTGTTAGCACAGCAATTCTTAAATCTCACAACTGAAAAATTATAGTTGATAACTGAAATAGGCTCAGCCACAAAATTAATAAACAAATATAGGACTAAAATTAAATAAAACAAACAAAACAACAACATCCAAGCCCGGCAATTTTTTTCTAAACTCATTAGCATGTTGAATTTTATTTTCCAATTCATTTTTAGCAGAGGAAAGTTAACGGTGGATGCAATGAAACCAAAAATTATTTTTCTAACTACTTTTTTGAGAGATACAAGTTACTTCATAGGCTTGCTAAAGTAGGACTCGAACCCTGGACCATGTGCTCAAGCTCTTGAAAGCATCATCTACTGTTTGTGCACTAAGTCCACAGTGTGGCATTTTGAAGTAGAAGCCTCGCTTATTAACAAGGTGGGTAGTCAAATGGGCCAAGGACAAAAACATTTCAAGGGAACTTAGGGAAGGACAAAGTGACAACATTCTTGCACAGGACAAACACGGGTACGGGTACACGTAGGTTTTCATCGCACTCACAGTTCTGGCTGGATGGCAAGCAGATTAGCAGCATCCTCCAAGTGTCCCTGGGACATTTTTAGTGCACTGCGTGCATCTTCAATCCCAAATCCTAAGTCTACAAGCTTAGCCAGGGAATGGTCTTCTACTGAGCATTGCCTATAATGCATATAAGTAAGGGGGAATATACAGGGTGAGTAAAAAAGAAACGAAACCCAAATATTGGGACCATTGTTTTAGTGAAGTTCTGCATGTAGCACTTTCAAAATCTAGGACGTGAAAGCCCAATTCATAAGCTTTCTTTTAGTACAAGAATCATTCAAATCACTCATGTACTTTTCAAGTTATGGAATTTTAAACACAACCACCATTTTAAAGTACTGTCCACGGATCACAAAAAAAGTTCCGTGTTCTTTCAGCTAAACGAAAACAAATCGCACAGGGATGTGTGTGAATTGTTTTCGTTTTGTGGAAAGAACATACACCTTTTTTTTGTGATCCGTGGACAGAACTTTAAAACGGTGGTTGTGTTTAAAATTCCGTAACTTGAAGAGTACATGAGTGATTTGAATGATTCTTGTACTAAAAGAAAGCTTATGAATTGGGCTTTTATATCCTAGATTTTGAAAGTGCTACATGCAGAACTTCAATAAAACAATAGTTGCGACATTTGGGTTTCGTTTTTTTTTTACTCACCCAGTATACAAGACATGCATTCAGTCCTTTAATACCATATATAAATAGTTAAACCTCATAATATATTTTTTGCTGGTCCCAGAGGGCCAACTAGTGTCCTCTTTGCATCTAACTAGGACTGACTGACCGACTATCACTTGCAAGCTGGGCAGTGCTATTGTATAGGATTACAACATAATTCCAATGACAATCGGGCACAATTTGCAGACCAGATGCATGAAATGACTTCCAGTGAATAGCCATTTTGAATCAAATGAATTACATGTAGGTGTGCATATTGTTTTGCTCCCCGGCTTACATGTATACATTCTATATGCATAACACTCACATTGCCATATGTATGCACATGTACATGGACCGGTAGTTTGCACGCTATTGTTAATAGGTCACTGTTAAGAAATGCTAACAAAGTTCAAGCATGTCAAGAGCATTAACAACTGAATGAGGAGGTCGTATATACATGTACAAGCAGGATATGATTTCTCCGATATTGCAAACATTGTCTTTAAACAACTTTAAATTAGATTTCCTCAATTGGCATTGGGGAGTCAGGTTGGCGTAGCGGTACTTTCCTCGCCTTCCACCGCTGTGACCCGGGTTCGAATCCCGCCCGGGCCAATATGTGGATTGGGTTTTCAGTCCCTACCTGATTCCGTGGGTTTTCCCCAGAATATTCTTCTGGGCTTTTCCTCCCGCCTCTAAAACTGTAACTTCTTCTCATTGTCTTCTCTCCACAGGTTTCTTCAGGCTTGCGAGCTACAGTGCCAAGGGCGCTTTTGAGGAATCCTTGGTTTCATTACCAGAAATGATTAATAATAATAATAATAACCTTTCAGTCACTGTGGCACCCAAAATATCCTGCCTATTTCATTCACTCCCTGTAGCACCCAGAATGCTCAATTACTATGGTAACATTGATTCTTCAGTGATTAAACACAATGTAATACAATGTAGTACAGATGCTAATGGATTAAATTGATAAAATTTGTGCTGGTATGCTTATCAAAGATATACACGTTTATTATATCTTGCTCCACCAACTGAACTTTCAATTGTGTAAGTTACAACCATTTATTGTTTTGACCTATTGGCACGATATAACAAAACAATTGTTGACTGCTGTGATGTGGGGTATGCTGTTTTTAACCCCCTCCGGCGCATAGCACGGGTGTTAAACACGTCATGACCCACATTATAGCATGCTGTTAACAATTATTAGCCTCTACCATTTACTGTGATGATTGTATACAAATGTTGTACATTCGTGGTATTCAGATGATTGTTTCATGTACTGGTATGTATAAAGAGTGGTACATGTACATGTGTAGGATCCTGAAATTTTGCATCAGACAGCACAAGTATGGTACATGTATTTCAACAGACGGTATTTTGCAAACTTGATTTTATTATTACCGGTTCAATGGTTAATCGTCATGGTTTGCGCATACACAGCAAGGCCAAATTCTGAAACACTTTTCATGTTCACTGGCCTGTGTCTTATGCACTGTCATTGCCTGATTCAGTTGGACTTGACCGATCATAGATCATTGTTATGATGGCATTCACACAACTACATGTAGATGCAATATATTTTTTATGGTGATATATTCGTATAGGTGTGTTGGCTTTCCTAATAGCTGGGGTAAAATGGCACGGAAAAGAATTATTGCAGTTAACTTTTGGCCAGCCTGGTATTTAAAAAAAAATAAAAGTGCTAGAACCCAACCTTAACCTTAAGTTTCTGTTTGTTTAATAATAATAATCATGCAGAATTTACAATGTGCTCTGTTTGTCTTTTTAGTTTTTTTCAAAGTTACTCCCGAACTACTGGTAAGTTAAAAAGTCAATCATAGCAAATTTACTAACAAACCTGAGGCTGAAATTACCATTTTCAGTAAGGAAGATAGTCTTGTTTAATACGTTGTTCTGCAACATTTTAATAGTTTGAAGCAATAAATAAGCATTTACACTGTGTAGTTTTCTGCCCCATGTGTAAATGTGATCCATTGCGCGTGTAAATTTCTGTTTTCGTTACCCTGGATGCTTCTTTGTAAGGAGTCATCTCGATGAATATCTGAGATAACTTTTGGAAGAACTTTCCTTCTTGAGATTTTCTTCTTACGATTTTCTTCAAATGAAGAAAATGTACAAATTACAAAGGGTCCACTCTGCCTTTAATGAGATGACTGCTAAATATGTCTGAGGTCTCAGTTTGGGTATTGGCTTCTTCATAGGTTTCTTGTCGTTGGCCCTGATATCAGACCTTGGGTATTGGTTCTTAGACACATGGTTTCAGACTTAAGAGTACGAGGTCGTCACTAAAACACTGATGTGCATAATCAAATAAGCATAATCATTTCTTGTGGACAAACAGGATGAATCTGTACTAATATCTCCAGGAAAAAAATGGGAAACCAGTGAATGGGTTGAAGATCTGCAAATACATGTACAGGATGAAAAGTTAGTTGCATAAAATTAATAGAAACAAAGACTTGAAATCTGGCTAACTTGAAGAGCTTTTTAATTTAAGTCAAAGTAAACATCTACCGGCAAGAAAATAAACGAAGTTAATAAGAGTAGTAGTTCAAATTGTTAGTCATTTTATAAACAAAGAGCTGGAAAAAAAAAACAGTTTGTGAAAAACGTATCTCATGCTTTTGCACAAACCAAAGAGTCTCAGTGGAGCTGAGCACTGAAATTTGCGGAGCACAGAAAATATCTGTCTAGCAAAATAGGTAACCAGTCAAATGTCATGCGATGTTCGTGTATAGTGTCTGGAATGCTTAGCACCAAACTTTCCTTCGCAATACCGGGTATTTTCTGTTTAGTCGCTGCATCAAATTGGGACCATCTTGTGTTCAGGATAGGGGCCACTAAATGTGATGTGGTTTGTCAAATCCAGCCAGGATTGGGCAGGGCAACGAATGGAGAAACAGCTGCAAAATGACATGGGGGTGATTTTCAGCAATTTTGAGTTTTTTTTTTTTAAATTTGTGATGTTACTAATGTTTAAACTGTTCGGTAAAAGTTTCAAACTGAAATTTCATCGACAGAGTATTTTTAAAAATACTTTTAGAGAGGCATGACATGTCACAAAATGACACTTTATTCAAGATTTTATTCTGAAATGAAGTAAAATTAGCGTGACATTTCGGACAGTCTGATTTCAAATTTAATAACTTAACTTTGGAATATTCAATTTCAAAACAAAGCGGGTTTGAAAGGTCAAGGGCTCTATTTTATTAGTATTGCAATAACTCAAAATTTGACATCTTTTCCAGAAGTGCCTGATTACGACATACTGTCTAACAAATGCATGGAACTGTCCAAAAAGGTAGAAACCTGCTTCAAACTTTACATTATTAGGAACCACAGCGAATTCATCATAGCAAAATATTAGCAGTGATATTCATCACAATTGAAAATAAAGAAAAACATAAGCCAAGGCGCACGGTTGTACCGATCAGCACCAACTGGGTTTTCATATTGCAGCCTAGCCGCATTGTGTCGCCGTTTGCGTTTCGCACAGTTCATGTGATCATCATGGTGCGAGCGCACAGCACGCCGCTACTGTTTATGTTAGCGGCCGACTATTGATCATCAGACACTAATGTCCAACGCCTTGACCAAGGCTACTAAGTCAGTAGTTAGTGCAACGTGCATGCACCCTGTCCGTGGAGATTTAAAGGGACACTGGGTCCTGGAACAACCCAATTGGGCTACAAAACGCGCTTTGAACGAGATGATGTTAATCGGAAAGAACATCTAAAAGTAGGAAATAAACATCCACACAACTATCCTTTAAAAACTGGGCGTTTTTGTGTTATTCCTGCATTATGCGTGCGAAAACGAATTTCGGGGTCCACTTTTGCGACCCCATATATTCGAGCTGTTTTGATGCTAGTTATGATTTCATTCGTAAAGTGTTTGCCTTTAGCGGACGTTGAAGAAAACCATATTTTTTTGCATTGGTGATTGGTCACCGCTGTTCCCGAGACACACAACGTGTATATCGTACACTGCATGAGAATGACACGAAAAACGTATTCGTACTCCGTCGTGTACGATGTAAACAACCGTGGTTTTTTTTCTTTTCTCGGGAACAGTAAGACATTAGGTTGGTTTCCTTTCAACCACATGTTTGAAATAGGCTAAGTAAACAATGCAAAACATGAAATTTTCAGGGATTTCAGGACCTAGTGCCCCTTTCACGAGATTGATGATGATTGTACACCTACCTAGCTGGCGATCTATTGGGTGATGGTGTTGCTTTCTTGAGCTGTGATTGCACATAGTCATTGCTTAGGTTCTTCCATTGCTGTAGTAGCACAGTCTCCGCAATCCTGTACATGAACAGACATGCCGACAATTATGGCCAAGTTTGGACAAGGACCATTAGTCGACTAGTGGTTGATTTGTGACGTACCTTACGCCTGCGCAGTAATAGCAACGTGCGAACGTCTCTAGTCGAACGCTGGTCAAAATGTTATCGCAAAACTTCTGGATCCTGGCTTCCTGCTAGCGTTATGAATGCGTGCGGCTATTGGTTACCAGCGATGCAACCAGCTCCAGTAGGTTGGTTCCAAATAGTCGACTAGCGTAGTCAACCACCGTCGACTAGACAGAGTTCGGGCAAGCGTTAGTCGAACTGTGGTTAACTATAGTCCTTGAGCGAACTTGGCCTAGGCTAGTGATGGCAATATTCAGATTGTGTGCTACCAATAGTTGTAGTGTTCAATCATATGGAGTATGAGTATACATACGACACCCTCAGTGATAAGAATTCACAGTAAAACTGTAGTTGAAACACACAACTGTTGGGACTACACACGTGTTGTCCCATGGTATTATGGGGACCGAAGATGCTATGGGGACAGCAGAAAGTCCCCATACCTCGGTCCTAATTTCCTTAACAATAAAAAACTTCCCCATAACGCCTTGATGGCCCACCCACACCTACAGACCTGTACAAGTTGTCCAGACTCCAGAGATTGACAAAATTAATTGTTAAATATCCATATTTCAAAGTTCTGTGTACATGTAACAAGAAAATCCACGTCTTCCAATTCAAGAGAAAACATTGTCTTGCCTTGCCTGTCCGTTCTTGCAGAAACAAATAAATCATTCCAATTATGAGCCAAAGCTGTAACTGTCAGACTAGTGTCACATACATGAACTAAAAAAGACTAGCACTCTAACGGGCTCCGTGCAAAAGTAACCCCTCAGAATTGGGGGAGACCACATGGATTGACATTAAAACACACTGTCGATGACGCCTGACGCTCACGTGGAGACGCTACGCTTTGTGCACATACATACTTAGCGCTATACGCGCGTGAACCAGTGTGCGCACATGGTGTGTCCCATCCACGAGGCTCTCAAATGTAGTAAATAAGCGCTATCTCTGGTTTGCGCACTGAGCACATAGCTCAATTTTTCGAGGACAACACTTTGTACCCAGAAATGCCTAACAAGGTTTTTTTTGTGTAGGTCACCTAGACTTTTTTTTTTAAAAGGCACTGATTCATCCTTATGTTACTCACTTTCTGAGTTGACTACATATACCGGAGTGGCCACTCTTAGAGGGCTGAAATACTTCAACTTTAGGGACGTCTGAAAAGACAAAAATGGAAAGTTGACATGTAGATGTACACTTGCAGCTCATGGGGCTGCTACATGTGTAAGGGACAATACCCCCCTAAAAAAACGGTGCTAAATTTAAATAAATAAATCAGAAATTTATTTCATGTTGTAGTCTACTCTTACCCTTTCCGTTTACGTACTCGTGAAATATAAAAAGAAAAACAATAAAAAAAGAGCAAAGAGCATCCCATAGCATCAAATGAGATCCCCACCCCCATTTTTTTTTTTTTTAAACTTGGGCTGGCCAGTCAGCCCTTCTAAATTTTGACAAATCCTCATTGTGCCATTGTCTCTTTACCTTGCCTCCCCCACCCCCACCCCCCCCCCCCCCCAAAAAAGCTCAACAAATTGGTGCTGCATCCAACTGTTGTAGATGTACATACAAGTATTCAATGTCATTACCTACTTTCTGTTAATTTTTAAAGTAATTTTAATGGCAGATTTCTTTTATTCAACTTCCTCATTGCCTGAATGCAATTCACAATAGGAATTGAACGGAAAATAGAAAACGAAACTGAATTGACCCCAAACAGAACTGAAAAGGATTCTGTACGAGCATGGCGACTGGCGTTACTGAGGTTATTTCAGCAGTTAAAGGGAAGATACAACATTTGCAAACATCAAAAAACGAAATGATCAAATTATCACGAAATACCTTACTGACTTGTTAGGGATTGACAGTCTAAAGCATCCTGTAAAATTGTGGCTCCTGGTGTGCTGACATTTTCAAGAAAAACTGTATTTTTCCAACGCTGGTCAGCCGACCAGCGTTGGAAAAAACTGGCTTTTTCTCAAAAACTGCTCCTATGATTTTTTCATATTTAGTTATTCCGCATTTTCTTTGCAATAGATTACACACCTGTGAAGGAATACAAACCTGCTAGAGTGATTCTTTGACCTTACAATTCCCCAAAGTCTTTACGTTAGTTTCATCTTAAGTGGGGTCGGGGAACCAGACTACAAGAAATTGATTGGTTTTCTTGGTTTTTTCAGCATAAACAAGCCTAAAACGTGAAACAAGTCAGTTTAACAATATTTGCTATAACATACTAATCCTCCAAATCCATTTATTTCTGAAAATTGCAGCAAAAGCAAATGTTGTACATGTACATTGCCTTTAAAGAATGTCATACATGTACATGTATATGCCCTGTTGATAAACTTACTTGCATCTAAGTACTTGTTGAGTGAACAGTGAAGTCGGACAACGATTGGCTCACACCGGCTGATGCACCACGCCTTGCTGATTTCATCCTAACAAATAAATAGTCAAAAATTGCCTTCATTTTTATGATGCATGTAGCTATGAAAATTAGAAAAACCTCACAAGTCAAATTAAGAAAGAAAAAAAAAATTGTCTTCACTTTTACTGGGTACTGCTAAGTGATACAGGTTCACAGACAGATTACATTTTCTGTCATGTCTGTGAGATTTCCTTAAACCTCTTAAATCCCCTGTTGTGCAAAAAAAACCCAGTGGCACACTCTTTGAAATGGGCGTTATTCATGAGTCAGCCATATTGAATTGAAAATGAGGTAAAATCTTAATCTTTTGGAAATTGCGAAGAGAAATGAAAGCAAGTTAATTTCTAATTAATTCCAGTCTGCTTCAATGAATAATCTAAAATTTCTAATTAAATATTTCATAAAGTTGAAAGCCAGATTAAAAAAAAATGACAGTAAAATAAGGCTGCATAGTGCCTGCATAAATAGTCTGGTGCCATCCCATTCAACAGTTTAACAATTAATGAAATACATTCAGGGAACTCGACAAAAATGGCCAACTCGTGAATAAGGCCCATTGAACTTTCAGGGAGCACCAAGCTTCATTTATTAAAAGTATTTTGTAAGCGGCTAGGCTAACAATCACTGTTCAAGCTCCCAGAATAGTTTAAAAAATCTAGTGGGTTAGGGTTTGCTACCTGTAGGTACATGTATAAGCAAGTAAAATACTTTTCAAAAAGTGGTAAATCATAGCAAGAGAAATATCCAAAAATAGATTGACTGCTGTATAAACATATGTACATGTACTGCACACATAAACTTGCTCTAGTTTTATGACAGAAATTGATTGAATTTACACAAAGAAGTTATTTTACTGGTATTTTGCCATCTGAAGAGGGGGGGGGGGGATTCAATGCAACAAATTTAAAATTAACAGGATAGAGCAAGACAATTAGTACAGCGGTAAGCAAACATTTGCAAAGACAGATTCAATCCTGTACCATAATTAAAAGAGATCACTTGCATATCACATGTACGTGTGCATGTACATGTACATGTACATGTACATGTACATGTACATGTATTTGTATACTTTAAATCTCCATGCCAAGTTTATACTTTCTGAGAAGGCTTAGATATTATGCCCATGGGAACAAACTTTCACAGAAGAGTTGTTGAAATCACCTACTTAATATGAACACTGGTATCCTTTGCATTGAGGCCAGTTCAAGGAAAACATGCCTTATTCATGAAAGAGAATTGATTTAATGACTCTGTGATGATGAATTTCAATGTGTTTCCTTCAGTGCATATTCACAATGTTAAAACGGCCTTGGTTTAAATTGTCACTGTACTGGACATGGCCATGTTGTCACCTTGGCTTGAGAACTGTGTATTCAATACATGTCTAGTCAACAATGCAACTGTGCAAACACAAATACTCTGTATTTCTGTCTGGTACAACGCATTGCATTCACAATGAGTAATCCACACATTGTGAGTATTCTGCTCACTGGTCGAAAAGCAGGAAATAGATATCCCACAATTTCAAGGAAATGCTGAACACACTTTTTAATAGATTGTATAGGTGCCAGTACATGTAATGCTAAATTTAATAACTAAATTGCACATGTATCAGTTTCATGTGTTTGTAAAGTGCAAGTAAATCAACACAATTATCCTCTATCGTTATTACATGTACATGTACATGTACACTGTACCGGTACATGTAATTGAAAAAGTATAATATTGCTGTATACATAGATACATGTAGTGGTATACTTTAAGGCCAAAAAAAATAAATACTCGGTCTCTGGTCAGCGCGCGCGTCGATTTTAATCATGCGCGTCAACCTTTTTTTTTTTACAAATTAACACGGAAGCTACAACAGCTACAACTGTACCAAGGAGCACCAAGGAATGGGTAAATTGCACCAAGGCAAATGATATAAGGGCACCAAGGCAAATTATGGAGGACACCGATGTATAATGAGGACACCAAAAAAGCAAAATAGTACCCACCTCGTCTGTACAATACAAGCTTGAAAAAAAAAAGCCACCAAAAAAAACAACCGCGTCGCCGCATCAATTCTGGAACTTGGGTCTGACCAGAGACCCGATTTTTTTTTTTTTTGGCCTAATATTAATATTTTTTTCAGTAATGAAACTCCATGATACCTGTAGGTGCATGCATGGACGTACACTTGTTTACTAAAGGGGATAATATATAGTGTGAAGGAACATTTGTAATGCGAGTTAAAAACCTGTTAGGCTTCGGCTTGGGCCATTATTGGCGGACCATTTTACTCCATGGTCAGCTTTTTCCAAGGTGCACGCAGCCAGCACAGCGTACGGCACGTACTGCACACATGTGGCACAGGTGCTTGAGACCCATTTTAAACATAGCTGTTTAAACACTGAGTGGTATTTAAACAACAGTTTAAAACCACCCAATCTCGTCCAATAGGAATAGGTAAACTGTCTCAGCATTTTATGAATACAACATGTTTTTTGTTAAATATCCTGGCGAAGACTACAGTTTACAAATAAACAGCTTTAGAACATAGGTACCTCAAGGAAGGACACATCGATGTTCAACTCCACATCTATATCTCTGAGCTCTGTGAATACCCTACGGACAGCAATGTGGACAGAAAAAGTTAGAAAGAAAAAAAAAGGCCAATCTAAACAAAATATCTTGCCGTTATGAAGAAAAAGAATGAAAGTCAATTTTTAATCATAATGTAAAGAAAGCAAGTCACGTATTTAGGTCACATATATTTATAAGGCAGTCTATAGGCACCACTTATTTTCAGGCTCCATCATCTGATCGCACTGCTGGCTCGTTTTGATTAACCAATCAGAATGCAAAGATTAGCCAATCTAACTGTACCAAGTGCAATGGTTTTATTGACCAATTATAATCACATTTTCGATTGCCAAATCAGACTGAAAGGTTTTCATCAACCAATCAGACTGCACAGTATTAATCAATCGGACGGCAAGGTATCCATTAACCAATCAGACCATGCAGACTGCAAAGCTCCATCAACCAATCAGATCTGTCATAGTTTCCATCAACCAATCACATGTCAAAGTTTCCATCAACCAATCAAATGTCAAGGTTTCCATCAACCAATCAGATGTCAAAGTTTCCATCAACCAATCACATGCCCAACATTGCTCACAAATATTAGGTACACCAACCAATCAGATTGCTCAAACGTAATCCACCAATCACTGACCAATCAGACTACATGCAACAAGGTGTCACAGTCTAATCACATTTGTCCATTTCTGTGCACCAATCCGATTGCTTACCTGCCATTGATTGCATTTGGTCCAAAGTGTTTCCTGACTTGTTCCATGTCGTGCATCAACAATGGATGAGTACTGCTGTCTTGCCCATCTTCCTCATCACAGTAATACTGTAGAAAGCAGTTTGTTAATGTTAATAACCAGGCATAGGGGGCCTACACTGTACCGGTACACAGATTTAAAACAAAATGAAGTCCCTTCCCCCTAAAAAAACACACAAAAACCCAAAACATTACATAAAATGACCTACACGTTGTTAACATTGTAGCTTCACATATGTAAGTGAAATAAATTTGAAGGTCATCAGAGAACCATTAAATGTGTAAAATTTTAAATACATGAAACGTACTCTATGTGTAAATTTAATGATTTACATGTAATGTTCCTGAGGCCTGACGATTAATGTTAATCCTATGAATAAACTTCAAAAGTGGCATATAATTCGAAAAAATATGAAAAACTTACTTATTGTATGCCCCCTAGGCAATAATTTTTTTTTTAATTCTTGATTCTTGCATGGAAATGGAAACATTTCACATATTTGCAGGTACGTGTATATGTATACCGGTACATTGTACAGTGTACATATCACCACGAATAACTGATACACATGTACATGTACATATGTACACGTACACGTTGATCCTGAGATACATCTACCGGTACATGTACATGTACATGTATGCCAGTGCAATGAGGATTTTATAAACACTACAAGTATCATAATGAAGTTATAGAAATTGTAAGAGCTTAGTATGTGAGTACATGTACATGTACATGTCAAAATTGAACCAAAGTGAAAGATGTTGGAAACACAACATGTAGTATGTTTGTGTATTATTTTCCATCTGTATGGTACTCAAACAATGGGACATGCACAGTACGAACAAAAAATGTACAATACATACAGGATTACAAATGAAATATAAAAAAAAAACATCTAAAAAAAGACATCTAAAACACACATTACAATTCCACTTAAACCCTCTCCCATTTTTCTGCACTCCATATATAATTCTGAGGAAAAATCCAGTAGCTGAACTACGTATTGTATTACATAGAAGATGAGTTCAAAGAACTCCAACAAAACTGTCTTCATAAATCATCAAAGGTTGAACCAGCAATCGCTTTCACTATGTACATTGTATGTCTGCTTGGTTGACCTCAGGTTGCATGACCCGACAGTACATGATACTTATGAATACACATCTTCAACAACCAAAAAAACAAGTGTTAAGTAATCAATGATGTTTATGTTTTACATGTAACTTTCTTTTTCGCTCACTTCCTTTCTGACTTTCAGATGGAAATAAACTTCATGTACAGTTTTTGGTTTCCAAATGGGAAGGATTGTTGTTGCTTTCAATTGCCTTTCCTCCTTTACTCCTTTTTTTCTTTTCTTCAATATTCAATATTTTGTTTTCCCTTTATCTTCATTGTTATCTTTGTCCCGTCATTTTTTTCATCTTGCATCAGCTTGGTTTATGATATGACTTTTTTCTAAGTTGGATTTGTTTGTCTTATGTCTGTCTGTCTGTCTATTTTCTTTTTGTTGTTGTGTGTACACTGTTTAATTGTCCAGACTGTTCCACTCGCAAGCCTCAGTATGTGAACTCACCAATATTACTCTTTCTTTTAATTTTCCTTATTTATTAACTTTTATTTCATAAATTTGCTTCAAAGTACATTTTGTTACTTGTATTAATTACGTACACTTTTCCTACCCTCCTATGCAAACATACATTCTGTGCTAAGTTGTCCTTTCAGTCAAAATCAATCAAGTGACTGTTTTCAACAGTTAAGGGCTCCCAGCCTACATAAAGCAGGATTGACTGGCTGTGACTTAAATGTAACTTGTTACAGCTGTGCTTTGACTGTAGGTGACTGATAAGCCAGCTGTGCCAACAGTTTCCCGCTTTTGTCTGTTGACCAAATTTGACTAGTCAGAGTGCTCGCTTGGAATATGATCTGACTGTTGGTGACTAGCCTGTGTCAAAGGCATAGTGGAGAAAGTGGATGGACTTTTTGACTGTCTGTGACTGTTTAAACAGTAGGATGGTTAATATTACTTTATTGTACCGGTACTTTATAATTATTATCGCACTATTTATTGGTTTATTAAAGAGTACAAAATAAATGTATGTTGAATTGAACTAGAAAACTGTGTCCCATTGTGTTTTGCATGCACTATGCAAGGTTATAACACAAAATTCTCCAGGGATGCACGTACACCGTGTGACAGGTTCAAATTCTACGAAGCAATTAGGTTTACTTTCCTGCATATCCCCAAGGAAATAATAGTCATTAAACTGACAGCCCACTCCACTGGAAAATTTTGTCATGGTTGTAATTGCACGGCTAAACACACACACGACATGTATACACAGTACTGACAGTACATGTATCCTTAGTTGCACAGGACAAACAGTTGTTTTACTCTTGAACATTAGATAAATTATAAATGATCAAGTAACGTTTGACAAGATGACATTCCAAAATTTGGTATCACAACTACCGGAGGACGAAATTAGTTTGTAATGAGCAACAATATAAAAAACACCAAAAAAACGCATAAATATATCGCAAACAACCAAAGCAACCAAACAAACACAACCCAACCAAAACAATTGTAGTTTATAATTTCTTGTTCAAATGTAAACAAGCTTAGAGACATGTACATTGAAGGACCCGGAAACCCACCTACCGATTTAATAGGGAAAAAACCTTTTCCAAAGTGAAGATAGGGAAGGTACCAAATACATGTACCCTGTGCAATTATTCCGCCGAAATTGCATTGCCCAAATGCAAAATAATCACTTTGATTTAAAAAAAAGTGTGCCGGCGGGCAAACTTAAGAGGCTCCCAAAACTGTGCAAGATATATTTTTTCTCTTTTCTCATTTATAGTAGCCACCGACCTTTAAAGTTCAACAGGTTAGTTGTTAAGCCCAGTTCATACTTCATGCGAAGCGAATTTGACGTCATGAAACATTCGCTGCGAAACTCGCCCGAGTCGAATTGTATTCAACTTTTGCGAATTCTTGCCATGACGTCACAAATTCGTGTTCGCTTTCGCGCTGCGTATGAACCGGGCTTTATACACCACCCTTCTTAAGATTTTGAGCAAATTTGTTGCTTCCAATGAAAAATAAAAGGCACAAGGAGCAAATATATAATGAATCTTTAATAAAGCTTCACCAAAATAGATCTGTAGCAATTTAATGAGTAACTAAAGGTAATAACGTGCACACGGTTTTTTTTTAACTTTCTTTATTTTTACCTAGAGTTAATCATTAGAGTGCCCCATATCTGTTCTACACATACACGTATGGGTATATCCTGACTGACACGGCCGCACACCAATTAATAGTGTGGGCTGAAGATCTTTGCTCATTATGACCTGTCTGAATGTCAGAATACAGTACAGCTCGAAATTAAAAGGAATCCACGCAAGGGATACTTGACAAGGGCCACGCAAGGATCCCTTGTGTGGATTTCACTATATGTCAAAGACCATTTTGTAATCATTTTGATCGTTTTGTAAAAAAGCCTTGCAGCTGTTTTTTGAATTTTTTTTTCTAATTGGATCTTTCACAAATTCACAATTTTAAGAGAAAAAGTTAAATGGAGTTTAACCCTTACTCTCTGAGGGTAGTTTACTGCATGTCAGTTGGTTATGCCAATGCCCTCCAGCTGCAGTTATTTGGCAGATAACAAGTCTTAGCAGTGAAGGCTCCAATTGGCAGGAGTTGGAGGCCCTGGAGGGTGCCTGATACTGACCAGCTGGGGGCACTCACTTTGTTATCAGAGGACTCTCATTGTTCTCTGTGGCATGTATTGGAGTGCCTGTCCAGTTACCCTTGAAATGACATGGCAGATATTGGAGGGCCATGCAAAAAACATAGGAGATTTTCTTGAGGCACACATTGGCATGCGTTGGAGGGTCTAGTAGGGTAAGGGTTAAAATGGAAGGTTTGCAATAACACTAGTTTCGCAAGATTGTTTTCTGAAGACATCTCCCGAAGATGACCACAGCATATTGATTGAAACGTTGAGTGTTTTTTTTTCATCAGTTCTATCTTCTCAGAATCTTCTCTAGTGCAAAGTGTTATCTTTCTATGAATGGCTTCAATTTTTTTCCAAAATGGCACCATGTAGTTTACAGTTAATACCCTCATGAATCCTTTCTTTGAAGAAGAGTTGGTTCTAAAAAGAACCAATTTGAAAATGATCGATATTTTACAGTAGAAAAGCTGTGGTTGAATTTCAGGTAAAAATTACTAGACAGCTGGGCTAGTACAGTAGTAACACAAAACTTTTACTAGACCACAAGGTATTTCACAAGACCAATTGTAAAAGTAACAGTTTTTTTTTTACCAATGAATGCTCTGTTTCGATTTTTTCCCTTTGCCGACCTAGTTGGGGAGGGGTTAGAAACGCTGTTTTGAAACTCCCACCTTCAAAATGGCCATTCAAGAAATTATAGAGCTTTTTCAGTTCACCAGATTTAGAACACTTTAGTGATGGCATTTCACCTACTGTATGAAAAAAAAAATCACCGGACTAGTTTTGTTGAGAGTTCACTAGACCGATGCTCAAATCACTGGACTCCGTCCAGCAGATATTTCGATCCCTGAAAATTGTTGCACGGCACTCACATACACATGTGACAACCAATATGTGCATGCAGTTTGGACTGGTGCCGTCCCCTGCGTACAATGCCATGGTTCCTGCAAAGAGGTTCTTGACTCTGCGCACAATCGTGACAACTACCCCCTCAATGGCTACAAACTGACTCAAAGGGGAAACCAATGGGTAGGACATTCGAGCATTCTGCCGACGGCAACTGACACTCACGAAAAGACGCTATGTGTTTATGCACATTCAGAAAAAAAGTAAGTCGTGCATACTTTGTGCCATTCGCACAGGAACCAGTATGCGAAAGCAGTGAGTCCCTCCAACTACATGTAGGGCTTTCGAAAGTGATCGCAAGGCGCCATGTACTATTTCATGCACAGGGTCCATGGCACCAAAGTTTGAGTACATTTATATATTTGCATTGTTTACTGTGAGCTTGGGGCTAATCAGAGGGAGTAACAAAGTCAGTTTAACTCACCCCTTCCTCATCTTGATCCATGTAGTACATATCATCATAGTCTGTGTCATCAGTGTCACACGTACCGTCTGTGTAAACTGATGATGGTGAATGCTGCAATTGAATGAAAAAGAGACACCATGAACGGTTTGAGCACCAAATGCAATTTGGCTGTCTAGCCACGAGATGTATGAAATGAATATCAATCAATTAATAAATCAAATTAATATTGATTTTGATGGGTCATTTCTATGTAACAGACACAGTGAGGTGGTTCAAGTACATTGTACATGTGATACATGTGTTATCTATCACAAACTGTGCTGTACATACATGTTTGAGCACTGCAAGTACAACCACAAGTAAATCACAAGTCCAGTCACAAGTAACAGGGGATGAACAACAAACAAGCTCGATCAGATATATCTCGGAAGCTGTGGGCCAGCGAATTCGTGTACATACATGAGTGACGTGATTGTGCCATGTAATTTCTGGAAGGTGTAGTGTCTTGAGTTAAAATAAAAAAAATCAGCTTTTTGACCCCAGTGACCTCATGATGACCTTTGACCCCAGTTTGATCCTTGACATGTTGGGGCAGTGCTACTGATACTTTTGACAAAGTGTGGTTGAAATTGGTAAAAATATGTAGGAGCAATAGACAATGTCAACTTTATTTTACTAACTAACTAACCAACTAACTAACTAACGGAGGGACTTGATTTTTTTTTTTGGGGGGGGGGCTATCCCGTAGTCTATGTAATAGACGCTCGTTGAAGACGAGCGTCTATTACATGCGTGCAGATTCCACGATTAATTATGCAAGACGGCCGCGTACTGACCACCAAGTTTTGACCAATCAACAGGCGTCTACTATATCGTACAAGCATGTCTCTGTTGACAAAAGTTGGTTTCATGGAGGCCGCCATGTCTGCTGAGTCAGCTGACAGCTGTTGACTAATCAACATCCTCCGTCACAATCTGGACGGAAAATGACTGTAAACGGCTGTGATTGGCTGATGTGCTGCGTTGCATAATATTTGCATGCACGCATGTATCAGACGTTCGTACGGAGCACACTGCTCGCTCCGTAGAACGGGTGATACTCAGACTAGCTATCCCGCAGCTAAAAACAGAAATACGTTCGTAAAGTTCACTTGTTGTGACATGACTAGTGATGGATTTGTGATGACTAGTGATCCATCACATGCACCTCAATACACACAAATACACGGCGAAAGTCCAATGAGCAATTAACTTACTGGCGGCTGCTCGTCATCAATCACCATCAGACTGTGGCTGTTCAATTTACTGGCATCACCCCCGCCCTTATCCTGGATGCTACTGATGTCAGGTAAGCACACATCAAGGGGTTTCCAATGCTCTGTCGGACAGGATAAAACAGGCCCATTCACAAATCACATGAGTCTATCTGATAACAAGTGTTGACATCACATTTTGTTTTCCTGACTGACTTTTTCCCTTCACCGGCGTGATTTCACAGTCTCTGTAAACTCAGTGTTGTCCGAGAACTTGCGAGAAAAATTCACAAGCTGAACGCAGTTGGGACTCGAACCCACAACCCCCTGCTTACTACTGCAGACATCTAACCACCAGACCACCGATTTTGCCGATGATTAGTTCAAATTTGATGCATGCATGTACCAATGGTTCAAGGGACTTTTGCGGCAAGGACATGTAAATTCAGGTTTTCCTCTTCCTATATGTTAGGCGTTCTGGCAAAATGAGACGGAAATGGGCACAGGCCAAAGTAGAGCAAAATGCAATAAACCAAATAGGAGTGATTTTTTTCTTAATTTTCAGACTCATTGATATTTGTAATCTATGATGTATTAAAAAATAGTATAAAAACCATCTTAGCCATCTTTCATTTTCACGAATACAAAACTCAAAATTTTAAAGGTCTTTTTGTCCGGAATGTCACTTTTTGTCATGTTGATACACGTGAACTTTAAACAGCCATAACTTATCAACGGTTTGTCTGATCGAAGTACAACAAACAGCATTGTAAGGAGAGTTTTATTCTCTTTCCTAATCCATGCATACCCTCATTTCTACCCCTGCCCTGTTCTGTCTCATATTGCAAGAACGCCTCACATAGTTTCATCGAACTGTACACTCAATGCCGTCTAAAAGCTGCAAGAAGACAGTGGTATAGTAAAAGTAGACGTCATTGGACAACTTGTGACATCATGACTACTAAACTGAATGCAAGAAAACTTGCCTATGTCATTTAAAAAGCAAAGAAATAGTTGTTATAAATCAAGGCCTAAAAAATTGAAAGCCCAAAACTAAACAAGTTAAAAAATATACCCACCATGAGCCATCCTCCTGAACACGATCGGGATGCGTTCCTGAATGAATTCGGGTTTGTCAGGGAAGTTTAGGCAAGTCAGTGCGCTGTTATCTGTTGTAAAATTGAAAATGAAAAACAATACCCGGAAAAGTGTGATCAGTATAATTTTCACTTTCAATGTACCCTAAAAAGTGACGTGTACCGGAACTATAATAACCTTTAACCTTTATAAACTTTTGGCCTTTACCATGTTTACACTGTGGCTCTGAAAATATATTATTGCACCATGAGTGTCGCTTGGATTTTGTCCTAAAGGTGAATAAAGCAATAAGAACTACCTCAGTAAGAATTCATTGGACATGTATGGGGGAAAAAAATGAAAATCAAAGGGGGGGGGTTGACATCATTGATGCTTGACTTGAGGACGCTGTTTGAAGTTGTTTTGTTCAAGACAAATACTTGATGAGATGTCAAGATTATGAACTTCAGTACATTAATATGTACAAACATTGTATTGGACAAATTTCAGGGATAAAATAATCACAATACTCCTGAAGTGACAGTGTTTTGAAAATACTTCACTGTTGGGCAGTTCTATGGCAAGTTGTTGGACGTATGTAAGCCTACATGTTGGACAATTCAACAGTGTGCATAAGAAAAGTTATAATCCTAAAGTGGATCTTAATTCTTATTCTGATAAACCGTATCAGTAAGCTACAGTGATTTATGAAAAAAAGAAATTATTCATTAAACTTTTTTGGCTGTAGGAGAAATTGGCTCGAAATATCATAGTGTCCGACGTAAATGTGTATGTATGTACTCAGACCAATTTTTTTTTTGGTGGGGGGGGATGGTACTTACTTATTAATTCTTCAGTTAAAAGCAACAGCTGAATTGAACGTTGTGAGAAACAAACTACATTCAATAAAATGCATATAATAAGCTTCAAAACGATGTTTCATTTGTGGCATTTGGATTGTTTTAAGTTTTAACACTGAGGTTTATAAATCCAAGGAATTGCCCAGTTGTAAAAAAAAAGCCAGTCAACACAAACCTGGGTAATCTTCTGTGACATTGAAGGTATAAGCTGACAGTTCTCCATTGATGTTCAGAACAAAACTGAAGGAATTTTTGCCGTGCTCGAAATCTGAAAGAAAATGTAAAAGAAAAAGTAATTAATCGTGTCTTAAGAGTTGCCATTTCTGTACCCCCCCCCCCACTTTTTAAACTGAAGGGGGGGGGGGGGGGGAGGGGGAGGGGGATATCATATTGTTTGTCCCCCACTTTTTCTGTCCCAGAATATACATTGTAGCCCACAGTTGATTCTATCCGGTTCGTTAGTGTGACGTCACCTCCAGCACTCTCTGCACGTTTGGAACCGGAAGTTAACGCAGCTCGAGCGTTTGCAGCCAATGGGCGCTAGTAATCAGTGGTGTGCGCGCGTGTATGACATTTTTACTAACGAACCGGATAGCTCAGAATATCTGATTCAATAACTCAAACTCACAAATGATGTTTAAATGATGATCTTTTTCTAAAAAAAAATTGGTTACAAGTGGTCAGAAAAAGTGGTCTCAGATTGCAACACAGAGCGTCTAGAATTCAACATTTTTCAAGGCCCTTTAGCGGCTCTTAGATCCTACGCTGTTAGGGCTTCGCGCTTCGCACTCGCATTACTTCTGATCAAGATATGTCCCTCCCCCCACTTCTGAGGAGCGATTGACGCCCTTGTCTACAGGATGACGGACTTATTTCCAATTAGCACTGAAACCATCCAAATACTGGAAAGGTCCTACAGTACTCAGCGCTGAGGCCCGTAACTTCATGATCGTCAACCTGACGCTGCTTTTTTCATAAACCTGACGCTGCTTTGTTCTTTTGCAACCTGACGCTGCTTTTTTTCTTCATTATCATCTCAATGAAGATCAGTCATTGCAAAAACGATGATAAGACATAAATCTGGGACTGAAAAACATATCAATTTTGTTAGGAAATACTGAGAAAATTTTCTTGACTCTCCATAGACTTTGTACACAACCGCTGAAGTGGCGTCAGGTTTCAACTGAACTAGACCCGTGAATGTGGCTTGTAAACTACCCGTGAACGTGGCGTGTTTACCTGTTTACATGCCACGTTCACAGGTCTAGGTTGCACTAGCCCAGGTGGACGAGCTCCCTGACCACCCTACGTTCAGTCATAATGCAATCAAGACATAGTCGTCAAACCTGGGCTAGGCTGCAACATTCGTTCCATTTTTGCTAAAGTCACTTTCGAACGGAACAAGTTACAAATAGAGGTGTCCTATAAACTACACGATTAGTACTAGCTGGAGTTACCCAGCCCTACTTTTATCATTGGGTTGTCATTTAGGGCTGGAGCTAGTTTTTCACGTAACGGAGCAGCGTAGGCAGGTCCCAAAAAAATTGCGAAAATATTTGGAAAATGTTCAATTTTGTCCCCGTTACACACTAATTGCAACTGCAACTCACCCCAAACTTGCCTGGAATAACCATTACACAGGTCCTTGAAGTAAAAAACGATCCACGATGAAGATTCAGCCTACAATTGCAGTGAAAAAAGGAGGAATAACCGCTAACCTGACAACCTTGCAGGCATGGCCAGGACCGCAATTGGTTTGTGCACAAAAAAAATTGTGTACAATGAATGGCGGTCGGTTACCAGGCACAGAGAGCGATCGCTGTCAACTACTCGTTTTTTTTACTTCAAGGACCTGTGTAATGGTTATTCCAGGCAAGTTTGGGGTGAGTTGCAGTTGCAATTAGTGTGTAACGGGGACAAAATTGAACATTTTCCAAATATTTTCGCAATTTTTTTGGGGACCTGCCTACACTGCTCGGTTACGTGAAAAACTAGCTCCAGCCCTAAATGACAACCCAATGATAAAAGTAGGGTTGGGTAACTCCAGCTAGATTAGTACCCAAAAAGCATTAAATTTAAGTGCTATTTTGATCAGGACACTATCCTACGCGAAATGCCGAGTGATCAGACATTGTACGGCCTATCATGCCTATGCCGGCTTTTTACACGATTGTGTAACAAGCTCCATATTTCTAGGGGTAAACAGTGCAGATATAGGCCAGAGCTGTCATTTTTATGTAATAAACTTGGGAAAGATTCCCATATCTGGCCATCACTTGTCACCCTGTGCACAGCAGACTGGTCTGACAATTCCAAGACCAAGTCAGTCATGTCAGTGTTTTCTTAGTAAATAGGCACATGACAGGCATAGGCTTAGCCCCATAAATGTGGCCTATTTACTGGACTGCCTCCGTAAACATAGGCCACACGTCCACATGTACAAAAATCGTGTCGACTTTGCTAAATTTTGATTTTCACATTTAGGCTTAGTTTGTAGGATTTTTTTGCTTAAGAAGCATGCTCACCCACTTTATAGGCTAGTCAGAAAGTGCTGCCTTTTTTAGATGTCTAATTTTTGTGAAATTTCATGTTGAAATTTTGATACGCAAACGTGTAAAAATGAATCTGGAAATTTCACGAAAAATAGACATCTGAAAAAGGCAGCACTTTCTGATTAGCCTATAAAGAGGGTGAATATGCTTCTAAGCAAAAAAACCCTACAAACTAAGCCTTAATGTGAAAATCAAAATTTGGCAAAGTCGACACAATTTTTGTACATGTGGATGTGTGGCCTATGTTTACGGAGGCAGTCCAGTAAATAGGCCACATTTATGGGGCTAGCATAGGCTAGGCCCTACTTCAATATTTTCCCTGCTAAATTTGACTTTTTAGGACATATTTAATTTATATTAGGCAGTGTATATTTTGCCGGAGACGGCAAACCTTTAGTAAACGTTAGTTTGCCGGATATGCACTGAACATGCGCAGTTACTGTTTTTTTGTACTTAAACATTTTCCGGTGACAAGTTTTAGTCTGGCTCCATGCCAAAATTATCGTTGTTACCTCGTATTCACAAGATGGGATTCAGACCATTTTATAATTTCGGACTTTATTTCCCTTTTAAAAAAACCTCCAGAGCCACAAATCTGAAAAAGAAAATGTAATACTCTGCAAAAAATGTTTGAGACATGTTAAAATAATAAAAGAAGAATATTCTTATTTATTTGGGGATGAGAAAAAAAAACACTTTAAAATGTGGTGCGGTCGGAATCGAACGCGAGTCATCCCGCTTACTAGACATGCTAGAGCCTTTGCTTAACCATTACACCAAACGTGCTACACAACTTTGGGTGGAAATTTAATACATCTTATAATTCAGCCCTATTTTAAAGAGTACAGCGCCCTCTGTTGATATGGATTGCCGCCGGCAAACCTTTAGTAATCGTTAGTTTGCCGTCATTACCTCCGGCAAAATATCCAGTTATCTTTATATTATCACTTTCTGATGGCTGATAAGTCACTGACACTGAAGGGAAAATTTGTGATGGCCAGATATGGGCATGTTTCCTAAACTTGAGGCCTTGATTGAGGAAAAAGCAACAAACAAAGCACACTTTTGCAATTTTGCCGCGTCCAGTTTGACGTCTTACTTTTGAAAGGACACGCCGGATCGTTCACACAGACATCGATCACAGACTCAATATCGCGGGACAATAATTCCCTTCTCCAAGACATATTCTCCATATTCCTTGCTCTATGGATGATCCAAGGCAGAATCTCAGTCTCACGTCTCAGCTCATGCGGTAGCTACAGTGTATTTATGTAGTGCAGTGTTGCATTGTATTTCCTCATTCATGTCATTCATTTTGTCATTTCTCAGGTCAATGCAATCATGGAGCGGAGCTACGATGCAATTCGGCGAACCGGCTGGTGAGCGAGCGAGATGTACACAATGTACGTAAACCCGTGTTCCCAATCACAAATCCACACCATTCGCGAACAGGACTTGGTGGCGCGCCAATTACAGATACGATATTGTGACGAGACAGAGGGCGCTGTTTAAATAGAGCATGCTTGCGCGGCTTAATGGCGAATGCATTCAAGTGTATCAAGCATTGATCTCCATTTTTAGTAAGACATCAAGGTTGCATGCAGACCACTTTTAAGTTAACTGCCATAGACACCAATGATAAATGCCCCCACTTCAAAAAATCTGGAGAAATACAACTCTCCAAGGTATTCGAGACACACATTAAACTTAAAGCTAATTTTCATTTTCATCTTTCATTTTCTTTTTCATTTTCGGGGGGTTAACCGATGACTTTTAGGAGAAATTTCCATCCGAAGATGATCTCCACTTTAAAATGGTCCTGAAGCTCATCGCCATTTTGAAAAAAGACGCCTACACTCCATTGCAAAATAGAGCGCTGTTAGGGCTCCAAATTCATCCAATTTGCACAGAACTTCAAGCTCACAGCCTTACTGTGTTCCTTCCACCCATATTTTTTGCAAAGCCTCAAGTTCATGGTCCACAATATGCTCAAATAACGAAGAATTTGAGGGCATGCAATTCGTGATTTGGCCGGCGCCAGCGATATTGGACCGATTTACTGGCCTGCAACCTTGAAGATGCTGCCGACCCCGATCGTTCCCGTACGTGGAACTCAACTCTACATGTGCTTGCCTGAGTAAGTATGGGGATTTTATATACCGCCATTGCATGACCGCATGGATTCCCGTCGTATCCTTAGCCTTTTAATTCACCAACGCCATCGATGGCTTAGAGCTGAGAAGCTGCGAGCGAAAGATATTTCCAAGTTCTATCGACTACCCGAAAAATCCGAATTTGACCTTTTGACCCATTTTCCGCCCTTACATCAGGCACCTCATGTGTTACGAAGACCAAGTTGCTTTGTTTTACGGAAATTAATTGCTACAAAAATCGTAAAAAAACAGTTACGTGGGAAAATCCACGTTTCTATCAGAAAGTAACTAATTGCGACATTCATGTCAGCACGCGATTCAAACCGATTTTCCATGTTGGTTTGATCAGAGACAATGGCTCTTGATGTAGTCTCAATCTTTGTGTGCATGTTACTACATATTAACGTCTTCCGCATCAAAACCTGAGCTTTCTGTTCGCCCACGGGAGAAAAAAATGTGGCTGAGGGTGGAACTGCGATATTCTCGTGTCAAACCGACTTTCAGCTTTTTTGTCAGAAAGATATTACTGGACAAAGACTTCAATAGGTAGTGACGTACGTAACGCACTGACTCTCTGCTCTGTACGCTACAAATCATCCGATGTCATGAAATATTAATTGTATCTGAAAGGCGATATGCAGGCTGGAAATAAACAATGTAACTTCAGCTAGTGGGAGTACTGCTGGGCTGGACCTACATCACTAACTGTGACTGATCAATATTATGTGTCAGACGCCCAGAGTAAGAACTCAAGGTGAAGTATCTGTTGTGGGTGGCGAAGGAGAGATTCGCTGTGTGTTTGACCCTCAGCCACATTCATCTACGATAACATGGCACTTCAAGGGATACAACCATCAACACCATGGACAGATTGGTGACGTTTGCAAATCGACTGATCATCTCTCCACTCCTGGCCTCAGACAACGCAAGTTAAATAAGATGTGTGGTTACATATGCCAAATACTGTGAGCAGTTGAGTCCTTGGCACCAGATATGTTTGGTTCCACCAGTTCGGACGAACTGTGGACCGATTTGGCCAGCAGCACATGCAAGCCGAGGCAACATCCTTTCACTTCAACTCTACGCCCAACACGGATCATCACTGGTAACACGCATCATCTCTGGCCGAGTGGTGCCATCATTAACCTTCTAATCCTTGTAGCTATTGTTGCCATCGCCGTCTACCTACTCAAGGTGAGAAGCCCTCCCTCGGTCCGTAAGACCAGTCCGTCAGCCCGTGCTGAGCCAAGATCCGGTGGGCGGATTCCCTACGTTTCGATCTTCATCCTCCATCCCAGCCAATAGAAGAGGATCTCCCGTGTACTTTCACACTTTCGATTCAGGACCATCAAACGGACCCACTCAAACAGAACCAGTCCATCATTTCTCCGAAACACCTCATGATTTCAAGTGATGCCTACTCAAGAACAGCGAGTGTCGCTGTTAGAACATGGAGAACCTCAAAATGACAGATCTGCCAGACATGAGTCTTCGCTTGAAAGGTTTGACGAGATGAGATAGAGGGCAGAATGCCACAAAGCATGCAAGGAGAAAGTGGGGATCCGTACTTACGTCACCATTATGAACACAGTAAATCAAAACTGATGAAGAGTCTTTAAGCCGCATAAAGATCTTGGCCTTGTCGTGCATGTGGGCGGGAAAAGTTGTCTGCACGGTTCTCCCATTTGTCTTCCTCTTTGAAACTGAACAGGTGATGAGAAACTAGACCAGGAACAGTAAACTTAAAAGTCGTCGTAATGTCGTTCTACATGTACTATAGGCATCTGTTTCTTGGGATGTTTGTTTTTGTTGCAACTTATTTTGACGATAGGGGAAATTGAATGAATGCGTCTGATGAGTATTCGGAATCGTTAATCAGCACGATTTTAGGAGAATGTTTGAAGTGTTATCACACAGAGCTTGTCAGTCGTTGGAGTTTGTGTGCGTATATAGGCCTATACGTAAAGATGAACAGGGTGAGTCAAAAGAAAAAAAAAGGAAACCCAAAATGACGCCTCCTATTTTCTATAGAAGTTCTCATGTAGCGCTTTCCAGATCAAGGACGTGAAAGTACAATTAATAAGCTTTCTTTTAGGAAAAGAATCATTCGAATCACTAATGTACTTTTCCAGTTATGAAAACAGTTTTATAAATGTGTCGATCCACGGATCACATTAAGTAAGTGATATTTCAGTAAAATGAAACCAGAAACCATATGGCATGAAAACGATATCAGAATAATCGCATAAGTCTCCGGGGTAGCCAAGTAGAAGGCAGGGCAAGACTATAAACTCTTGACATTATAAAGCATGTTGTTTTCACAGAAGCAGAATGTTTAATAAAGGTGATGATAGGGCCTAAGTGCCAGCTATCATGGTTATGATAGTTTTCTGATTTTTTTTTTTTTAATATGTGAATTGCCTTCGTTTTGCTAAAATATCAATTACTTATACCCTCAATGTGATCAATTGACAAACTTGTAAAACTGTGCTTAGCCTATGTTTAAAAGTCCATAACTGGAAAAGTATACGAGCGATTTGAATGATTCTTTTATTAAAAGAATTACTTGGGCTTTTACATCTTAGGTCTTGAAAGCGATACATGCAGAACTTCTTCAAAAAACGGGGGCGCCACTTGGGTTTTCGTTTGTTGTTACCCACCCTATTTACTGTCGCCTATTTTCCTTTTAGTGAAGGTGGGGGCAAAATTTGTTGGCTAATGTTTTTGTCATATTCAAAAAGTTCATTTTTTTTTTACGGGGTTGCTCCCGTATTTCCTAAAGAAAGCACACTTGTTTCTTATTGAACCTGTGTACACCACTGTATGAGTGTACATGTACCTATTTTCACACAGTATCCTATCATAATATGATTGATGATGGATCTGATTAATTTCCACATATCGCAATTATAATAGTGGCCAATTAAAATCAAACAGAATATATAACAATAATGGTATAGGATGGTATAGGCTGGAAAAAGGGGTCGGCCGGGGCCGAATATCCGCTTGGGGCACGCCCCCCCCCCCCCGCCCCCGGAGTTCCCCCACTGTGTATATTATCCCGATTTATGGTTACATGCACCTAGCTGTTCTAATATTTCTTACGACTTCGGTAAACTGATTTATAAGAACGATGCACTTGGTTTTGAAATGGAAAATAATTATGAAATACTCTGTTTCCTGCACACACTTGAAGTTATATATCACATCACTTTATCTATTTTTTATTACAATCGCGGCAGAGTGTTTTATGTAAAGTACAATTTTACTCGTATTTGAGTATAATCAAGAAACATTTTCTTGTACATAATTAAACTTGCGGTTGTTAGTACACATGGTAAATATCCCAGAGTCAATTGTTTGAATAAGAACCTTTCTTACTTTTAGTTTGTATCTTTTAATTAGAGAATTGAATTTTATTGAATTGAAATAAATACCTCTCGGAGTTGTGTTTATAGAAACAATTGTACATACTGTGCTGCACGTTTAAGATCCCTATGAAACATATAAAACTTGTATTGATACATTTCGATATGTATCCTATTTCGGTATGTTTACATGTAGATAACTGTAGCAATTGCAAGTATGATAACATCCACAGTTTGAAAATTAATATAAACGGAAAGCCTTTCTGTTTACTTTGATAGATTGGAGCATGTGTATAGTGCATTACTTCCTCTTATTCATTCATGTAGTTTGCACATCCATGTTTCTTTCATGAATTATATATAGCAGGTTGTAATGGATGTGGTAACAAACATGCGTTCTTTAATTGTTTTGATTCGCTTTAAAAAAAAGAACCACTATGTTCAGTGAGTCTCAGTTCTCATGGAGGTATGATCATGACACAATGGCCGCAGCTATTTTATGTTGTCTGTGCATTGTACTGCAAGTCTCTTCCGCATCCAAAGTGACTCTCAGCGTGAAACCAACGAACCAGACTGTTTATGAGGGTGGAACTGCGACATTGACTTGTCAAACCAACTATCAGCTTGATTGTACGGAGCATGATAAAATTTACTGGGCAAGGGAGCGTTTGGACAGCAGCGAACATAAAATACTGACCCTGTGCTCCAGGCTTTTGAATGTATTTGATGGTGAGAAATATGCACTGTCTCTGAGCAGCACTAAAGATGGGCAAAGCTATAGGCTGAAAATAAACAATGTAACTTCAGCTGACAGTGGGGAGTACTACTGCTTGCTATTAAGTAATGTAGGTTTCCATTCCTCTGGGCCTTCATCACTAAGTGTGATCATATTGTTGGTTCCACAGACAAAAGGCCTACCACTTGGGCCAATTATTGGTGGCATCCTCGCTTTTCTAATCCTCGTTGCCATAGTTGCCATCGCCTTTTACCTGCTCAAGATCAGAAGGCCTCACCCTCAGCCAAGACCCGATGGGTCCCCTACGCGTCGACCATCATCCTCTATCCCACCTCCTAAAACAGGATCTCCCGCGTACGTTTACACCGTCAAATCAGGAGCCACTTCAACCGAACAAAAAGGGCATCAGTACTCTGAAATTCCTCTCAGTGATTTGATGCCTACACATGCACAAAGAAAACCTCCAAGTGACAGATCTGCCAGACACGAGTCGTCTTCACTTCAAACAATTAGATGCGAGATGAGAGGAAAGAGTGTGACCCCACAAAGCATCGAAATAGAGCGTAGGGATCCGTACCTGATACCAAATAGAAGTAACATCACCAAAACAAACAGGAGTAAGGCCACCAAAAGACCATGAACAGTAAACCAGAACTAAAGCGTCGTCTTTGCCTTGCAGTGATTGGGTGGGGAAATTTGGCTTCCTCCATTCTTCTTTCTGCATATACATGTAGCTGAGTAGAACAGCTTAGAAACTTCATCATTAGACTAGGAACAGTGAACTGGACAAAAAGAGTCGCCATCATTTCCTTAAGACATCTTCCTAACAGCACGCGGGTCGAACAGATGTCTGCAGTTCGGATCGTCCAGACGACATTGTTGTAAGGCAGGCTTTCTACCGATGTTCACTAGCTCAGTTGAAACTTTGTAATTGTGACGATTTGACATGTATTTCCGCTTTGTCGTATTTTCTTTGCAAAGAAATGTTTCAAGTAATCTTTCGTCCAGAGATCTCTAAAATATTGTGTTAAACATGTGTGATGTTTGCTAGATGTTATATCTCAAAGGTCTGGGACATACAATCCACATTATGTCTTGCGTTTATACCGGCGGAGAAATTTTGGAGAAATAATGTATGTTTACATCCGGCGCGGCGTCGATATTTGCTTTGCCTATACGTATTTCCAGCGGTGAATAAAGCCATAAAATTTTAAGCAACTTCTGTAAACATACGACTGGTGCCGCATAAAATGCATATCTCATAATGTGACAATTCACTGTTGGATATACATGTATCAGGTCCCTCCCACGCGCGCTAGAATCTTACACGGCGATCTTACGGACTTTTTGAGGCAACTTTTCGAGGCAACTTTTCTGAACAGAAACATGCCGCATATACAAGCGGTCCAACGGCTGGATGTTTGAGGACCAAAGTTGTGTATACCTCAAAAATCTTTCGTGTGCTAATTACACGAAAACAGCAAGTTTTCAGTGTATTGTGTGAACGTTAATATTCTACTTTTTAACGCAGTCTCCAACTCATATCAGTTCGTAGACTTGATGACAAGTTGTTAGATAGCCGTATTTTGTCGGTGAATTACTTTTTATTATTATTATTATTCTGGTTTATTCATATAAAAACACGAGGTAGGCAGCCACAAAAGAGTCGCTGATGTAACCGCGTTTACACTTTACAGGAATTAAAAATTGTTAAATAGCAGTTAAAAGGAGTAGAAGCATAAAATTACAACAAAGTATAGGATCATGTATACAGCACAAAACAGCACAATATTAAAAAAAACTAATTTATAAACTTTTTTTAAAAATTCAAAATTGAAGACAGATTATTCAGGGAAGATGGTCTAATAAGAAGTACTCACTTGCACCTACATTGTAAACAATTAAGAATTACTAAAGTTTAGCTAAGACAGGAATTGTAGACTTCATGTATTTATCGGTCTTGCACTTGGGTACAACTAGCGTAGACGTGGAACTGTCTCCGAGTAATCTGGTAGTGGTGTTATTCAATTTAAGAGGGGGGGGGAGCATATTTTTAAATCTGGGGGAATGTAATAGTTTTGTGCCAAAGTTATACAGTAAGGTGTCTCTCCTAGTTTCAAGGCTAGAAATACCTAGAACGTCCAAAGCATTGGAGTAACTGTGATACTGATGAGAGCCTAACATAATGCGACAAGCACGTTTTTGTACATTTTCAATTCTATAAGCCAGTTGTTTACTTATCGAGGTATGCCAGACTTGGCTGGCATACTCTAAAACTGGTCTGATGTAGCATATGAAGACCGAAACTAAGTCAGCCAAGGGAGCGTCATATTTCTTTAAGATACACAATGGAATCAGTACAGTGTGGGCTGGGATGCTCCAAGAGAACCCCTATGCAATTAGTGCAGTTTAAAGCCAATAGTACACACGGTTATTTGATGAACATAAATAATGACTTTTAACTAGAGGGAATAAAGAATTTAACTATTTTTAATTAGATTTTTTTTCAAGTCGTTATACATGTGTATATGCTTTCCGTTATTGGGGTCCATCCACATCATCCAATTGGTTTATTCAATGACTCGCATTTATAATTAAAATAACCTATAAAAAAATGTCAAAAAATGAGTGAAAAGGGCATATGCTTATCAATCAATCGATCAATAGTAAATCATTGGCTTATACCAAAAACGATACGGGAACTGAGATGGCATCTCCTAATTATGTTAGATCATACAGCAAGGAGGACTGACGTTATACGATAGTCGAATGGTGGCATATTAAATTAAAATTGAACACATATACGAAATAAGACTAAATACTCAGGAACGTAACGTCCCAACACCATATTCCACGTGTTCAATCGAGATTGTCTATTGTTGTACTGAGAACAATAGCATTGCTTTTCCCATCAAAATGTCAAATTAATTAGAAGCAGACATGCCACTCTACTGTAAAAATCACACCTTGTGATACATCTTGACTGAGTAAGGCCAAAAAAAATTAAAATACTCGGTCTCTGGTCAGCGTGCGCGTCAATTTTAATCATGCGCGTCAACCTTTCTTTTTTTCCAAATTAACACGGAAGCTACAACAGCGCCCTCTATTGCTGCGCCTCCTCAAATTTTTGTACCAAGGAGCACCAAGGAATGGGGAAATTGCACCAAGGCAAATGATAAAGGGCACCAAGGCAAATTATGGAGGACACCAATGTATAATGAGGACACAAAAAAGCAAAATAGTACCCACCTTGTCTGTACAATACAAGCTTGGAAAAAAAAAAGCCACCAAAAAAAAAAAAAAAAAAAAACCCGCGTCGCCGCATCAATTCCAGAACTTCGGTCTGACCAGAGACCGACTATTTTTGGCCTAACAGTCAGCCACTGCCAGCTTCCCATCTGATGTAAATATGAATCCACCGGGCCTTTCTAACCCCTGTGCGATGCACTTAAGAAAGCCACCTTGATCAGTGTCATAGTGGTGGATATGACCTGTCTTACAACCATTATGGACTGCTACATAGACACCTGATTCATCAATGTATACCCTGCCGCAGTATCGCACTGGTTGTCCATTTAGGGAGGGTGGGATGGTGAAAAGTGAAGCACCATTGCCATCAGCTACATGCACTGCATCTGATTTATATCCACTGATTACAACTCGATCATTGCTATCAATTGCCAGAAAATACGGTTTAATCTTGGCTGGTATTGTACGTAGGAGCTCACCATCAGTGGGGTTATGCTCAGTCAACACCATCCTCTCAACATCACCCACTACGATGGTATCATCCTCCTTGACCGCTATACTCTGGAGCTCCACTGCAATCTTACCGACCTCATTCAGTGGCACCGTTGGGGATTTGTACACCAGCGTGTTGTCGATGTTCAACACCTTCACATGGGATGCTCTATGCTCAAGAACCAACAAGCTATTGTCGGTGCGTACAGCTGCAATGCGAAGCGGACCTGAGGGGAATGGCCAGTGCATATACAAAATGAACAAAAATATAAATACTCATTAATAATGAGCAGCAGTGCAAAGGAGGGCAAATGCATATCAATTATATGTATTAGACTTGAGTTACATAGGTCTAAAAAATGTATAGCATTCCGCGACCCGAATTATATACATTGCTGTATTTCACGACAGTGACTTTACATCAACTTACATTGAGATGTTTTGGCACATTATTTATACATTTTTTTGAGCTGGTACTCTTTGCACACGACTGATCACGAATGACTCACTGACTGATTTTAACTTGTGAATTAGACCATAAAAATATATATAGTCGACTCTCGTTATAACAAGGTCGATGGGACTAGCCAAATTACCTCTTTATAACAGGAATGTTGTTATAAAAGGACAGCGAAACAAAGAAACACAAAGAGAACCTGAGATGTGGGACCTCAGAATTTGCTCTTTATAAGCAGAACCTCTTTATAAACGTGCTCTTTATAATGAGAGTCGACTGTACATGTTCATGGATCAGCCATGGCGCCATAAGAAAAGAAGCAGAAAGACATACAGCTGTATGCGTGTTCTGCCTAATGCAGCGTGTATGTAAGGTACATAATTCGCTATAACTTAGGGCGTGTGTTTATTCAAACTTACATCGTTGCATTGGGCTTGTGCTTTTCTGGTTACCGTGGATGCTGCAGATCACAATTCGCTTCCCTCTGTAGTCCGTCACTGCAATCTGATCAGGATGACGAGCTGCAACGTCGAAAGCCCAGTCAAACTTTACTCCTCGTTCACCAATCTCACGATACAGCGTCCACTCACCTCCTTGACTGCTTCCCTGCATACTAAACAAAGCCTAAAGTAAAGCCAAAAAAAATTGTGATGGAGTAATTACTGGAGGCTCAAATTCAATGAAGGCATTTTCAACCAATTGAAACCGTGCACCCACATTCCACCACTGGAAGTTGGAGATCAATTTATTAACAATCCAAGTGAGAAAGCTGAAAGTGTTAATTCTCCGTTCGCATCAGTAATCCGCTACTGAGGTCACTATGGCTCTTATATTTGCTGAGTGACATGTAAACGAAAAAAAATCAAATGACAAATCAGGAAGAAATTGTTGAGACGCCAGACAAGAATTAAACATTTACCTTGTTAAAGATTCTATGAGAGTCGGGCATTCAAAAGAGGTATATTTCGCTTTCGTACCTCTTGTCTGATTCCTGTACACTTGCAATATCTGGATCTCTTGCAACGCATGGTGGGACCCGGTGCTGGTTCGTCTCTTATCGTCTCTAGAGTTGAGCTCTTGGCTTTTCTAGTTGGCATTTTCCTCTGAAACAAAATGCACACATATTATACTTCAGAATAATTAAAAGATTAACAGCGATTGGTACTAAATTAATTCAATTTCTAAACTGAGCTGGCATATTCTTGTTGGTGTAAGATCCATCATTGTCGCTGGCTCTTGAGATCGCAAACTAAATTTAGGCTAGGCTAGACACGAGATTCACTGAAGTGTGTGTGACAATTACTCCATATCACTCAGTGAAAACTATCAACAAAAGATAAGAAGAAAAACCTAATTAAGTAAACAGACTTGACCCAGCAACATAACTTAAACTTGCAATGTAACACACAAGCCATATTTAACATGTTACATGTACATGTCAACAATCAACATGTAACATTAACAGTGACTAGCTGCAAAATCTGGAGGATTTTTTTAAAAAGGGAAATAAAGTCCGAAATCCGAACCAAGTTGAAAAATAGTAGCCTCCACTCAAGCCTGGTTATAAAAACCAAGCCCCATAGGAAAGCGCACAAAGTACCCCAGATAGTTGTGTAAAAAAAAAATATCGCCCGCCGCACGTACGTCCAAAAACACGAGGTATACGTCACAGACTGTTTATGCATATTCATGAGTTTGCGCGGGCGCGCCTGCATATTGCATACATTACAGCGCGGCCGCCATTTTGAAATCGCATGGGGGATCGCATGGGGGACGATATTTGTGGAATCTGATGACTGAAATTCGTCTTGTGGCCAGATGGATGAAAATATTGAGACCAAACAACGTTTTTTCGAAAAGGTATGAGTTGCTCTACGACTACGAACCTTAACTTTGGAAATTTGTGTCCTGGATGAAAAGATAATCGCGATCGAAAGATGTAGCAAAATCGCTACATCGGCGGCCAACAAAATTCAGTCTCTGTGGAAGCATCGGGCGTCTGGCCGTAGGGCCTACTACAGAGCTTGCGATAGTACTGTACGGCCAGACGCAGTCGGGCTAGGGCGAAGTGGGGATGGGGCGAAGTGGGAATGGGGCAAAGTGGGGATGGGGGGAGCAACTATAGAATGCAGGGCCACGCCGAAGCAAGGTTTTTTATTTTGCCTGGAGGCGTGGATGGAAAAGGAGTAATAGATATGCAAACCTGCAAAAAAGTGCTAAGTACAGCGAAGGAATGCACTGCACTTGTCTTCTAAGCTTCTCATGAAGGATCGGAAGGGAGGGCGTGCTTGTAAATGTGTTGGGGGCACTGTCTGGAGCGGCGGAGGCGCGGAGTCTTGGAGTCGCAGAATCGCGGAGACGCGGGGCACTGGAGTGGCCGCAGTCTAGTGGCGGAGGCGCGGAGTCGTGGAGTCGCAGAGACTCGCGCCGATAGAGGGCGCAATTCTCGGCGGAATTTTTTTGAGAACGAAGCATCCATATCCATTTTAAATGGGCGGGCCAATTAGGAAGGGAGGAGGGCGACGGGGCACTGTCTGGAGCGGCGGAGGCGCGGAGTCGCGGAGTCGCAGAGACACGCACCGATAGAGGGCGCAATTCTCTGCGTGACGCGGGGCACTATACACTGGAGTGGTGGAGGCGCGGAGTCGCGGAGTCGCAGAGACACGCACCGATAGAGGGCGCAAGTCTCTGCGGCTCCACGACTCCACGATCGATTTTCGGAGGTAGGTCGACTGCGGTTCCACGCCTCCACGCAGCCGTACGGAGGCGCGGATGTAGAGTAAAGTGGCCCTGCATTCTATAGTTGTACCGGATGGGGCGAAGTGGGAATGCATGCGAAGTGGGGATGGGGCGAAGTGGGAATGGGGCGAAATGGTTAGGGGCGAAGTGACATGGGGCAACGTGGAAATGGGGCGAAGTGTCCGACATTCAGTAGTAGCTACTACTAGTTTATCATGTTTATACTAGCGTTTGTTTCACTTCTTATTTATAGCCAATTTAACCTCATAAATCATATAAAACTATTCAATATATTCTACGCATTTAGACAATCATCATAATTAACAATTATTCGTACCTTCATGCCTCATTGTTCAGCAATTTTGCTAAGAATTTGTCAACTAAATTTTCTCACAGTCAGACTCAACGTTGATGCGTGTTTTCGGCGCGCGAAAAAGTCCAGTCGCCTAGAGGGCGCTATAACTATAGCCTGTGTGGATCAACATCATCCGAATCAGCTGTCTAGAGCTAGGTCTAGGTCCGCGCCCATTGAAAATACGCGGGGACGCGCTGACAATAGACGTAGCCGTAGCTCTGGAAGCCCGTTTCGGACACGGCCTTACAATTATTCTTTTGAGATATACTTCTATTTTTCTTGCACCATTTCATTCTGTGAAAGAAGGTATGAATGTTAATGTGTTGTTTTTAAAATGCTGTATAGGTGTTTCATCTGTATCGTACCCTCCTCTACGCTTGACACGTCTATATCTTGCCACGGAATTGCCAGGCATGCTTCGTGCAACCAGCTGGTGTTAGTTTCCTCCTATACGTGTGAATTCAGGCAATTCTGCAGGTGAAGCCAGAGACTTATTATGACGCATCAGATATAAAATGAAATCGCCAGTCTTTAACCATTTTAATACTGCGATCTCCAAGCTGGGATGAGATAGTTGAATGAGACAGTGATGTGCAACCCAGAGCTTGAAAAAAATGGCCAAAAAAAAAAAAAGAGAAACATTATGGGCTGGCCTAGTCTGTAAAAGGAGTGTGGTGTAGTTTTGAATCAGAAGCAATGAAAAATAATACAATTACGAAACAAAAAATATTGCGTAGTATTAGGAATTCGTAAAGTAATTGAAGGTTCAGGCCAATAGCCCGCAGTCGTCCTGCGTCATCCCGCTTTTGTTGCAACGAACTTTTGTTCCCACACTGGGAATTCGCACTGAATTAAGTCCAACCACATTCATGACCACTGTGAAATGGACATTGAAATTTGTCGCCGGACGTAAAAGCACTGGAAATTCGCCCTTCGTCGGATTCTGAGCATCAGTGTGGTCACTGGGATCTAGCTCTCTCTCCGGTGGTTCCATGCCGCCCGACCGCCGGGCTTTCTGAGTGCCGCTGGCTTGGCCGTGCCTTGGCCGTAGTTGTGGCACGGCCCCTAGCCGCGATTTTTTTTCCGTAGGTGAATTGCTCAAATGTCATGCATGATTCAATTTTCCTTTGAATCGTTGCAAGACACTTAGGTTCTCGTTCTCTTTTCTCCCTTAAAATAAAATTAACTCAACGATAAATTCAGAGAAGAAAAATAGTCGATGAAAACGAGCAGCGACACGTGACGCACCAAGGATGCTGACACGTAAAAAGACTAGCACGAGCGGCGAAGCCGCGAGGGCCTTTTACCATCTCGTGGAGAACGCTTATTTTTTCTTTACATTTGTCTACCGATTTGGTAGACATGCATAATGCATTACCCGTTGTGAATTGACCAATGAAAATGCAGAATTACTAACGTAAATCACCCGTCGTCTGGCGCCAGACAGCACGCGCGCGCCATGCTGTTGCTGGTAACCGCAAACCACCGTTAGATGATTGGTTTATATTGCTTGATTTATATTACGTGAGTAAATGAATAAGTGATTTGTTCCACGAGATAGTAAAGGCCTTCGCGGCTTCGCCGCTGGTGCTAGTCTTTTTACGTGCCAGCATCCGGGGTGCGTTACGTGTCCGGATGGTCCGGGTATAGGCGCGTGGAACTTGACTAAAGGCTAGTCCCGGGTGAGTTAGAATCCATAATTTAAACGTGAAAGAGAGCAGATTAAGTGTCCAAATGTCATGACACCGGCCCTCCACAAGCATCCGGCGAGTTGTCCACACAGCACCCCATGAAATCCAGAACCTGCTGCTGTGTCGTATTTCAATCAAAAATTAAATAGAGTCCGGATTTCACACTGACGTTACACCCGGTATTATACGTTGAATCTTGCATGAAATACTCCATATTGTGGAAACTACTGCCTAAGTACAAAAGCATTACAGGGAATTGGAAGGGTAATGGAACTATAGTACCCTATCGTGGTCCTCAGAAAGTAGTTGACCTTGGCTTATACTAGGAAATCCAACATGCCCAAGCGGTATCTGTCGAACTCGAGGACATTTGTACTAATTAATTGTTTAGTGGTTCCCAATAGGCTGTTAAAAAACACGTCCAGCTCCACGCCCCAACCATGGAGCTATAAAATGTTTCCATTCCATTCAGATTCTCAGCTAAGTAGCCTTTAGTCAAGTCCCACGCGCTTACCCGGACACGTGACACACCCCGGATATGCTGACCCGTAAAAAGACTAGCACGAGCGGTGAAGCCGCGAGGGCCTTTACCATCTCGCGGAGAAACGCTTATGATTTTCTTTACATTTTGTCTACCGATTTGGTAGACATGCATAATGCATTACCCGTTGTTTCTGATCAATGAAACTGCAGAATTACTAACGTAAATCAGCCGTCATCTGGCGCCAGACAGCACGCGTGCCATGGCGCGCGTGCTGTTGCTGGTAACCGCAAACCACCGTTAGATGTTTGATTTACATTGCTTGATTTATATTACGTGAATAAATGAACAAGTGATTAGTTCCACGAGATAGTAAAGGCCCTCGCGGCTTCGCCGCTCGTGCTAGTCTTTATACGTGCCAGCATCCGGGTGCGTTACGTGTCCGGATGGTCCGGGTTTAGGCGCGTGGGACTTGACTAAAGGCTAATAAGGAAGTAGAAGCTGAGCCGTAGTACCCAATTCGAGATTGGGCAAATTGTTGTGACCATTCAGGAATACGTCGCCGATTGCAAATTATGCAAATTTATATTCATATTATTATAATTAATAAAAAGTAACCCCCATCATCAGTAGTGCCATTAGTTTCCAAAAACGAACAAAAAACCCAAGAGAACTTACGTTTGAGAAAATGATATTTTAAGTCAGTGATGAATTACTGTCTATAGTTGTCGCTTCCTCAATGAGAAAATTACCAAAGTGCATTCACCCGGAAAAATGCGCATGCGCACTAGTACTATTACTGAAGTGCAGTGTCTGTGTACTGACGGCATATTTCAACAGAAACATACGATATTGGTGAAGAAAACGACAGTTTTTGTTGTCTTTGCAAGTCTAAGTAGGCCTATGCATCATTCTCTCAATGAAAGTCAAATGTCCGGAGTAGGCCACATGGTTTCAAAGAGCAACGTTGCCAACGCGGTAGGTAGCCTGACTTTTCCGACGAATTGTGTTGTTGCGCTCACTTGCACAGTTGCATTCATTTCGAGAAAAAAAGGCCCAGAAAAAACCTGAAAAATATCGGGAAAAAATATTGCATCCTGACGCCACTTCAGCAGTTGTGTACAAAGTCTATAGAGAGTCAAGATTTTTTTTTTTAGTATTTCGTAACAAATTGGAAATGTTTCTGGAAAGAATGTTGACGAATGAGTGACGGCTTGACGCTGTTTTTTTTCTAATCATTCGTACTCATAGGCCTATCCAACCTCGTCGTCCCCAGTACGCGCCCACCACTACCTGCTCTCTCACCCTGGTAAGTCAGTGGTATTGGATCATTTGCATGTGCAAAATTTTTGCACACCTAACTATGCAAATGAGGAATACCTAATAGTCTGGTGCCTGCTTGTCATGGCCTGTAGGCCTACGTTACAGTCATTAGCATTTGTTTTTGTATGCGGTGTTGAAACACAATCAGTTCGTCGCACCATGAGTTAAAATGTTACAATCTTATCCTGCCAATATGCAATATCTAATCTAAAAATTTTTGCAAAGCCGGCATCATCAAAAAATTCAATTTTTGCCCCAAAAATCCAGCCAATATCACATTTCAATATGAGCAAATTGGAAAGGAAAAGAGTATTTTTGAAAAGGTGTGGACGTTATAATTACAATGATTGTGAAAACAAATTCATGTTGGAAATAACAAAACCAACTAGGCCTACACGATATTAATCCGTTATTAGCAAATTGAGGTATCGAATCAGGATACAGGGAGAAAGTTTCCTATCCAGGGTTTACTATTGGAAACAAGGTTGGAAATAAAGTAAGCACTGGGGACGAGGTTGTAGGCCTATCATCTCAATGAACTTATGAAGGTCAGTCATTGCAAAATTGATGAAAACAGATTAGGTGAATCTGGGAGTGAGAAACATTTCCAATTTTGTTGGTAATGAAATGACTCTCCATAGATTTTGTACACAACCGCTGAAGTGGCGTCAGGTTGCAACACTCTTTTCAATGTTTCTCAGTCCCAGATTCATGTTTTTTCCAACATTTTTCCAATGACTGATCTTAATTGAGATGATCAGATGATACTTGATAGGGTAAAACTAAAAGCGGAGTATTCAACCACTTAAGGAAAACCGGCACTGCCAGTGATCAACGCTAGTTCGACACAAGGTTTTTGCTTAGTAACGATCCGTCGGATTCTGCCTCTGATCTAATATACCCCCACTTAGTGGTAAATTTTATGCTAAAGGGGGAGAATTCGACCGGAATTAGGAAAACAAGCACTGCCAAGTGTAACTGAGCGAGTGAGATGTTGACTGTAATTAGAATATAACATGTCAACATGACCACAAACTTAATTTGTTTGCAGCATAAATCAACCCTAGTCAGACCCGAGTGCTTAACAAGCGGTAGGATTCTCCTCCCCCCCCCCCCCCACCCCTCCGGTCGAAAATCCCCCCTCTTACCCTGTATGAAGAAAAAAGTGGCATCAGGTTGCAACATTCTTTCCATATATCGTAATAGCGATAGTGTAGTTACGGTCCCTCTTTAGTTTTGAACAAAGAAGAGTCAAGGGTGTTTCTTATCATTTAAAAATGACCTCTTCATCCTAAAGCTGGCTTCTCTTATTTCAAAGGACAGTAGGACATTTTTTTGGTAATTTTTAAGGGTGACTGTTACGGACCCAGTTCCTATAAGAGAAAAAATCCACTTTTAATTCATTTGACTTACCAAACTAGTTGGCGACATTAAGAACATGCAGGTATGTCATAGATAGAGGGCAGGGTTTTAAATTTTTGAGAGAAATTCGGAGGTAAAATAATTACAGGGACAAAATGCAGCATGAACGTTAAAAAGATGGCGATCACGGCGATCTACCTAACCCCACTAGTGTGGCGAAGGTATGGCTGCGCTGAACCTTTTGCCACACAGGCACCATTGAAGGGCCTCCATAAAATAAAACCAAAATTGCAGCATGAAGCAGAGAGAAAATGCATAACGAAATGACTATTAAATTACCTACATGTACATCTTGTATGTATTTCAAATTCAAATTTCATAATTTCTTCCAGATGTTAGTTTATGATGTACATGTAAGCAATAATCTTGGACAGTTTTGTGATGGGCACTCTTAAAGTTATGATTTTTATGCCCCGCGGCGAAGCCGAAGGGGCATACTGTTTCCGCCTTGTCCTTCCGTGGGTGTGTGGGTGGGTGGGTGGGTGAGTTTGTCTTACATACGCAGTGTGGACTTCCGAACAAAAGACGTCCACATAATGTAGGTAGTACCGACGTTGTGTGGACTTACCCCACGTCCACACAGTGTTTCCCCATTTCTGGAAAACAGGTTTAGAGGCATTTTTGGGTTAGGTTTATCTGTAGCAGAATGAAGAGAAACACTAAAGGGAATCATAGAAAAAAAATTGGGTTGAAAGAGTTTTCACAGTTTGAGAAAAATGAGTTATTTCACTGGTTTTTCTTAACTACACGAAAGCAATGGAAAGTCCACACTAGTCATGTGAAACAAGTATGGGTGGGTGTGTGTGTGTGTCCGGACAAATCTTGTCAGCGCGATAACTTGAGAAATACTTAACATATGAACTTCAAATTTGGTTTGTGGATTGTTCTTGGTAATCCTAAGAAGCCTTTTGCATTTGGGGCCAAAAGGCCAAAGGTCAAGTTCACAGTGGCTAAAACAATAGAAATCTTGTCAGCGCGATAACTTGAGAAATACTTAACATATGAACTTCAAATTTGGTTTGTGGATTGTTCTTGGTAATCCTAAGAAGCCTTTTGCATTTGGGGCCAAAAGGCCAAAGGTCAAGTTCACAGTGGCTAAAACAATAGAAATTTTGTCAGCGCGATAACTTGAGAAATACTTAACATATGAACTTCAAATTTGGTTTGTGGATTGTTCTTGGTAATCCTAAGAAGCCTTTTGCATTTGGGGCCAAAAGGCCAAAGGTCAAGTTCACAGTGGTTAAAACAATAGAAATCTTGTCAGCGCGATAACTTGAGAAATACTTAACATATGAACTTCAAATTTGGTTTGTGGATTGTTCTTGGTAATCCTAAGAAGCCTTTTGCATTTGGGGCCAAAAGGCCAAAGGTCAAGTTCACAGTGGCTAAAACAATAGAAATCTTGTCAGCGCGATAACTTGAGAAATACTTTACATGTGAACTTCAAATTTGGTTTGTGGATTGTTCTTGGTAATCCTAAGAAGCCTTTTGCATTTGGGGCCAAAAGGCCAAAGGTCAAGTTCACAGTGGCTAAAACAATAGAAATTTTGTCAGCGCGATAACTTGAGAAATACTTAACATATGAACTTCAAATTTGGTTTGTGGATTGTTCTTGGTAATCCTAAGAAGCCTTTTGCATTTGGGGCCAAAAGGCCAAAGGTCAAGTTCACAGTGGCTAAAACAATAGAAATCTTGTCAGCGCGATAACTTGAGAAATAATTAACATATGAACTTCAAATTTGGTTTGTGGATTGTTCTTGGTAATCCTAAGAAGCCTTTTGCATTTGGGGCCAAAAGGCCAAAGGTCAAGTTCACAGTGGCTAAAACAATAGAAATCTTGTCAGCGCGATAACTTGAGAAATACTTTACATGTGAACTTCAAATTTGGTTTGTGGATTGTTCTTGGCAATCCTAAGAAGCCTATTGCATTTGGGGCCAAAAGGTCAAGGGTCAAGTTCACAGTGGCTAAAACAATAGAAATCTTGTCAGCGCGATAACTTGAGAAATACTTAACATATGAACTTCAAATTTGGTTTGTGGATTGTTCTTGGTAATCCTAAGAAGCCTATTGAATTTGGGGCCAAAAGGTCAAGGGTCAAGTTCACAGTGGCTAAAACAATAGAAATCATGTATTTATTCTGAGATTATAGGGATTAGGGATTAATTCATATAAAACCTACAGAAGACACTAATGCTGTCAATGAATGTTCCATGTGACCAAGGTACATGTAAGTTGATGTTAAAAGAGTGGTGTTATGTCATGGGAACTGTCACCATTGCGGGGCATTTGTGTTTGTAAACACACCTGACTTGTTTTAAATATAGCACCAAACATACATGTATGTGTTCCTTTAGATACATGTACCAAAAATTTCAGGCAAAAATGTTGGGGTCCACTTACTATACATCCTTGTGGAGGTTTAGAATTTTCACCAGTTGTGATGTGTAATGTCACATTGATGTTCATTTACATAAATTTCACATCGCCTAGCTGAAACAAAACGTGAATTCAATCTCATGTATGTACTCTTTTTTTTTAAATTTAGATTCAGGCCTCCTGAGCAACCGTGTTTTTACTCAAAGGCATATACACATATGTAATGGCTGGTGCTGGTGCTCATCGAAATTTGAATGGACGCCTGAACGGACAGTTTAATGGTCAGTTGAATGGACAAGTAAATGGTCAATTGAACGGAATTCCTCAGCAGCAACAGCAACAGCAGCTGCAACAACAACAGCAACAACAGCAACAGCAACAACAGCGGCAACAGCCACAACAGCAGCCACAGCAGCAGCAGCAGCAACTGCCACATCTACAGCAGTGGGCCTTGCCATTGGCACCATTGCAACCTACTCAACCACCAGGTATACCAACAGTTAGACCGCGAGGGGAAGCTGTGCCCTACAACTGGCAGTCTTCTAAGACATCGGTCAAGGAGCGCTTTGCATTCATGTTTAACAATGAGATCCTGAGCGATGTCCACTTCCTTGTAGGTAAGGGGATCAATACCCAACGGATCCCCGCCCACAAGTTTGTCTTGTCCGTCGGGAGTGCCGTCTTTGATGCCATGTTCAACGGAGGGATGGCCACCACATCCAATGAAGTAGAGCTACCCGACGTTGAACCTGCTGCATTTCTGGCTCTGCTGAGATTCCTGTACTCCGACGAGGTACAGATTGGCCCAGAGAGTGTCATGACCACACTATACACCGCCAAGAAGTACGCCGTCCCAGCATTAGAATCAGCTTGTGTGGAGTTCTTGAAGAAGAACCTAAGTGCAGACAATGCATTCATGCTACTCACCCAGGCACGTCTCTTTGATGAACCACAACTTGCGAATCTCTGCTTGGAAACGATCGACAAGAACACCGCAGAAGCTCTTCAAGCTGAAGGCTTCACAGACATTGACCTTGACACGCTGATCAACGTCCTGGAGCGTGACACCCTGGGCACACGCGAGAGTAACCTCTTCAATGCGGTATCCAGATGGGCAGAACATGAAGCCGTGCGACAGCAGTATCCAGCCACACCAGAGAATAAACGCAAAGTACTGGGCAATGCCCTGAAGCTGATCCGCTTTCCATTGATGACTGTTGAGGAGTTTGCTAGTGGGCCTGCTCAATCTGGGATTCTGACAGACAGGGAAGTTGTCAGTCTCTTCCTACACTTCACTGTGAACCCCAAGCCATCTACCGAGTTTCCCTCCAACCCAAGGTGCTGTCTGATAGGCAAGGAGCAGACTGTTAGCCGGTTTGTGCAGGCAGAGAGTAGATGGGGCTACAGCGGCACTAGTGACAGGATAAGGTATGCACACAAGTTTCTTCTTGCTTAGAGCTGCTAACCTCAGAAGTTGTACACTGCATTGTATGCATGAACATGTATCTGTGCGCGAGTTGGTTGAAAGTGGCTTACTGTATTAATGAATGCTGAATATGTGTATAAAATCTTGATTACATTCTTATTTCTTGTGCACAGATTTCAAGTAAATAGACACATTTTTGTGGTTGGATTTGGGTTGTATGGTTCCATCCAGGGCCCTGCTGATTATACTGTCAATATTCAGGTAAGCTGGAATGTAAACATTAAATGTTTGTGTCATAATTATTGTATCGGGCCATTTCATAGTAAATCACCCAAATTTGAGAGACATTAATCCCTTGGCTAATCCTGTGGCACAGAATAACCGTACTGCTCTAATAATTAACCCCTCCTTTATAGCGGGAAGTCAATATTCAGAGAGCAACATGAATTTAAAACTCTTAAAAAATACTGCAGGTCAGTTTCAGGTGAAGGGATATGAAGTGTTAAAGTAACTGTGTCACACAGAGAGTCACTGCACACAAAAAAACCAGCACTGTGGAGAGCAGTGAAGCATGACCGAATCTGCCTGCTTGCTCTGCAGAGTTTTAACACACATCAAAATTGTGCAGGGATTTGAAGTGTTTTCCATGCTCCACTGGAGATTACCTTAAAGGGAATATACATCATTTGCTTTTGCTGTAATTTTCAGAAATGGATGGAATTGGGGGGTTGGAAATATATAGCAAATATAGTTACACTTACTTTTTTGAGGTTTTGGGTTCGAAAATGCTATAAAAACCAAGAAACACGATCATTTTCCTGTAGTCTGGTTCCCTGACTGCATATAAGAAGAAACAGAGCAGTTTACATACATTGGGGAATTGTAAGGTCAGGGAACCAGTCTAGCTGGCTCGTACCCGTTCATAGGTTTGTAATCGATTGCAAACAAGTGCGATGATCAATTGGGGCCAGTGTTTGAAAAAAAGCCAGTTGTTTTCAACGCTGATCGGCCGATCAGCGTTGGAAATTGATACAAAAATACCACTTTTCTTGAAAATGACAGTATACCAGGTGCCATGATTTTACAGGATGCTTTACACTGTCATTCACTGACAGTCCAGCAAGGTATTTCAAAATGATTTGGTAGTTTTATTTTTTGATGTTTGCAAATGTTGTATTTTCCCTTTAAAGGAATTCGATGTGTGGACACTAACTATGGGCAACAGTGGTTTTGCAGAACTTGAAGGGCTGAGAGGAGCAGAAGACTAATAATTTACATGAATTGCCTCCTGTTCTGCAGTGCCTTTTTTTTTTACATCGTACATGTACTTTATTTTCTGGACATGAACAGATACTGCATGGTGATACTGAGGATGTGCTGGGCCAGAATGACACAGGATTCAGCTGTGATGGCTCCGAGACCACCTACCGAGTCATGTTCAAAGAACCCATCGAAATACAACCTTCTGTCAGCTACATTGCCAGTGCTACACTTAAGGTTGGTCATAGGATATATTCTGCTGGCTTCTCAGTGCAGTGTGTTCCCCTATTGTGGTTCAATTTCATTCTGTTAAATGCTGGTCATTCCGTTAAATTGTCTCCCCTCTGCCAAATCCATCTTTTGTGTTTCTCCTTCCAACAATGCATGCTTGTGTATCCCCAAATGTTTGTTTCTTGTTCCTCTGTCATTTGCCTCTGAATAAGGTCTTGCTAAAGGCTGGAATATCAGGCCATTTTAATTTTTTGAAATACTGGTACTGTTACCAAAAAGTTGCTCTCCCCATATTTTTTTCAACTTTAAGTCTGAAAAAAAGATTGTTTTTAAATTGCTTGGTTTTTCTAGCAATGCAGATCTTATTCACCATTGATGTAAGTTCAAACAAACATTAATATGCTATGGAATAAGTGTTTTACAACTTTCAAATTATTTGTGGTCGAATAATTCAGGCAGATCTTATTGGCTTTATTTATGCATACTGCATTGTAGTGTAGGTTTCCAATGCATGGATGTGCCCTGCAAGCTACAATGTATAAAACAACTTCTGGCTCTCAAGTAATTTAATGTAGCTCCATGGCATTAACCTTTAACCCTAACTCCCTAGCATGATTTACTAGGAACCATACCCATCCTGGCAAATTCCAACACCATATGGGAAACTGCACACACATATTTCTGACTTTGATTCTGGAGGTATGCCAACCCAATGTAAAAGACTGTCAGTTTAGGGGTACTGTACCCATCCTGACAGATTCCAACAAAACATGCTGTTGGGTTTTGATGGGTCGTGTTCTGTTAAGGTTAAAGCCTAAAATCATTGTGTGAATCTTGTCAGAGGCCACACATGCGTGGTGGCAAACTTGTGCATTAGGTCAGCATTTCTCCTATTGCACTCTGACGTTCATGTGCACACATATATACATACATGTATGCACTGGCTCTTCATGTACTTGAGATCTAAGACAGAATAAAAGGAAGAAACAGCATTAGTTAACCACATAGATCCAGATATTTGAGATTTTATCCTCATATATGAGATTAGGTCTCTAATCTTCTCACGCCTTAATCCCCCAGGGCCCAGATTCCCACTATGGCACCAAGGGAATGCGCAAGGTGGTCCACGAGTCTGTGTCGAGCGGCAAAGTGGTGTTCCAGTTCACATATGCGTCTGGCAACAACAACGGAACGTCAGTGGAAGACGGCCAGATTCCAGAGCTCATCTTCTACACATGACCAAAAAAGCAGAAACTGTACGTTCGTAATTTCAATAACTCGTGTAAAAAAACAAATACTTGTAAATAATATCTAAGACTTGTATGCACTAAAAGTTTGGCAAGCTTTGCCTTCATAATGCGTATATTTAACAATTGTTGATTGCTCTTGATATGGGATATTGCATTTTCTAACACCTGAGGGGCGCATATTTGCCTCAGGTGCTATGTGCCCAGAGGGGGTTAATTTAAAAACGCCATTATCCCACATCAAAAATTGTTTTGTTATAGTATGCCAGTAACTAAAAAAGATTAAGGCTCGTAACTTACTTTGCCAGATATAAATTACATCACTGCAGTGTAATTTTTGATAACTGCGTGCTTTCCTGCCGGACATGAGACGGAGAGAATACGCTTCTGTCGCAGGACACGCGACAAGCCCTACATGTGGTACACGCGCGCAACATGGAGGTAATTTATATGCATAGCAGTGTCAATGAGGTACATGTAAACTATATGCAATGCAGTAAATGGTTATCAAGTAAACGGTTATTGCTATGGACTGGACCCGTGACCGTTCAGTTCTAGACCAGTGAAATTACAGTATCTGAAGACATGATATATTAACAATGTTAGTTATCCCACAAGCGCGAGTGGAACTCAGAATTATGCAGTGCGTCTGTGCTTCATATGCAACGAGGTCCAAGGAACAACTAAGTTATCTTCAAACAAACTTGATACACAGTTAAGATGGAACACGCACACTGTACACAAACTTTTCAGTGGTTATCCTATTGCATGTACGTGCAGCAAGAATGGCGTGGGCATCTTAGAGTAGCGTGGTATGCGGAGTGGGAGATGGACCATGGTATGGGATAATATCACACTGTTGCGATGGATCAACCAATCAGGATCGAGGATTTAACTTTGCTTGAAGATACATACATACAACTGTATGCGGTTGAATTCTCTGCGTTGAAAAGCTGTCAAAATACAATTAAAACTTCTGTTGAGAACAGAGTTATGTGTTGATATATAATGACACTGGCAGGCATTATATAATGACACTGGCAAGCATTTACACAGTGTCTTGTGTTTTGGAAACTTTAATTAATTTAATGGGACCGGTGCTGTGACATTAGTGGTTAATTGTTTATCCAGAAAATCATGTTTGATGTATAAACGTAATAATTATGTAGACATTGAGATGAAATGTCTAAATGATGAGTTCTGCAGTGGTATTATTTAAATATTTAGGACCTTTTAAAACTCGGTTGAATTTTTGTGTATGATGAACAGTTTGGAATAAATGGTGGCTTTAGAAAATATAAAATACTTCACGCCGTTTAAAAAATGGTTACGACCTGGTAAAGGGAACCAGTTATGTCGGCCGTGTTTCAGCAGTGCATACCCAGTGGGTACACAACCGAAGGGGAAAAAACAATCAAGCTATTTTTGTTGTTAATACTTCATTTTTGTTTCTGATTGTAGTAAACATTGATGGGGAAAATCAACATGTAGGCATATTTTTAACCTAAAAGGGAAAGTATATTGAGGTTTGAAAAAAAAAATGCATGAACCCATACATTATACATGTCAGTTAAAAAAAACCACCATATTTGAGTCTATTGCTTTTATTTGGTTTGAAATGATTCTAATGTATAGAAAAAAACTGAATGGTGAAAGCAAGATTGTACTTTTTTTCACACCTGTAAATGTATTTGATAAAATACATGTATGCTAATTGAATTATCTGTGTTTTATTAGACTTAAGTGTTACATATTTTGTGAAATGCCAAAATACATCTCTTACTGCAGATCCTACTGTCTGAAACGATGAGTGTAACCTTGAAGAAGGTTGGTTTCTCTGATCACTATTAAGATAAGTAACGCCATGGCAGACAGAGACACTTGGCACGACATTGTCGAAAGCATTTCGGCTGCGGCCGAAGGATGATGATGTGTTAAGATATCTGTAAATGTTTTAGCGTGTGCTTCGTTTGTCAATGAGCAACTCTGATGTACATGTACCGGTACATGTCATTTGCATTATTTACACAGATTTTGGTTTGAAGTGTTACCTTTGGATATATGTTTACCTATATGTTTATCCAGACTTTGGCAAGGCCAATTAAATTAGCATGTGGAATATGTGTTTTGCCCTATGTGCCCTTACTGTGACCAAGGGCGGATCCGGGGGGGGGGGGGGGGGGGGGTGCCAAAAAGGAATCCATTTGTAACATTTTTTTAGTGACTTTGCAATAAAGGCATGCAATGAGTACACCACCATCTTTTCCTCAAAAAACATTGGTTAAAGTGGTCAGAAATTGCCTCAGATTGCACCACAGAGCATCTAGAATCAAAAAAATTTCTGGGCCCTTAAGCGGGCCCCGAACCCCATGCCGTAATTTTTTTTGGACATACTATTTGCGGACCACATTTTTTTGGGTCCCCCCCAAAAAAATTGTGTTCTGGATCCGCCCTTGACTGTGACAAATCCAGCATTTACAGAAAGGGGGCACTCCAAATGGAGGCGAAACCCGAACATTCAAGCGGGGTATATGTTTGCTCATGTGGGTCAAAATTCTTGTCTTTGAAGTGGCTTCATGTAAATATCCAGTTGACAGCAGAAGAAATAGGGAAAAAGACAAGACATACCTCTCAAAAAAAATAACCGGTGAAAAAAAGGGGGGGGGGGGGAGTGTACGCTGGCTGCACCCCCTCTGGATCCGTTACTGACTTACAATTATGTGCACATGTCCATATAACATAAGTATGCACAGCATGCTGTGAACATGTACATGTTATAGCAGTCATTAGTCAGAAGAAATAGTGTTCTTTGCACATACATTTTGTACATTATTGGTATTCATTTCATGTAGGGTTTTTGCTCATGGAAGAATGGTAATTGTTCAAATGCATTGATCTTCAAGTTTCAGTTCCTTGTAATACATGCAATGTCAAAGCTAGACAAGCACGTTACTACATGTACATGTATAAATATTTTACACTATTACAGCTGAAAACATATTTGGGAGAAGTGTGCACATGCAACTGTTTATATGCTTCGGCAATCACTGATATGGATAAGTTAAAAAGGGTACTTAATGATTTTCATTTTGTATGTATGTATGCATATATACAATTGTACTTTTTCAAAACTGGCACCAAGAACTGTGTAAGCCATTGGCCAATCTAGCTACTCTGATGCAGCTAATATCATTGGGGAATATTCAAGACCTAAGATATGTCTGCTGCAATCTACATGTATCTCACGAGTCTCCAATTGATGGCTCCATATTAGGCCCCACCCACCGGCATGTAGGCAACAAGTGCATGTTCCAGCAGGTGTTTGCGCATGTCAGACTTGTGGACACATTTGGGACATCAGTTACAGCTTTGATTGGCCAATATACCATGGGGCAGGGCTGCATGAGTCCGTCTTTTCTTACCATGCTTTGGTATTACTGGAAGTTCGTGTGTATTAAGTAGAGTTCTTCGCAAAAAGACTTATAAATATAGATTATTGCTGTAAAATAAACCAGCTGTATTATAAGAAAGAAAAATGCCTGTAATTTTTTTTAACTGTCTGGAAATTAATTTTGCTTATTTGGGCAAACCATAATTTTAATGTATTTAACAGTTAAAACTGAGGATTAAGGACGGTCTTAATTTCCAAATTGCGGATTAGAAATGATCAAAGGATCGATATCAACCAAACGTTGCTTTACTTAGTTTAGTTTGGAAAGTCACATTTTCATTCTATGAGGAGAATACAATAGACACATTTTACACAAGCATAGACAAAAAATGTCATTCTTTTTTTTGTTACAAATACGAACCAATGTACTTTATTTCTTATTATGCAACAACATTTCTTTTACATTTTTCCAGAAAAATTGGTTTTTCCATTTCTTGACTCCTAAATTATAAAAACAGTCCAGTTTGACAGGAACATATACCTAATTTCAGCAAAAATGAAAAATTTTCAGTGAAAATAGAAATGCACTGATGTATGTAATTTTGTTAAACCTGAACTCTTTTAAATTTTAATCACTTGTAAATCACACATAGGGATTATCTTACTAGGAATGTTTAATAAAAGTGGAAGACAAAAAAATTAAAAATTGGTGAAGAAAACTGATATAGAAAGATAGTCCTATACTCCCAGTACTTTGCAAATCAATAAAAATGTTTCCAAAAGCATGATTCAGATTCAGAATATGATTTAACACTAAAAAATAATAACAGGAGTCACAAAAGTTAAGTTTTCCAACAAAACAGTAGAAGTATACCAGTCCTTTATTTGTGGATGTATTCGTTAAATAATTTCACACTCTTTGCACATACTAAAATAGTAAAATATATCTTTTATCAGAAAAATAAAATTGTCAGTTAAAGTACAGCCGTAAAGTACTTAAATCTACAATCAGACAACATTTTGTGACATGATCCCATAAAATGGACCTTGAAGAAAATGTTTCACTTACTATACCTTTCACTTGCAGTTAGCTCTTCAGTTTGATATGTCACTCAATATGAGCAGGGTATACACGCACTGTTGTCATCCACAATGGCAGCTTCGAGTGGCGCAAAATTTGCTTCGGTCAGCGAAGAATATTTTAAATATTTTGAGAAATAAAGACAAAAATGACTTGAAATTTATTTCTTGCGGATCAAGTTAACTGAACTATAATATTGGATGGCTTTTTTTCCAGGGGATACAAGAATATATTGCACTTGCTACAACAATATTGCTCTCAACTTCGACTCGTGCAATATTGTTATAGCTCATGCAATATATTATTGTATCCCCCTCAAAGCCATCTAATATTAAAAGAAATTAAAAGAATGACTGTTCCTATTTTTATTGTGTAAAATTCTTTCAAAAACACCTATTACTTAAAAGTAGCGTTGCCGAGTTTTGACTCGTGCTGATGGGTTGGGTCACAATTGAGGTTTAATTTGACATATGGCGCGTGGTTGTCATTTTGCCACAATGACCTGACCAGCGACAAATGAAGCCCCGGGGTCAAGGGTCACCGGGGACGAGACGTGGCCCGCTTCCACACAAAGCATCTTGGGATACTCGTCATCTCCAAAGTCAGACATCGCTTTTGCTTTTTCTTCCCATGGGTTCCAAACCACTGCGAAATGTCATCAAGGTAAAAGAGTAAGTGACAACATGATGAAAAGGAAATGGATATAAAGGGAAAAGAAACGAAGTGAGTGCTCTCCATTGAAAGAGGTACAGGTAAAAATTGTATGCAACTAACTAGGTCAATCATGGAGAAAAATAAAGCTTGAATGAATTTGGTTTAGTTTCCCAAGAAAAATTGTACATACCAAATACCAATACATGGAAAAGTACTGTTAATTTGTGTATTATGACAGTTTATTCAACTATTATGTTATCAAGTTCTTTGTCTGGCGGGCATCATAATATGTCAAATACTACAGCCAACTACAGCTACATACACGCACATGAGAGAGAAAAGTAACCTTTCCCCACAGTATCATTTTTAGACTCAAAAGATGAGATTATGTAAAATGAAATAAAGGGGGATTCTTTTCTCCTTTTGTTGCTTTACAGCAGTTCTCAAGTTAAACAAAATGTTTGAAAATGGAGTGCAAAAGCTACAATATTTTCATTTGTTATTTTAAAGAAAGAGGGTAACAAATGCTATTTACCAGTATCAGGCAAGTTGGTTTTCTTTATAATGATGGTTTTTCCGGTAGCTGTGTCATGTACAATGTGGCCACCTTGAGTATTCATGTACACCCTGTGAAAAATGAAAATCTTTGTAAAGGTAGTCCAGTCACAGGTAACCGAGATGAACGATAGCAAAGGAATGCCTATCTCACAGTGCATTTACCCAGCTTTGTGAGTTGATTTGGGACTTATTACTTATGATTGAGTTGTGATGGCTTTGTGACGACTTGCGATCCAGCTCGCAAGTGCCTTTAGTACAACACTGATATTGAAAAGCACAATAGCACAATACAAGGTCAACTTGTTTGTACAGGTCTCAAATTCAACAACCCACCAATGAGGAGCTGTATAAAACATTTTATAACACGCCTCTTGCTGGTTCTTCATCCTGGTTGGCTGAAACACTAATATAGGCTAGTGCAAGAAGTAGACATGTGTCAAGACATTGACATGTGTCAAGACAATTTCCGGAGTATAGTGCCCGATCGGGCACTTTACTCGAAATGTTTGACTGGTTAAAGTGCCCTCTAAAAAACTCAAACTCAACAACTGAATCTAAGGAACCTAAAACCGTTCCTTTAATTGTTGCATTGCTCAAAGTTGAATTGCCTATGAGTTAATTGTTGAATTAAAACAGTTGAATTATACTGAAAACTCTGAAAAGTTTGTTTTGGACAGAGCTGAGTTATAGTTATAAAACAACCATGGACTGGCATACTTCGGTCACTAGTGCACATCTAGTATGCCCCCTCCGGCCTGTGATTGACCCTCTTCTGGTCACTCACAGTCCCTCGGGGTGCATAAACGTGCACTAGTGACCGAATTGCCAGTCTGTATGTGCATAATATTGACTTAATTTAGTGTGAGTACAAAGTCAGTAACACTGACCTATCATAGTTTTCTGGGATGGTCACCAGTTCACGTTGCTCCGTAAAGACTTTTCCCTCTTTGACCTGGAAAGATGAAAGAGAACTACTTGATGAATTTCAAATTCAAGATCTGTGGGGAGTCCTGCAGGTTGTGGGTGCAAGTCCAGCCTGTACGTTTGAAATACATGTTTCCTTGGGCGGCAAGACGATTTGTCATTAATCGTTCCTCCCCATCCCATCCAGGAGTAAATGGGTACCTGTGAGGGTTGAGATGATTGTTGTGGTTTGAACTAGCTTTTTGCACCTGGAAAAAATGGCTGCAGCGAGCTGTATACTCCCCAGGGAGCTGAGCTGCTGTAAGGAAAAGAAATAAATTGTAATGCTTAATAGCGCTTTCCATCATATCAACAATCTCAAAGTGCTTAACAATTACTCCCTCATTTATCAGGCCACGGGACCATGCGGCAGCCGATATCAGCGCACATTCTGCCCTCTACCCTCACAGGTACCCATTCATACTCCTGGGTGGAGAGAGGCAATTGTAGTTAAGTTTCTTGCCTAAGGGCACAAACACCATGTTCCTGCCAGGGTTCGAACCTAAGCACCACTGTACATGAGTCTAACACCGAAACCACTGGATCATTGCATTCAGGCACATCTGATGGGCCGAATGGTCAGGGGTAATAATAATGGTAACCACTTTGGTCCTGGTTAGAGGCGCTTAAAATTACCCATCAATATTCAACATCAGGCATGCAACTGGAAAGTCACAAAAAAAGAGAAAATTTAAGTTTCCAAGTCTTTGTACAGTGTTTTTCTATTTTCAATGGCATATATTGGAAGTGAAAAAAGAGGAAATCAGCTGATCCGAGGAAAGTTGCATGCCTGCAACATGCTAATTATTTCAGGGAAGAAGTGCAAAATTACTGGTCCTTGCTATTGGCTGATTTTGACTACATGTACTTCCCTCCCCTTCCCAACTGGAGGTGGTCAAATCAACCAACGCCTCAGATCCAGCAACTGCAAACTACTTCCCGTCAAACCAAAATGTGTATATATTACAACATTTTTGATTTGATACCTGTAGGCCTACCTTGTCAATATACTGCAATCCTTTCAGGCCACTGACTGTTGCTTTTGTCACATCACTAACACCAAGATAGGTGTGCAACAATGCTGTGAAACTAAAGGAATCCTCTCCTGGAAAATAAATGTAACATAAACATATTACTAACTTACACTTGCTTGACAGTTTAAGTCACAAATTGAAAGATTTCACTTCTAATATGGTCAGGCTGAGAAAACAGAAATTGTATGTTTACATTAAAGCCATAAAACATAATCCAGATAGGTAGGTAAAGGGGCGGATCCAGGAATGTGTGCGGGGGGGGGGGAGGGTTGTTTATCAGCAAATCAATGCTAAAATGTAGACAATTTTTTTTTCTCTGGACACTTAAAAAAAATCTGATGATCGTTAACACTATATTCGATAGTAGTGTACAAATACCACTGTAACCCAGCTACTGTGCAAAGGCAGATATTATTACCAGTATAATTGTCACAACTTTTTTAGGGTGTTACCAGTTCTTAAGAAATAGCGTAAATTACAGATAAAAATGATTTAATGCATTCACAACTCACCTGTATTCTTCACAACAAAGTCGCTAACAAACTCTGTTTCTTTCAGTGTCAGAGTGTACGTAACCTTGAACCTGAATTATAGACAACACACACACGCAAGACTGGCTTATACAAATGCATACAATACATGTGACTATAGCTCTGGCAGAGGTACACCAGGGGCGTTTTCGAATCCCTGTTCTTGACAACACGCGTGTAACACGAGAACGTGTTCTCGAGCTGGTTGTTACGAACGCGCGGGTGCGTGTCGCACCGATATAAAGCAATGCAAAATGGCCGACAATCGTCTGAATTTGTACTTAGGCCTATTCCAAATGAACGAGGACGACTCTGAAGATGAATGTGAAACAGACCAAAATTGCAGACCTGCACTATAATGGTATTCTTATTCCAATCATTAGGGTATTAGCAAAAAAACAACAACAACAAAACAACTTTCGAATCTGCACAGTCCGCCATTTTGTTCAAGCTGCACCTCGCCGAACCCTCCATCAACCGGGGAGTGAAAAAATCGATCCGCGAACGCCCTCTCGGGTCTGTTCGTCACGTTCGAGACCGCTGTTCTCGTGTCGGGTTAACCCGAGTGTTGTCAAGAACAGGGATTCGAAAACGCCCCAGGATGAGTTTGGACGAGATACACTAGATCTAGAGGGGTTTTCCCAACCCATGCTGTTACGAACATGGGCCCACCGCTTTTGGCCAAACTATCTAAAACATTTTTGAATAAATAGTATGATTTCTTTTGGAATTTGATTAGTGCATGTTGTGAATCAGTGTTTAATCCCTCACTCATCTCCAACTGCTCACCCATGATTCCACATTTTCCTTGTTTCATCATTATCTGTGAGAGTAAATACTGCAGTCACATCACCAGAGCTCAAGGTCTGAAAACAAAATGAAAACAATGCTTCCTACAAACAAAAACTGAAAAGATACTAAGTAATTATTAAATATTCTTGAGCCAATTTTAATAACTGATTGTGAAGAATTTTTTTTTTCATATTCATGTCTCACCACGAATGAATAATTTCCCCATATAATCAACGTGGTATAAAGTGAAATAAATTAAGTCTCTATATTTTGTTTAATAAAACAATTGTGTTAGTAAGTGTATAGAATTGCTTTAAATTTTTCGGTATAAAAAAAATGACAGAAGAATTAGCCTTTTTCAGGTATGGGCCACACAATATAAAGGTGCTATAAGGAGTGGTAAACTCAATCCCAAATTTACCCACTCTAGAGAAAGCGCCATCCTATTGTGTCCACTGTCTAAAAAGGCTAAGAGGGATCGATATACATGTAAAACTTAAGACAATTCAAAGGTTCACTAGAAAATGGACAAAAACGTCTTAAATCTGTTTCAGAACGTGCTCCCCAAACACGCTTTTGAATGAAAAGTCAATCAAATCACAGGCTGTCTAGCCTTTATGGCCAACCTTACTCCATCTTTTAAGACAGAAAAAAACACCTGTTGTATTGTTTTAATTGATTACCTTTGGAGCTTGTTCCAGAGTCCAAGTTGATATTCTAGCAAATCCATGTTGGGGGCCAAGGTCCCATGGACCAAACTGAGCTGTGTTAGATATAATATTAAAAAAACAAATTAAGTAATTGTCAGATTAAATTTAGCTACGCCATCACAGCAGTCAAAATAATCAATCAATTAAGTGACTGTTTTTAACAGTTTACTAATTCCCTTGTTACTTTGGGGATAAAGCCATGCTTTGACTGTAGGTGATAATATGCCAGTAGTTACCTCTTTTGTATGTTGATGGAATTTGACTAGTTACAGTATTTTATACACGAATGTGATCTGACTGCTTTTTCCTGCCCCGTCTACAAATACATGGCAGGGGAAGTGGAAGAAATTTGTGACTGTCTGTGGCTGATCAAACAATAGGAGGGTTAAAGACATTCCCAGCTTTGCATATATGGATTTCTTCAAAAAAAAACATATTTAAAAACAAAATATGTGAAGGGCACTCTCAACCCATAAGTTATAACTATGACCTGAATTATTGTCACTTTATGTCAGGCTGCAAATAATTCAAAAAGTTGCAAAGTAATTATTCCATACAAATAACTAAACACGATTCATGAAAAGATTTTTTCATTTTGATGTCTCAGTTAAAAGCAAATAATGTTGTAAAGATGGAAAAAATAACAACAAACAAAAACAGCAATGTTTTTTTTTATCTAGGTGAAACAACACCCAGACATCATCTTTAACGATAAGTTTTGTTCAAGTGGTTGACATTTAAACCAAACTACTTCTTCACGGAAGAGATTGATTCCCATCATGTTTCTGCAAACAACCATTATATTATGCAAATCCTGATTGTTTCAAATCCTTTTTTTTATTAGTTGTATTTGCACTCACGGAAACAAACTGGGATGCCACCTCGAATAGCCTTCTTGTTGTCAAACAGTGATTTTTTGCTGTAAAATAAAATCCACAAAATAAAGCACCAGAACATATTCAGAACAACAAATTGTTTGGTGTGGTCATAACTTTTATAAACCAATGCGCCTAAATTGTCCCTCCCCCGGCTGCCCCACCCAAGACATGAGTAACAGAAAAAAACCAAAAAATAAAAATACATGCATTCATCAAATGAAATGTTATTTAGCGTAAAAATACATATTTTTGTGCTGAAACGTTTTTACAAAATTGTGAATTGACACCCCCCCCCCCAAAAAAAATTCAAATAGAATCTTACAACAGAAAAAAGGGTTCAGCATTGATAAAACAATGATAATTATAATATGGAAATGGAAAATACCTTAGGAATAAAATTTCGGATCCGTTGCATTTCCAGGATATCACAGTTGCACCTGCAATCACAGTAAAATGTGAACTTATTATATTAAAAGGGGAGGTTTTACATTACTTTCTCAAATATCATCGGTGGTGGCTGCAGCCAGGCTGCAGAGGCATTAAGAAATCGATAAATGGATTTCCTCAACTTTTCTGAAATTGGCCAAAACCAAATATTGTTTGAAGGCCTAAAAGTTGTTTTGCGTCAGGTTCATCAATCATCATTTAAGTTTAAACACGACATTTGAAAAGTAAGATTTGGTTTCGTTTTAGTTTTGTTAAAAAAGTAAGATTTGTCATTTGGTTGTTTTACAAAAATACAAAAAAATAGGAAAGACACAGTACACAATAACACATTTGAAGTATTGAGAGTCCCAAATTTTGAACGTGAAATAAAAAGAGCCCCCCCCCCCAAAAAGAGCACAATTACAGAGCAATTCATTGTGACATTGATATTCTGAAAGCTACAACTCTGTAAAACAAATCCTGAAATTCTGTTAATTTAACCATGTTCCTCCATGATTTAACCATGGAGGAATCCTCCATGCTAAAACTGGGCCCCGTGTATTTAGTTCCCTTTCTTACCCCCCCCCCCCCCCCTTTTAACTCCAGTTTACTTTAATTGCTTCGGCCAGAACTGTGAGGCAACATGAAGAAACTATTTACCAAACAAGTGAACTGTGAGGCTTGTGTCTTTGCCTCGCTCGAGCACAACACGATCAGCCGACATTTTAATCAAGTTTATGGACGTCAAACCCTAAGCCTGCAGAAAACACCGGAATCAAGTACCGCGGTAAGTTCCGCATTCCCGTTTATGTACAAGTAAATGGGCCAAAGCCACCCAGACTTCTCGTATCAGATTTTAATAAGTGAGACCACGTGGCACCCGTCTCGTGCTCTTGATCAATCGCTGTCTTGTTCCCGCCGCATCGCCCTGAAGTGTATTGACTTTTCACGAGGAGAGATTGGTATACGGCGCATACGTAAACCCTACAAATTCTCGATAAGGACTAGAACAAGTGGAAGACTGCAGAGAAAACAGGCTGAAATTGCCTGTCAAAGCGGAATCAAGATGAATGTGATTCTTGCAGTTAAGCAGTATGTTGCCAAGATGATAGAGGAAAGTGGACCGGGCATGAAAGTGCTTCTTATGGATAAAGATACGGTAAGATTCAGTCACACCATCACCTGATCACCGATCACCACAGACATTGAGTCTTGACGGACCACATTTTGTACACATTTTACAATTAACATTCCCTACGGGGTACCGGTGACCAGTGGCTAGTGGTGACTCAGAGCGGAGCTAGCTCCATGCTCAGAGCATGGAGGAAGGAATTTTTGTACTGTTGTGAGGTTGTGTTGTAGATCTACCCATGGAGGTAGGAATAGATCTACCCGGGGCATTGGGGGGGGGGGGGGGGGGTTGTGGGAGGGGTCAAGTTCTCATTTTTTTGGAGAAGACATTTGACAATGACAATAACTAAAGCTTTTGATGCTATTGATAGTGGATATATTGCCAGTGGCAATCCGGATTGCCGAAAGGATTTCTTTTCAAGGGAAATAAAGTCCGAAATTGTAAAATGGTCTGATTCCCATCTTGTGAATACGAAGTAACAACGATAATGTTGGCATGGAGCCAGACTAAAATTTGTCACCGGAAAATGTCTAAGTAAATAAAAGACAGTAACTGCGCATGTTCAGTGCATATCCGGCAAGCTAACGTTTACTAAAGGTTTGCCATCTCCGGCTAAATATCCACTGCCATAAGTTTTCAGAATGAAAAAGTCAAATTATTATTTTTTTTTTTGGGGGGGGGGGGCGCACAGCCGGCCATAGTGCACAAACCTGCATGACTCGTAATATTCTGTAACTACAAACAGTGTTTAAGCATTCCCTCCACCCCCCCTCCCCCCCCCCCCACATGTAGAACTCAATAGCCTTGGTCGACAGGCAGTCATTTTCGACTTGTACTTGATCCCCTTGGTTTTGTTTTTTAATCTCAACCCTAATCCTTCCAGACTGCATTTTATCAACATAATTACATGCATTTTATTGGCTGTTCTTCCCGCAGATCAGCTATGTCAGCATGGTGTATGCCCAGTCTGAGATACTACAGAAGGAAGTCTATCTGTTTGAACTTCTCAGCAATGGCTCACGTGAAATGATGAAACATCTCCGATGTATCTGCTTCATCAGACCAACGAAGGTAAAACCATAAACCTTGAGTGCGGTGGGGTGGCTGGGCTCCAATTTGCAGAGGGGTATTTAGGAGGCCTCAGTTTCTTGACAGAGGACTCAAGGGAGGGGGGGGGGGATAGATATGCACAGGCCTTGGGGGGGGGGGGAGTTGCAATGACCATGCCTCCTTAGTCATGCTAGTTATGCCACTGTTTGAGTGTAATATTTACTAGACTTAAATTCCAGATGTTTTGCTAATTTTGCACTTGGTACTGTGGCTGATCCAAGTCAGTGTATTCTTGTGTCCTTGAGCATGACACTTTGTCTGATGTTATTTCTCATCATCCAGGAGTAAGTGGGACATGTGAAGCCAGAGTTAGTTGTACAAAAGTCAAAGAAATTCTGTCACAAGCTAATGTGGCCAATCAGACGGCATTTATCTCCGGTTTCAGTAGCAAGAAACAACTGAGAATATTTCTGTTCCCCCTGGATGGGATGCTAGTCTATCACAGGTTACTCCCCAGTTAATGCTGGTACTCATTTATACTCCTGGGTGGAGAGGGGCAAGTGGGGGTGAAGTGGCTTGCCCAAGGACACAAAACATATGACCAGCAGCTGGATTCGAACCCTGACCCTCTGATCATGAGTCACGAACCCTAACCACTAGGCCACACTCCCCCAACATTTCAATTATTCCTTTGTGATGTGGGGGAGTTGAAGTGGTCTCTTGTGGCCATTATTAGCAAGGGGAATATCAATTAAAAGACTAGTTACTAAACTGCTGCAATAAACATGAATTTCACTCAAATACATTCCTGACTTGTCTCCCAGGATTGTACCGAACAAAAATGGGTGCACCGAGTTAACTTGCTTGGCATTTAAATGGTCATGTGTGTACTGTTTTTGGCACTCTTGCAGGAAAACATCGATCTTCTGTGCTATGAACTGAAGAATCCCAAGTACGGCATATACTGCATTTGTAAGTTTCTTGCATTTCTCACACAGGGAGTCCTGTAACTTTGCTGTATTGTGTGGGCCTTGGGTACAGGGTCAGTCCATAAATGTGGGGTCCAAAAGAGTGACATTTTGTGTCCCTGGTACACCTGAACTGTGTAATTGGCTTGAAAATATCATTAAAATAGACTTCAAACTATCTTTTATATGTTAGGTAGGTACTTCGCTGTGTTACATAATCACTGTTGGAGATACCGATAGAAGACATTAACCCTAACTCCCTAGCATGATTTACTAGGAACCATACCCATCCTGGCAAATTCCAACGGGAAATTGCACACACATACTTCTGACTTTGATTCTGGAGTTGTGTCAACCCAATGCAAAAGACTGTCAGTTTAGGGGTACTGTACCCATCCTGACAGATTCCAACAAAACATGTCGTTTGGGTTTGATAGGTTGAGTTCTGTTAGGGTTAAAGAATGTGTCCTGATTTCCAAATTCTACATTAGATGTAACAGGGACACACACACACACAAACTGGAACCCAAATGTATGGACTGATCCCGCACTGTATACTGTAAATTTGATGTCAGCATCATAACTGAGTGGTAAGATGATAGTGATGTTCAAGGTAACAAAGTTAAGACATGGACGAGTAACCTGGAGATGTATTTTTCTACATTGTACAAGGAAATTCCTATGTTCTGCATGTGTGCAACAGGTAGTTTGGGAATGCAGTGTTCTCCATGGAGCAAAACTCTAGCAAGGTGCCATGATGAGGAAGTTTGTTTTGTAAATGATGGGAAATAACCGCGATAATGAAGGCGTAAGCTGTGACATCGCAGAGGGTGCTTTCTTCCAATTTACATTCACACACTGTTGCACTAGGTAGTACTCGTAGCTGCTTGTAATACACCATGGCACTAGCAGAATCTATTTTTTTTCAACTTATCTATAGATTTCAGCAATGTAGTCAGTAAAAGTGATGTGAAGCGGCTAGCAGAAGCAGACGAGCAGGAGGTCGTGAGAGAAGTCCAGGTACCATACATGAGTTCACTTTCTCTAAGTTCAACATTCCAGCTTAATCAGTTGCTGGATATCGAGATTAGAAAAATTAACTTTTTGCATACAACTTTGGAGTTTGTGTAGCCTTTTAGGTACATGTATTTGAAATGTTGAATATTGATGGTTTGTACACATAGTTGCATGTTCTTGTATCATTTATCAACAGATCCAAAAAAGCAAAGTTCTTAATCGACACATGCATGTAATTATAGAAAACCATTAAAAAACTTTTGTGTGGATGCATTGAGTTTGTACATTCAAGAATTTTATTCCATTTCTTTTGGCGTTTTAATTCCATAATTATCACAGTGATTGCTTTGTCGATACTACATATAATTCACTTGTAAGGCCAAAAAAAAATAGTCGGTCTATGGTCAGTGCGCGCGTCGATTTTAATCATGCGCGTCAACCTTTTTTTTTTATTCAAATTGTCCGCGGTAGCTACAACAGCGCCCTCTATTGCCGCACCTCCTCAAATTTTTGTACCAAGGAATGGGGAAATTGCACCAAAGCAAATGATGGAGGGCACAAAGGCAAATATGGAGGACACCAATGTATATGAGAACACAAAAAAGCAAAAAATAGTACCCACCTTGTCTGTACAATCCAAGCTTGAAAAAAAAAAAAAGCCAAAAAAAACCCGCGTCGCCGCATCAATTCCAGAACTTTGGTCTGAATAGAGACCGACTATTTTTTGTTGTTGGCCTAACCAATGTACACGTAACATATAGTATTGTATTATCCTTTTGCAGGAGTTCTACGGTGACTTCATCGCTGTCAGCCCACATATCTTTTCCTTTAATATCGTGGGATGCTCACGGGTTAGTATAACTTTGCTTAACCTTGTTACATTATGCTAAAAAGTGAAATCAACGGCCTAGTCAATAAATGTAGTGAACCTACTATTTTTTCTTGTAGCCTAATATCCCATATTTTTGAGAAAACGAGGACAGTTTATTGTGTCAACGGCATTTTCTGAATAAAGTCAGTAGAAATATCATGCTTAGTTAAAGCGACTTAGTGATAGAACTTACATATAAAAATCACAAATGTTTAGACAGGGTTAAGATCCGGAATTTATAAAGTTGTCGCTCCATAAAACATACATGTGAATCTCTGTGCATGCAGGGTAACGTGTGGAGCACGGGAGTCCTGAACAGAATCTGTGCAGGTGTAACCGCTGTTCTGCTGTCTCTGAAGAAATGCCCCATGATACGCTACCAGAACTCGTCCGAGCTATCCAAACGATTGGCAGAAAATGTCAAGGTGAGTCCTATTAGAACAATCTATACGAGCAGTAGACAGCATTCAATATGGGAACTGTAACCACTGATCTCTATATAAAGACTGGATAGCTAATAAAGAGCCGCACAATGAACGAATTTGACGCCATATTGGTGAGACTGGCTGGTGATCTACAAAGGACAAGTTGCCGTTTTTATAGACAGCATGATTTCTTTTGTAACGTCGCGGTTCACTTGACTTATATTTTGACCACCACCACTGACCAAGGTTAACTATAATTTTTTAACGTCGTGGTTACTAAAATGCCGCAAATATCACGTTTTCGGCGTTTTGAAATAATAATTACTACGGAAATGTGTCCCTTTTAGAACATCATAATAAGTGTACGTGACCAAAATGCGCGTCAACTGTTGATACAACGCGCGCGTATTTACGCGTAGAACGTTCGTATTATACGCGGCCATCTTCGTGAGACCGGGGGCGAATTGGTCAATATGCAAAGTCTACTGTGTGAATGTTGTATGCATATCCGCTATCCAGTCTTTATATGGAGATCAGTGACTGTAACAGCCAAAAAGACCCAATTTGTTGTCACATATGGTAGGCAATGAAAGTGTATTTTATCCACCTCATATGTTGCAATATATTTATACTTAGGCACTCCATGAGTTGAAATTCCTTTTGTTGGACCCCAGCCACAGGAACGTCAATTTTTGTATGGCATGCCAAATGTGAAAGATGACGGTAATCTAAGACTGTTGGTCTAAGAATTCTAATGCTCTTGAATGGTTTTGTTGTTAAGTGCTTGATGAGGTTTTTGTTTGTCTTCTTGCCTATAGCAAGTAATATCCAAGGATGCAGGACTGTTTGACTTCCGAAGGACTGATGTGCCTCCTCTCTTGCTAATAGTGGATCGACATAGTGACGCAGTCACGCCCCTTCTGCATCAAGTAAGCTGTGTGTCTACAGAAATGTTACGCAGTAGCAGATTTCCAATTATGCCACATTTTACTGCATAGTTGCAACAAGTTGTGACACATTCAATGAAGGTTTTATGCAGTTCACATGAACATGTAACATTAAGGCATGTAACAACCTTAATAACCCGTATTATTATTTATATCAGGCTTCTAGCGGTAAAAATAAGTCAGCGTATTGTATGCTTTCATAAAAAAGTTCCCGGATGACTACAATAATAAAGTACCCGGTTGACTGCAATAACATTATTATTGCAGTCATCCGGGCATTTTCGCTGGTTCCCGCTTGATCAAGAGCATAGAAAGCCACAGTTGTCAACCACTTAACAGAGCGTAGCGTGCGTACCATCGAACACGGAACACGCCGCGCGCATGCAGCGTGCAGAAGGCCGGCTATACGCGCACTGTTGTCAACAATTACAGTGGCAGCTTCAAAACGTTTGATGTAAACGAAAAAGATGTAATGAAGACAGTGTCTTGAATTGTGCTTCTTGCAGATCAAGTCAGCCTGATATAAATAATAATAATAATATTGGATGGCTTGTTTTCGGTGGATACAAGAATATATTGCACTCGCTATGACAATATTGCACTTGTCTTCGACTCGTGCAATATTGTCATAGCTCGTGCAATATATTCTTGTATCCACCTCAAAGCCATCCAATATTATATAATTACATTCAAGGAAACTTGAATCCTTGATGCTGATTGGTAGATCCATGGCAACAACAGTTTGTTATTATCCCATATTGCACTGTCCGCATTACAATAGCTAGTCGCTGAGAAATGGCAAAAGTGTTCCCAGTGAATCTTGTCAAGTTTGCGTGAAGATTAATTTGTTATCCCACTGCGCTTGTAGAACATGAAAAATGTAGTGCGTCTGTGTCCAACATGCCACAAGGCGGATATATGAAACACAAATGCACTACATTATTCCATGCTCTGTGTGCTCTTGGGATATTACTATAATGTTGTCACATGTTCTGTGGCATTCATGACTTTTCATGTTAGTTTGTTGGGACTTAACTGAAAATTCCATTTCTGTGATTGCAGTGGACCTACCAGGCCATGGTGCATGAGTTGCTTGGTATCCGCAACAACCGCATCGACTTGTCCAAAGTACCAGGCATCACCAAGGACCTACAGGAAGTGGTGTTGTCTGCTGAGCAGGACGAGTTCTATGCTGCGGTATGAAAAGAATATTTGTATGTGACCTTAGGCTCTGTGTACGGGACACATTGTTATGCATGCACATTGCGCATAGAACACACGGAGAATGCTCCACTGAATGTGCACAGTCTCTTTGTCTCTGTGCAAGTGCCATGGCAACTAACTGTCTTATCCTTTTTTAATCATTATTGAGGGGATACTTGTGTCCAGAGTCTGTAGACGTCCACATTTACAAAAATTTACAGATCCCAGATTTTCAAAATTGTGGGAGTCTCTGTGCACAAAATTGACACGGATAATTGTGGAGTGCCGTGGCCTCGTGGTCTGGAACATTGAACTGTGGGTAATTCTGCAGGTTGTGGGTTCGAGTCCAGCCTGGGTTTGTGGTGCGTGTGTCCTTGGGCAAGGCACTTTGCCACTCATTGCTTCTCTCCACCCAGGAGTAAAAGGGTACCTGTGAGGGCAGTGATGGTTATTGTGATTGATTTTAGCTGCTTTGGACCAAAATGGCAGCATTGAGCTGTATAGTCCTCAGGGAGCTGAGATGGTCTTTGGAATGTTTTATTGGCCCAATGAGCAGGGGTAATAATAATGTAGCACCTTGAGTACCGATTGTGCGTTATAAGAAACTCAGTATTATTTTTATTATATTTAAAAGTTTTCTCTAAATAGTATCCCACTTGTGCTTCAGTATGAGTGCCAAGTATGAATATTGCAACACTGCAATCAAAATTCAAAAGTTCTATTCTACCAAAACATTTTGATATTCCAAATTAAAACGGATGCAGTGCTTCCAAAAATTGTCTTAACTTGAGATAGGACATCATAGTTTGCCAGGATCTTGTATTGCTGTGGAAGGATTATTTAACACTCTTGTGGACTTGTATTTGAAATAATATTCTGAAACAATATGAATGTTGATTTCGTTGTTTTCCGTTTGTAGAATCTCTACAACAACTTTGGTGAGATTGGCGCTCGGATCAAGGAACTCATGGAAGACTTCCAGAAGAAGAGTCAGAGCACCAAGAAGATTGAATCCATCGCTGATATGAAGGTCAGTATTGGATATGCGCAACAACAGTAGAGGGCGCTGCTTGTCTTAGGCAATCAGAGCCAAGGGTATGGCCGCGTCCAAATCTCTTGTCTAGATCTGTTGTGTAGGTCTTCGCCCATTGAAACTACGTGGTAACAAGCTGACAATAGACATAGCCATAGCTCTGGAGCCGTAGCTTTGGTGCTTATACCAACGGTCTCAACGCGCTTCACAATTATTACCCCTGTTCATCAGACCACGAGACCAGTTTTTGCAGCAGCTCGAGATCAGTGCCCATTTATACTCCTGGGTGGACAGAGGCAATTGTAGTAAAGTGTCTTGCCCAAGAACACAAGCACCATGGACCCGTCAGGGTTCAAACCCATGTACCACGGCACATGAGTCGAACACCGTAACCGTGGACCACAGCACTCCACAATGTTGGACACGGCCTAAGTTCCACTAAACGCTAGCATTATCATGAACATTAGCAAGCCCCCTAACAAGTGTACCATTCTAAGTGGAAGGATCCTATCATCAAGGATCATGTCGAACACCTGTACTACATTGTATTACATTGTAGTTATGCCTCGATAAAACCATATACCATACAGTGCTGGGCTAGTCCTGGGCAGTACAAAACGTAATGGGCAGTGTTGATGGATGCGATACAGGGTCTATTGGTTTAAAAGCAGGTAGAGACTTTTGCAATTACACGGTGATGTACCTAACGATTTAACGAGAAAATCCTTGCTTGAACCAAATACCCTGTGAAATTATTGTACCTGAAATGGTATCAGTTGGAAGAAAACAATCATTAGAAGGTTGTTTAAGAAAATGGCTGCAGTTTTTTTTTATGAGACACCAAAAATTGTGCATACTTGTATGTACGTTTTCTCTGTTTTCTTACAATGTACAGTATCCACTGAGCTGAACTGTAACAAGTTAGTTGTTATGTACCCTCAAAATCTTTGAGTGATTTTGTTGCTTCAAATGAAAAAAATGCACAAAAAAGCAAACGCTCCCCTGCACCTTGATCGAACCAGTTGTGATATTTTCAGAGCTTTTAAGTGATTATCACTAGTTTGTTTGATTTATGTAGGCATTTGTGGAGAACTATCCCCAGTTTAAGAAGATGTCCGGCACGGTGGCTAAGCATGTAACCGTGGTTGGGGAGCTGTCTAGGATGGTGGGGTTGCACAATCTGCTGGAGGTTTCAGAGATTCAACAAGAGTTGGCATGTCAGAATGATCACAACGAAGCCCTCAAGGTACGTAACAACTATCGGTATCGAATGGACATAGAAGTGGTGTATACCAAAATGGCAATCCAAAAAGACTGGGTTAGTATGTTAATTAACATGAATTTCAACACTGTCAGTGAACACTGACAATCTTTTACCATATTGAGCTGATTCTGATCAGTGAGATGAGCTACCCCGACAATGCACTGTCACTGTGGACTGTACATTGGCCTAGTGTCATGGCCTAGTGGTTAAGAACACTGGACTCATGCTCTGGTGTTTTAGAGGCAACATTGGCGTGGGTTCAAGCCCGGGCCCGGACACTTGTGCCCTTGAGCAAGGCACTTAACCATTATTGCTTTGTCCTTCGGATGGGACGTAAAGCCGTAGGTCCCGTGTGTTGTGTAATGCACGTTAAAGAACCCAGTAACGCTTATCACTAAGAGAAGGGGTTTGCCCCGGTGTTCCTGGCAGTGGCTGCAATATGCGCCGCAGCACCTTGTAACCCTTAAAGGTGCTACATAATGGGTCTCATATTTCTCATATTGAGGGCCTCCATGGAAAGCAGTGCCCTCCACTGATTGGAGCTACCCTCACTAAAGATGACGTAAATAAAAAAAAAAAAATAAAAACATTGAAAGGGAAGCTTACACAGTCATGTCCAACGCTCTGTTTTGATATCAAGGTGCCCCCTTCCCAATCCTGCTTATTTTGCCTGATATCCTCACAGCACCATTTGTTGGAAGGAACATGATGTTTTCCATGTGTTTTGACACCAATTTTTAAAAAAAAGCGGATGAACCATTCAAAAAATAGTCAATTTTTTGACGAGAGGTACCAAACCATTTGTTTTCCAATGAGCATGTGTGGATTCTGTGTATGACATGGCGGTTTTTTTGTGCCACTTTCGAGAACTGCGGTGGAGGGACACATCATGTGCCCGTACTGGTTTGCGTGCGTATTGCGCGAAATACGCACAACTTATTTTATTCTAAATTTGCACAAAGCTGCAACATCTTCATGCAAGCATCGGCGCCTTTAAGAAATGTGTTCAAGATGTCTGGTCTCCCTGAACACTTCCATTGCAGTGAGTCCATAGGAAAATGCACTCACTCACGGACAAAAAGCTTGAAATAAGTATTACTCAATTCTCCAAAACACATTTCCTAGGTCAGCTAAAAACCTTTGCGTACTTATAATTATTTGGCATGAATGTGTGCTCTAGCCTACCAAAATTCATAAAAACCTTTATGTACATGTATTCTCAAACCACTCCACTGTTAGAAAGAAATTTCTTTGAAAAACGTCATGACTTTCCCAGTTGTTTGTCATTTGTTTTCATTCAACATAAAGTCTAAAAACCTGTCTTCTTTTTTTTTAACTGGACAGAAAGTACGAGGGCTGATCATGAGTGATAAAGTGAGGGAGCTGGACGCGTGCTGCCTGGTGGCATTGTACGGCCTACGGTACGAACGCCATAGCAACAATGACTTCATGACGTTACTGAGCGCGCTCACAAAGAGGGGAGTCAGTGAACGAAATAAGAGGGTAAGAATTGTGCCCAGGTACAAACGTTGGCAATCATACCTACATGTACACTGCATCAGAGATGTTCTCACAAAATCTTAGACAAGGTAGCAAACAATTATTTTGAGTTCAATACATTTTCATCTACTCCAGTGACACAGTTAAAAAAAAAAGTTACTATACAGGGTGAGTAAAAAAAAACGAGACCCAAATGTCAGGACTATTGTTTTAATGAAGTTCTGCATGTAGCTCTTTCAAAATCTAGGATATGAAAGCCCAATTCATAAGCTTTGTTTTAGTACAAGAATCACGCATGTACGACTGAAAGAACAGTTACCTTTTTGTGATCCGTTGACATAACTTTTAAACGGTGGTTGTGTTTAAAATTCCGTAACTTGAAAATTACATGAGTGATTTGAATGATTCTTGTACCAAAAGAAAGCTTATGATTTGGGCCTTCATATCCTAGATTTTCAAAGTGCTACATGCAAAAGTTCACAAAAACAATGGTCCCGACATTTGGGTTTCGTTTTTTAATCACCCTGTATGGTTTATATATCCCTGCTTCTCTTACAAGAATGCTAACCCGTAGATATTAATAAACATGTATCGTGAACTTAACACATGTGGCACATTTTAATAATTTATTTTTGAAATTACCTAAAAACAAGTCTCATATAAGAACCTCTAGTGTCTATCAACCCAACTCTACACCCTAATTTTCTGTTTAAGTCTGCTATTTCTGTTAAGTGCGGCTTTAATGTAAGGGTATGAAGCCAGCCAAAGTTTTATAAAAGTGTAGTTATTTGTTGAAAAGAGAAACAGAAATTAAAGTCATGTGAAGGTTTTTCACACATCACATCCTGTAAGTGTAAATCCCTCACTTTTCCACTACTAGATTTATCAATAGTCCCTCGACATGAATTGTGAGTATGCAGATGTGGAAATGACATTTCTTGACTGAGGGGATTGAATTGTTTTTGAAATTCAGTTGGTGAGGGCTGTCGTTGAGTATGGCGGTGAGAGAGCTAGAGGAACGGATCTCTTTGGTCAGAACAATCCCATCTCCAGAACAAGAAGATTCTTCAAAGGACTGAAGGTAATACACCCTGTGATTTCATGGTTCTTGGTTTTTGGTTGGTTCTTCTCCTAAATACTCCGCGAGCAAGTTTTGATAGGAGGCCAAAAACACTGGGGCAGACCCTTCTCTTTATAAAGATAAGTGTCAATGGGTTCTTTTACGTGCATTGCATTATAGAACACACGGGACCTACAGCTTTATGTCCCATCCGAAGGACGGAGCAATAATGGTTAAGTGTCTTGCTTAAGGGCACAAGTGTCCAGCCGGGCTCGAACGCAGGCCACTTTTGCCTCAAAAACACCAGAGCTCTTAAGAACTAGGACATGACAGTCCACAATTTACATGTCCACCGTGGGTAGAATTTACACAATAAAATGGGGTAGTTGCATAATATTCGTAGGATCGAGTTAGCAGAACTAGTGGTGGGGGAAATTGGAGGTCTCAAAATCCGGTTATCCTAATTTTTTTTCAAACCGAATAACGGTTTTCTGTTTTCACCAGAAGTTCCTATTCAGCTCACACAGTCATGCTATCAAAAAGTGGCATGTGAGCTGATATGTTGAAAAAAAAATGGATGGAAATTCTCTTATAAGTCAAATGGGTAGGCTATTCGTATACCAAGAAGACCACTGGGAAGTTCGTGCAGTTACAATGAAGACCATAGAGCAAATTGGGGGATGTCCCAGTTGTTTTCTTTATCTTGTGTCACAAAAAATGGACGGCTTAATTTTTTTTTAACCCTAACCTTCCCAACTCCATCAAGATCCATCCCACCATTTTGGAATTTTGGCAGGCAAGCCATCTGTACCAAGTCCATCAAATCCACCTATAGTAATGATAGTCTTGTTATGGATTTCAGCGGATTTGGTCCTGAAGCATTGTGTGAAGCAGGGTCAGTGATGGATTTTGGTGGACTTGGTCCAGTACTTAGTAAAAGGCACTGGGGAGTTAGGGTTAAGGTTGGTTTCGAATACTCAAACCGAATGTTAAAAAATCCGGATTTAAGTCTCATCACTAAGCTAAACTTGGCGTAGCTGCACAATGTTTCAAATATCTTAAACATCTTGATTGAGGATGATCTCAGCTTTTATGATGGCTGTGTTTTAATGATTTCATACATGTATCAGACGTTAAGCAGGAACTCTTCTATAATATGTTACGTTTTTATTTGATAGGGTGTTGAGAACATCTACACTCAGCACACGCCGCTGCTGCAGGAGACGTTGGATCAGTTGATTAAAGGCAAACTGAGGGAAGGAAGTTATCCCTATCTGGGGCCGAGTCAACTCAAGGACAGGTTGGTATCTCATCCTTGTACAATATACAATTGTTGTCTGCCTTAACCCTAATCCTCCAGGGTAGTTTGGCTAGAAATCCTGCCAAACGCGGCAACATGCAACACTTGTCTAAATGACAGGCCTGCCCAGTGCAGCTAGATCCATCAGGTCACAAATCTCAAGGCCAAACTGCCTCAGAGTCTGTGGTCACCCAATGCAGCAGGATACAACTGTGGCATTGTTCAGTGGGATTAGCTCTCATTGTTTCAGAATTGGCCATTTATGCACTGGTGTTGATAACTAAATGCATCAAAGTGCACCAGACTTTTCCACCAAATGCACTGTGCTGCATCTGGTAAGGTTAGGGTTTGTATACGTAGTTCTTTGTCCTTTTTGTTCCCCCAAAGGGTGCATATGGCACCCAAGGCAAAGTGATAAAAGATCATTCCTCTGACACCTTAACAATGTTTTATCTCGGAAGCCCAATGGTTCGGTCGTTGATAAGCATGTCTGTATGGGTCCTCTACGTGCTCAGCTTGGTGTACATTACCTAACTATTGTGCTGCAGGTGTGTTTTAGCTGTGTTGTACAGAGCAGTGGGTCAGTTAAAAATCAAAAGTTTTTGAGTTGATGATCAAGGTGATGTACCTTGGGTACATGAGGTGACGTACATGTTCTTGTGAGGGTCATTTGTGTTGTCGTACATGTACATGTACAGCTACTTCTGGAATACATTATAGAAACTGTCCACGACCAATTAAATGTTCACAGTAAAATAACGTGGTTTAGTAAATGTGGGACAATTATGACAGCTGCTACCACATGGTTCGTTTCCATGCGGCCATGAGATGATACTATGGCTACATATTTTGATGTTGTTACTCTTCTACCATAGCCCAATCCGCCCTGTCTGTGATTGTTTTACTCCTGTTTACAATTGTTAATGCTAATCATCTTGTGTATCAACTGCTTGTAATTACCAGACCCCAAGACATCATTGTGTTCATGATAGGAGGTATAACCTATGAGGAAGCCCTTGCCGTGTGCAACATCAACAAGTCAAACCCAGGCGTAAGGGTCGTCCTGGGGGGTACTACGTTACACAACTCACAAACGTAAGTTGGCCATGACGAGCAGTTAGGATGACATTGTGATAGGGTGGCATATGTCTGGAGTTTTTCCTTATTTACCATTTCTTTTCCTGATACAGTAAACTACGGCTAAGTTGACATCGTACAACTCATCAAATCGCTCAAGTCAGCCGTCTGACTAAAGTCCTGATTGTCTGTAATTCCATTAATTTTTTTATTTCTAAGTCGGCTTTTATAAGTCGCCATTTCGTTCAAGTCGTCGTGTTTCTCTGTCCCCTTTCCATAAAAAGCATTACAAAATCCTTTGTGGAAGTCGGCATTCAAAAAATCATGCATTGGCATCGACTTCCTGTACTGCAGTTGGCAAGAAGTGTCAAGTGAAAAGTGGTTTGGCACGGCTACAGTGTGTGCGTGGTATATACCGGACCACGCACGCATTTAATATGTTACTGTTCACGTGCATATGCATTACTATTTTGTACATGTGGTCTCCACTATTAATACCCCAAACGTGATGATACATTTTGAGGATTAATTCGCTGGATTCAACTCGAGCATTAAGGAGATAAACCAGGGTAAATCGAAGCCAATTAGTGCATGAATTATGTCTGCAAAAGGACATTCATGTAAGTCGGTGAAATTCTCGGGTCCCGAGAGTGCCGACTTAGCCGGAGTTTACTGTACTAGGATATTTAAAGGGCAGTATAGAAACGTGGAATTCCTGACGTTTTATCATAAATCGTCTTTCATACCTATAAAAGAAACCTTTGGGCAAATACAATGTTCAAACGTATATTATATATGGTACATTGCTGTGGGATCCTCTGCAGATTATATTTTGGAATTGTCAGTTTCTTCCGATCTCATCCCTGAGGCCTGTGCCAGGTGAATGGCAGCAATGTGTTTACATCCCTCCTTACTTCTCGCTGTAACTGGGTGAGGGGTACTTAAGTCTGGAGGCTAAAGACTTGAAATTGAGTCGGTAGTTGGCCGGGTGAAGTTCACCATTTGCCATTCAATTCATTAGACACGTCAAAGCAAGAAAATGATAAACACGATACACAGCGCTGTACTAGAAAATATCGGGGGGGGGGGGGGGCGCCGACAGTCAAAATACGACAGTCTTGTGACTTGTCCTCAAGTCTAGGAGCCTATGGGCTCCGTGCACAAGTACCCCTTCAACGGCCAGAAAAGGAGAGTTAGGGGTATAACCTAGACTGGTTCCCGGTCAATATTTTGAATGATCCAAAGTTATTGGAGGCAGGGATTAGTCTAAGAGACCATCACAACATATTTGCGTGCCGACAATGCCTGATGCTCATACGCGAAGAGTGCCGAAGACGCTGTGGCTTAGCATTGTGCACATTCAGGATAAATAAGTCATGCGTACTTTGCACACGAACCAGTTGCGTACGCATACGCGGTGTCCCGTCCAAAGGCATAGAAATGCACCTTCTTTTGTTAGTGCTCGGAGCCCATAGTAGACAAAATTAATACGGACTGCTTTGAGTGGTCTATACAATTAGCCTGCAAGGCAGTCTGTATGATCTTCTGTGTTCACAAAGGGATAATTGATTGCTCAATGGATCATCAAGGGAGGCTAGGTTTATTATTTGAGTTGAATCAGTCAGTATTTGTTTCATAAAATCTCCCCCATACTTTTATAGATCTCTTTCCAAATTTTCTTTCTGAAATTAGTTAAAACTCACATAACTTGGACTTTTCGAACTACCCCTTGATGAAATGTTTGTGACATAATCGCTTAGTAAATTAAAAATGTGATTGACTTTCTGATGGTTGATGTGGATTCTTTGCTTTAGATACCTCGAAGAAGTGGCCATAGCACAGCACATGTGAAGGATCTTCCCCCAGAAACGTCAACACATCTCATAATTGGGAGGTATACTTGGATTCCATTTTCAATTCAAAGACATACAGATATGCAGCTGCCCAGTGTGTATATTGTAGGTAGTAATAGTGCAGCGTAAGCCTATAATTCCAGATTGGGCCATTTGCAATAATTGGGCCTGTTGGCAGAAGTAGGGACCATCTAGCAGTATAGGAAAGCGCACATGGAAAGCGTGACGTCATTAGGTCTCAGGCTTATTGCAGTGATGATTTGCAGAGAGTGCTTAGTAGACCATTATCATGTTGCAGCCATTTGATTTTTTCCCCATTCAAATCAACGTAACCAAAGCAAGGCTGGAAGGAAAAATAGTCTGGTTCCTTTCTGCACAAAAAACATTATCATTCAGTACTGTTATTTGATACAGGGAACAAGACTGAAATGGTGGCAGCAAGATAAAGGTGTATTGCTGAACTGCCTGAGCTTATTGCCACATTATTTATTGGATATATTTTATATTTTAGTTATATAGATATAACTTGCTGGATATGCTAATCCCTGCAAAGTTGTTACGTTTTTCATTTCGTCCCTTATAAAAATGAGTCCTCTGATTTAAATATTGTTTCACGTCTTGAGTTGGGGTTTAGTACTGATCTGCTTTGAATAAAGTATACAACTTTTTAAAAGGCAACCAGCCATGGGATGTCACCCACATCTAGCTGTCACATGTTCTGTTTGTGCTACAGTTTTACGTGTATAGACAGTCTATATCTTCACAAAATATAAAATAAAAGCCAATATTGTTAACAAGTGACTTTAATTATGATCTGGGCTTGGCATGAGGGATTGCAAATGGAAGTACTTTGATTGGGAGATTTTCACATAGCCTACTGTCATTATAGAGTCAACTTGTACCTTTGCCAACTCGATCAGTCCAGCATGGAACTTAAAGTGAAGTCAATCATAAACACAAACGTCTATCACTAACCACAAGTAACTGGATGAAAAATGACAATGCAGAGGATGCAATTACAGTCAAACATGGAACATGTACCAAGCAGTTTTGGTGTAGCCAAGGGCTTTTTTTAAGAAGAATTCTCTTGATTGTCTTTCTGCGGTCAGTCTTTCCACTTAATAATAAATCCTGGTGAAGAGACAACTGCACTCACAAAATGTATTGCTGGCCCAAAATTAACCTTTCATATCGGTTTAAGTCCTAAGTCTTGCAAAATGTTAATGGATTTATCTATTGTCGTCTGATGGGGTACATCAGACTTTCTTTGCTCCATGCCATCAATTATCAATGTCACGTGCTTGCTTGAATTTACAAAAGCGTGGACATCATGTTCTTTTTCTCTTTCCAGTAAATATATTAAACATGCACATGCTTTTTGGAAGAAGAGGTGAGACCCACCTGAAATTCTGCAGTGTGTCTTGGCATACACTTGTTATTTGTTCCAAGTTGGAGGGAGATTGATCATCCTTTTATGAGGCATAAAGTCACCAAAAGTGTGGAAAAATACATCCATCCACCCTGATGCATTGGTTGATTTCTCTCTGTGATGTCTTCAACCAAGGTTACCATGAGATATGCTGTTACATGTGTGGCTGACCCACCCAGGGCCAAAGGAAAGATTTTCTCACAGTGGTCCTTAAATGAACAAACATATAACATACACTGTACATAAAACAATGAAGATAATAATAATTTCAATACTTGGAAATGCGTGAACATGAAAACAATCTAAAACTTGTGAAAAAAGTTAACTAAAAAATCAAAAGTCAACTTGAAACTCAAAAGTCAACTTGAAACTTGAATAGTCAACTCGAAAATCGAAAATTCAACTTGAAACTCGAAAATCCAACTTGAAGCTCGCAAAATTCAAATAGTGAACTCGAAACCCGGAAAGTTAACTTGAAGAAAAGAAACCCTCTAACAACTTTGTTGGGATTCCTTCAACCTGAGGCTGTTCTTGGTAGCATTTAAGTTAATCAGGTTGGTGTATAAATCTCACAAAGTCAACTAGCCCCAAAGATATTCCAATAATGATCTTTCCCCCATTCTTTGAAGAGAAACTTTGCGAGTTCATACTTGAATACTCCATTGGTGAGAAGTTTTTCCCGCGCTCTGTCTGATTGTCTGATCTGGACCGGTTATTACATACACTGAGTCCACAGCACCCCACATCTTTCTCTCACCGTCCTTTATGGAGTTCTCGACGTACTTGTCGAGACAAATATGCGCTTCACTTGCTCTCTCTGAACATACTACTGACAGCATGGTCCGAGCAATTGATGCATATGATGCTCCCATGTTTGTTTGTGAAAGGATGGAATGGAGAAGAAGTCCTCCATCGGCGTGATCGAAGACCTGTACATAACTCCTCAGTAACTCAGCTTCTGTGATTGTTTCTGGCATGAGGGACTCGAGCTTTTTCAGCATTGCCGATTTTTCGGTGTTCACATGCGCTCTATCACAGTGTGCGAGCCATGTTGCTAGTGTCAGTAACTGGGTAGGAGAAAACCTTCCGAAGGTCAAATGCTGTCTTCGCTGCAACGACTTTGATCATGCTTGTAGGCCCGCCCCGCTCGGGTAGGTTTCAATTCTGTAATAAAGGATAGAATTACAGATGCACAATTAATGTTTTGCAGAGCTGTAGAAAAGGATATGTTAATTCCTTGTGCTGTTCATCCAAGCATTTTATAGAACAATAATGATACAACAATAAACTAAATCTAACAACGTTATAAAATTAACCCTCGATCTATCTTGGTTGAAATATCTAAATCTAAAGAAATTATATACCCTAACTTAATGTCAAGCACTTAAATCCTCTTCCTTGCTTAATGCTTTGTCATTCTAAAGAGAATACATGTCATTACACAAAGGTATCCTAGTCCGTAAATTCATTTAAGTAGGATTGCCCTTCAACCAGTAGGAGCATGGAGGAAGGCTTCCCCCATGGTATGACGATATTCACAAGAAAACACGGGTTTTTTTGTCCCATTTGTTTCTGCTGAGTTCAGCCAAGAACAAAATAATAGGTGGTGTAAGTTTTGAGCCACAAAATCCAACCATGATTCAGGGTTAACTTACGGAAACATTTTCATTTGTCTGCCTTTAAGATTATTCACAAACTTGTAAAGAAATAAAATGCCATCTCAAAGTTGTAAATGTTTCAACTAACTAGTGGAAATATATCTAACTTTGGTGAATTTTCAACACATCTTAAAGGGAAAATACAACATTTGCAAACATCAAAAAATAAAACTACCAAATCATTTTGAAATACCTTGCTGGACTGTTAGTGAATGACAGTGTAAAGCATCCTGTAAAATCATGGCACCTGGTATACTGTCATTTTCAAGAAAAGTGCTATTTTTGTACCAATTTCCAACGCTGATCGGCCGATCAGCGTTGGAAAAAACTGGCTTTTTTTTTCAAATACTGGCCCCAATTGACTATCGCACTTGTTTGCAATCGATTACATACACTATGAACGGATACAAGCCAGCTAGACTGGTTCCCTGACCTTACAATTCCCCAATGTAAACTGTATCTAAACTGCTCTGTTTCTTCTTCAGTGGAGTCAGGGAACCAGACTAGAGGAAAATGATTGTTTTTCTTGGTTTTTATAGCATTTTGAACCCAAAACCTCAAAAAAGTCAGTGTAACTATATTTGCTATATATTTTCAACCCCCCAATTCCATCCATTTCTGAAAATTACAGCAAAAGCAAATGATGTATATTCCCTTTAATGAATTTTCCTTTCTTCAAGTCTACATCTTGTCAAGGAAATGATTAAAATACATCAATAATCAATCAAATTAGCATGATAGAGTAATTAGCATGATAGGAATTATAAAATGCAATCTACATACCTGTAAGAAGATTATAGGAGTTGTCACAAAGGATTTGTAACTTCAAAACAACTTTATTCTAAAACGTGCTTGCTGGGTCATTGCTGGTTGTACAATGAACCCATATGCATATTCCTGCACACAAGTGTTTCTTGCTGATGTGGCAACTCATTAAAATTCAGGCAAGTCCATTCTTTTAAGGGGTAAGTGTAAACTATAAGGGTTAATGTACTCAAAAAAAGGGGGGCCACAAACTTATTTTCTGGGCCTCTACATAACCATGTAAACCAAAGGTCTTAAATCTAATTTTCACTAGAGAATAAAAGATTGAGAAATTCCTCAATATCAAATTATCCCACAATGCAATTCAAATCTCCAACAGTACTGTTGAATCTATGTTCCTCAGGAAGCTATTTCTTCATACAAATCTTAAATGTGTAACCTTCTGAGTTAAGTTGCCACAGAGCAGTAAAGCTTAATTCTTAACCTTGTCCTGACCTGACCTGAACGGTGAACTCAAATGAATTTATCCAATTGTCTTATCCTAAAAAAACAACTTATTGGACATTAACTACATCGCTATCGGACAAAACTTCACAACTAAATCTTGGCCCTGCCACATTCGCGCCATCTTAAAATCATTGCTGTCCTCAGCAATTCTAAACTCAAACACAATTTACACAAAATATGAAACAGAAACGACACGAAAATACAGCAATACGAAAATACTCAATTCAATTATACATGTACTGGTTAAACTTAATCACCTAATCAAAAATCACGTACATCCTAAAACATGAGGAGACTGTGATGACAGCATGATTCTTGTTGCCGTACTTGCTTCTTGTGCCGTCTCATGTACTCCATGGTTTCATTGTGGAGACAGGGCCAGAAGTACCGTCCTCTCACAAGCTTCAGGACCTGTCCATGTCCACGTGTCTCCATACTTTCATGCAAGCTATGCAGTACTCTGTCCCTTAAGCTGCGGGGTAGTACTGGTACCATCGGAGCCTTGGCCTCGTCTTCACCTTGTCTGTAGAGAAGCAGGCCACTCCTTACTTCAAGACGATCCCAGACGTTCAGTAATCGCTGTACCGCTTTTGGTCGACGTGCCATCTCATTCTGGCTTATCCTCTTGGGATTTGACAGCTTCTGTTCCACCACTTTCCTAATGGCTGGATCCTGTTGCTGTGCTTGGCGCAGACTTTGGCAACGTCCGATGCCTCCATTAATACCCTGGCTGGACTGGCCACTGGTTGGGGCGACGGTAGGGACTACTTTTTGTCTTCGAGGTGGAACATGAGGGGCTTCTTCTTGACTCTTGGGTTTTTGCGTGTAGATGGAGACGGGGGAAACATGGACTTGACTTTGCAGGTTAATCCTCGGATGCTGCTGCCCTTCGACAACTTGTGAGATGATTTCTTTCAGCATGTTGATTTGCCGAAACTGCTGGAGAATGACTTGCTGCATCCAAGCTTGGTGTTGCAGCAGCTCCAGGATGTGTAACTGTTGAGTCAGGATTCCAGTCATTGTGTACTCCTCAGACCCACCAATAACAACACTGTGTTGGTTTTGACTCTAAAATACTGACCACCAAAGACAGACCAAAAAACCTTTTTAAAATGCCTATACATGTAGTCCCTATTAAAACAATTCCTGGCTAATTTCTAAAAAACATATTCCCTACCCGGATTCTCCACCAAAAGAATTTAAAAAAAATGTAACCCGGAAAAATGACACACTATGGGGGAACTCGCAAAAACAACTGAAGACTCAATGGGGATTAACTAACAAAACTAAACTAAACTCAGGATCTTTGAAAGGAAAAGTCGCGAGGAAATTGAATTAATAGAGACAAAGGACGCAAATCTAGATTTCAAACCAAAAAGAAAAAATTCATTTATTTACTAAGAACTGAAATAAAACTAATAGAACAGAACGTAAGACCAAAGACCGATAGCCAACTTAAAGACTGAACTTTACAAAAACCCGAAATACATGTAACTAAAAGCAAGACTAAAACTAAAACCTAAAACCAACACAGTATGAATTAATGGATCTTATTAGAGTACACTTTGACGAAAATCTGTAAACAAGAAAAAGAGAAGCAAAAAACATAATAAGAAACAGTAAACAATGAAAACGAAGTCAAGTTATACGCTAGGTCTAAGTTATTTAAACAGTGAAATGATATGTGGGAAAACCACTCCTCTTGGCTTTATGATGTACATAATAAAATAATGGTAATGGAGAAACATATCCATCCAACTACCAACCAAGGGTACAAATTCATAGGTCTCCACTTATAACCAGATTTCAAAATAAAACCACAGAACTATAACACAAAAATAATCAAACCTTATAATTAAAAAGGCAATAAGACATTCACCAACCACTTGAACAAAACTCATTAGGCAAGAAAACTCAGTCCTTCTGATTACCAAGAAAACAAATCAATAATTCAACCTTGTTGTAACAACACACTTTTCCTCAAAGATACCAAAACTGCAATGATCATGATCCATCACAAATTCAATCAAAAATCAAATCATAGCAAGACTGCTCATAAACTTACTAAAAACATGTCATAACCCTGAACATTATCAAAACAAAACAAACCTCTCAAAACTTATACACAAAACTGAACTAAGTACATAACATA